GTGATGTAGGAGGAAATATTTTAAGGAGGATTAATGACAATGTGTCATTTACTGCAATAGTTTTTTTTTTTTAAATAAATATTAACCAAATAGTCATTCACACTAGTGTAGCTTTCTTAGTTAATGGTATAAGTTTTTTTATGCCTGGATGGTTTCATGTCTTACATTTCTTTCTTCTTAGAACTACCTATATATCTCCTTCTTATACTGGTAATCTCACTTTTGAGCCCAAAATGTTTTGAAAGCACTTCTTTGTTTCACGTGTGCAGGTCTTGGATAGGACTTCTTCTGACTTGTCTTGACTGTAGGTATTTCCCCTAGAGTGCTTTTCTGACTAGTGCCTCTATAGTTTTTGTCCACTCCCCCCTACTCCTGTCAATGAGCTTAAAACTAATCAATTACAGTATGTGTCTGTTTCCACTACCAAATTACAGGTTCACTGAAATAGCATATCTTACTGAGGTGTGTGTATTTATGTTAAATGTGTTTTGAGATTTGAAGAGTTTTGTTCAGAGTTGTTAGAAGAAATGCCTAATAAGTTTGTTGATTGATTAGGTAGTTTTTGTTCATGTGTTTGTTTGTTTATTTGTTGGTTTGGTTTGGCTTGGTAAATTGATTGCCTTTTACTGGAAATACTAAATAAGAGGCTTAAGTCAGTGTTTATTGAGTGACTGAACTGCTGTCTGATAGCGACATCCGAGGAGAAAATAGGTATGAGGTGGCCATTATTGGGTCATGAAAGAAAAGTGGTTAATTTCAGTAGAGGGTTAGGAAAGCAACCAAATTGCAAGGGAGAAGAATAGTGGAAGGTAAGCAAAAAGTTTGGCTATTTTTAAAGAATGCATTTAGTCAACAGACACAGACCGGCTCAGACTCTTTGTTTGTAGTATGTGCTTTTTTTTTTTTTTTTTTTTTTTTTAATCTCTGACTTGGAAAAGAGCAAAACCAACACTTCTGTCAGCTCAGAATATAAATATCTCTGATACTTGATCTTGTGGACTGGCCTGTACTTTAGTGCCTCATGGTTACTGCTAGCCTAGTTTCTAGTCTTGTGTTAAGTCCATGAATTATTTATACTTTTTTTGGCAAGGAATTTTCGTTGTGCATAGAAAAAAAGACTCTGCACATTTTCTTGGCTTAAAATTTATATGATGCAAGTTTTGTTTGAAAAGTGGTGAGTGTAACTATTTGTCATTAATTGAGGAAAGCACCCTTTATAAGCAAGTTATATTGCCCTGATTATGGCTTTTTCTTTGACCCCTTCCCCCTCAGTACAGGAGATTAACTCCACTGGTTTTGCACTAAGCTAGCTTCCTGTCCCACTCCCTTTTAAACTTTTGAGACAGGATCTTGCTAAGTTGCCCAAGCAAGACTCCACCTTGGATCCTCCTGTTTTAAATTCCTCAAGTGCTGGGACCCGCGCTACATGTGATTATGTTTTATACTCTGGGGAGCCTTACTGTGATGCTGCACTGACCAGAGGGGAGATTAAAGAACCCAAGAATCAAGAATCAGGTTAATTAAAATTAATGGAATGAGAGGAAGATTGAGTTAAATAGTTTGACTGGCTTTCAAACTTGAATATCTGTAAATAGGATGAATTTCATGTGATGAGCAAATGAGGTGAATTACAGGAATAGAATGGGCAGCAGTTACAAGGGTGTATGTTATGATAATTTGAGGAATCACATGCATACGGTTAAATTCAGCAACTTCTACAGTAAGGACATACCATAGCATTGCAGATGCTGAGTTGAGGAAGAGAATGAAATTTCTGTTCATTTTATAGCTGATAGTTTGAGTAGGTTGGTCATGTACTTTTGAGAGAAGGAAATTTGAATAGTTAAGTGGTTAGTATTGGCACTAAAAAGGGATTAAGATTGTTTAGGAAATTAAAATTATGATGTACATGATACATTTTAGTGTAGAAATAGTTTTGCTTACACTATACGTATAAATTAGAAACAGATTTTGAAAAAGAAAAATCAAGACAAACCCATATTTATGTTGCTGAAAAGAATACATGAAAATTAGGTGAAAATAGAACTAGAAGGCTTGGAAAACATTAATATACTAACTTCTCTAGTTGAAAATCAGATATTGGGTGGAAAATATTAGTATCAGTTGAATATTAATACTGATTTTAAAGTCCTTTAAAAATATGTTTCCCATAAGAAATATTGCCAGTGGTCTTCTCCTTAAAATACATACAAGTGCTGAAAATACAGCAGGATATATAGAAGGATGAAGTTATTGTAATTAAATGGACTTTTCTTTTAGGTTGAAATAAACAAACGATAGTCAGAAATTGCAGTGTGTACCTGGGTCCCCATCTTTATTTGTCCTTTGGTAGATACTGTGAGTACTTGAAGTCACTGGAACGGTGCAGATTAGAGATGCTATTTTTTTAACCAGTGACAAAGTTGTAAATTGTTAGAACAGTGACGTTCCTGTGGTTTGAGCTTAACTGCATTAATCAGTGATACTTATAGGGAGAAGTCAATGTTGGACCAGGAAACTTTGTTTTAAAAAATCCATCTCAATCACTGTTGGATAGGTTTGGTGGTCATGAATTCTTTCAGGTGTTCTTTATCATAGAAGTGTCTTATTTTTCCATCAGTTTCGAAACATAGTTTTGTAGGGTATATTAATCTGGGTTGGAAGTTGTTTTCTTTTAGGATTTGAAGCACTTCACTCTGAACTCTTCTTGACTTGATGGTTTGTGTTGACAAGCCTGCTGTGATTCTGATTGTTTTGTTTGATTTTACTATGTGTGATTGTATGAACAGTGATTTTGAAGAAAATAAGACATTAGAGTAACCATTGTTCATTTCCTGTTACCTGGTTTTGAACTCCCATAATGCTTTTCTCTTTTTGTTTTGATTGGTTTTAGCTGTTTTCTATTATTTGATTTCATTGTGTATGAGGCTATTTTAAAGAGAACAAGAGACATTATGGTAGCCATTGTTGATTTCCTATTGTCTTGTTTTGAAGTCTCACAATACTTTTCATTCTTTTTTTTATTGGTTTTTATACTATTTGTTTTGTTTGAATGTATTGTGTGTGAAGGTATGGTCAACTATTTCCAAGCAAACAGGAGACATTATGGTAGCCACTGTTGAATTCCTGTCGTTTTGTTGTGAAGTCCTCTGTTGCTTGCATTGTTCTGTTCTGAATTGTTTTGTTCTGTTTTGTTTTTTTGTTTTATTTGCTTTAAAATAAAAAATAAAAAAAAAAATCCATCTCATTTTGTTGTTTGTTTGGTAGATAGTACAGGTACTCTTAAGTCCCTGACATTGTACAGCTTAGAAATGTTAATCTTTTTTACCCAGTAGCACACTTATAAATCATCAGGAGAGGGATACATTTTTGAATTTTGGGCATAAATGAATTAGTATTATAGAAAGAGGTCATTATGAACAAGAAAACTTATTAAGTCAGCTAGCTATATTTCAACCAGTTAAAAGTATACATCGAGGACATAGTACAGTTAATATGTTAACATTTTTTCCAAGCCTTCTGATTCTTTGAAGATTGGTTGAGAACAGATCATGGGAATAAAAACCCTGTGAAAGAGAATACAAATGAAAAACGTCACTGTTGTACTGGAGAAATTGGAATCAGTTGTACTTGCTTCATTTTTCTGATACGATGTGTATGAAAGTCTGAAACGTGAAGTGCTGTGCTCTGTGGAATAGTGATAGAGTTGCTCCTCTGTGTCCCTAGACAGAGGGGAACTGGAGGGACTGGAGTCTCTGAAGTTAAGGGCCAGATTCTAAGGAGAATGCTGTTTGGGAGGTTGTAGGGTCCGTCAGGTCCAGAATGAGGTCATTACACTCGTGCAAGGAGATGGTGATCGTCTCGCTCCCAGGACAGTGAGTTGATGTGGACACTGTGGAGTGAAGGTGATGGCAGATAGAACAAGAGGACTAAGTGTGAGGAGGCTTGTGCAAGAAGTTGGAAGTATCATCAGCCTTCAGGGGTCAGCAGTGTGATGGTCTGGAGAGAAGCAAGGGGAGGCGAGGAGAAACACTGGGTGTGGAGAAAGCTCCAGCCTCTTCCTGTCTCCCAGTGTGTGGCCCTGGTGGTGTCATCTTGAGTCCTTGTGAGTGGCCCCTTTGAAAATATTTTTTTTGTTTCTGAATTCCTAGGTCACACACAAATGAAAACTAACAGAATTGTGCTTTGTTCTGATAGGGTACTACTACAGAATTTCTTTGAGATATGTGAAAAAGCAATCCAGGCAGGAGGAACCATTCTGTTATTTGCTAAGCTCATCAAACATCCCAGCTTTTCTAGAACTGAGAAGTTTCCCATGATAGTAAAACTAAAACTTGGACAGTTCTGAAACCAAAATGATTTGATCACCCTCCTGTCCATTTTATCAATTCATGGAAATGACCAGCAGTTGCATTTTCTATATGATCTGCATGTATAAAGAAGTAATATCTTGCACTGATTAAAATTAAGCCCCATATTCTATAGTTTACATTTTTATGCGATAATTTTATACTTCATGGTTTCTAACTCTGATATGTGACTGGTTGGTTTAACCATCTCTATCTTTGGTACACCCAAGTTTTAAGTTTTGTTCAGTTGGTACAATAGCTTTGCCCAGATTTAGGTACCGTTACTGTCTCCTATCTAACTTCATAGCTGTAGAGGTTTTCTTTTCCAAAATGTGATTCTTATCATTGAAACCATACTATGCATGGTTTACTTGGCGTATTGGAGAAGCTATTCCATAGGAGCCTGTACAGTTTAGATCTGTTTGCTTCTCCCTTTACCTTTTTCATTCCTTTATTGGGCCACACTAGTAATTTTCCAGATGCTCCGTGTTTTCTCTCTACCTTTTTCTGCTTTGAAGAGTTGCATTTCAAAATGCAGTCTTCTTCCTGATCCCAGCGTATTGCATTATCTGCTTCTCTTATGTGCCCCTAGTATACTGTTTACATTTTGTAGCTGTTTTTGTCACACTGAACGCTATTTTTTGTTTATAGGGTTGTCTCTTCACCAGACTATGAGCTCCTTGAAAGAAGGAATCGTGTGTTATTCATCTTTATGTTTCCAGTCTAACACAGCTCTTGATACATAGTAAGTAATATTTTTAAAACTAATAATATACTTAACAAACTCAGTGTGTGTTGATAGTTAATTTTATCTGTGTTGACCTAGTAATACTGTATGATGTTGTAAAAAGTTTGGCTATAGACTTAACTCTTTTAGGGCTCAGTTTGCTCATTTTTAAGATGGATACAGTGGCTGTCTACTCATTATATTATTTAATGCTCAGATTAAGGAATATTTGTTTATTACAGTACTTTCTACTTTAAGCACCACACAACTTTGTTATTAAATAAAATGTGGGTACTAGTTGTGTGTTGAAATTGATCCTTTTATTTATTAAGTGTCATTTTTAAGATAAGATGGTATCATTTTTAAACAAGTTTATCATGTTTTGCAGTTAATATTTGCAGGTACTGGTTACCATAGCTCTCTATGTGTCCTTAACATATTCACAAGAAGGCTACAGTCTGTCTTAATGTCATGCATGAAGATTGCTGTGAATTCCAGCCAGCCAGGTCTGCATAGTGAGTTCAAGTCCTGCCTGAAGTATATAGCAGAACTCTGTCTCAAAAAATAAACAAAAACCTACCTTTTCTGTCTAATTCATGGTTAAAGTCCTTTAATTTTTTTTTCCCATCAACCTCTAAGTAAATGAATGTCTTCACCTGTCTTTAGGTCTCTTAGTTTTCAGAAGAATAAGTCTTTTTCTTGTGAGTCTAATTATTGCCATCTGTGTGGAAAGTTATACTTTACTTTTCCGTCATAGACTTATAGAAATCACACTTGGTGAATTACTGATTCACATTTTTCTATGTATACTTTCATATCTTCCAGCATTTTTAGTGTTATTAAAAGTATATGATTTGAACATGCCAAATTGTATGTAACACTGATGTCAATAATAAGCACATTTCTGAGCCAGCCACTTGAAACCAAAAACTAGGTCAGCACCACGTGGTTAATGAGTTGTGGTTGTGAATGCTTCCCCAACACCATATTCCCATCTTTTCCTAACTACCAAAGTCACTGCCATCCTAAATTTTGTTTTCTTCAGCTTTTTTAATGCCATAAAAAAGGCCACAGATACAATTGTTTTGAGTTTCATAATTTTCTTGTCTGTAAAGTTTATAAAGCTTGCACAAATAGTATTTAATTGTAGAGGAAACTCTTAATTTACAGATTTTTTTTAATACATGTCAAGGAAAACAAAAGAATACACAGAAACATCTTAATTTCAAATTTGTAAGTGGAAAATAATTGGAGACTTCATCTTGGACTGTTAGACATGCCATCTAGTGTAATGCTCCTTACACAAAGTCCAGAGGTGTAGAAGAGTCATAGGTGCACAGAAGCATTTCTTTACACTGGTTTCTTTATCATGTGCAGATGTGTTTCTGTTAGATTGATGGAATACGCCTCTAAGAATGATAGCCGCGTCATTCAGTAGCTGTTTTGGACCGCAGCAGTTCTTCAGTACACTTTATGTAATTGCATGTTTGTTATACAACTTTCTGAGGGCAGAATCCACAGTGTCCCTGGGTGTCTTTTTCAATTATGGAATCATGACATTTTTTAAAGGAAACGCGTAACAAAAAGTGAGGTCCTAGTCACCACCAAAAGAAGTCCTTTCTTTATCATAAAGATTGAGAAAGCTTTCCTGATGGCTTTAGCATGGAATGTTAAGTCTGGAGGTATGACTGATTGAGTAAAAGATGTCAATGGTTAGAAGATTAATTTGTCTTTTATTTCCCCTTTCTAAAATACATTCATATTGTTGCCTACAGTGATTGTTTATTCATTCTAACTGCTGCATAATGCTGCATCATGTGAATTTGCCTTTTTCTAACCAGTTTTCTACCGATGAATATTTCAGTATCTAATTTTTGTTATTATGAAGATTATTTATATAAAAATGTGAGGAGAATTGCTCTTTGAAATGTGTGCAAATGTGAAGCTTTCCATGATAATGTTAGATTGTTTCCTAGCAGGATTTTATCAATTTAAATACCTACCAGCAGTTATTAGAGCTAGCAACTTTTCCATGTTTTTTTTTTTTTTTTTGGTTGTTGTTGTTGTTATTTAATATTTGTATCAGTTTTCTGTTGCTGTGACAAAATATCTGAGAAAAGCAATTACAAGGAGGAAAGATTGATTTAGACTGTCACAGAGGTTTCTGTGCGTGGTTAGTGGTCTCACTGCTTAAAGCTTGTGGAGAGGTAGACATGTCCTCGAAAGGCCTGGGGTGGAAGAGAGTTGCTAACCTGGTGCACCTGTGAAGGAGTGGTGTAGCTGCAGCCTCTGCTCCCAAGATTCCTCTTTGTTCACTTTTGTTCCATCAGTCCAGACCCCTTCAATTTCTTCTGTGTCTACTGTCAGCTTAAGTGGGAACACCCAGCTGAGCTGAGTCAGCATGGTTCTGGGCACGGAAGACCCACCTAAGGAGGCTCGTCTTGGAATGGTATAAAAGGACAGTGGAAGGGAGGGATTTTAGCTGATTTCCCTTGGAAGTGTTTTGTGTTCAGGCTGCTTTGCTTCAGAGAGGTTTTAGGCCTCTTGAGCCGAGTTCCAGATTTCCTCTTCACCAGGGATGGCTGCTGATCTCTTTGGAGGAGCTCTGGGTCTTTGCCCTTGCCTTGGGCATCCTCTTTTGGCTCTCCGGCACAGATTCCTCAGCTTTCAGCAAGCCTTCTGCTTGGGCCAGACTCTGTAGCCTCCAGCACCAGCCCCTGGGCTTTCTGGTGCAGATGCCTCTGCTCCTGATAGGACGTGCATGGGACGGTGCTGTGGACTCCAGGCCGGTAGCTGCATTCTTCCCATCTTGCGCACCAGATGGATCTCTTGCACATTTCTACACTTCACTCTGTGGATGATATTGTCAGTTAATCTTGTAAATTTCTGTATTCAGCATTAAGTGTTTCTCTTGTAAATATTTCCTACAGCTCTGTCCTATTTGCCAGTCATCTCTGGAAACACCTCACAGACACACCCAGAAGGTGTTTCTGCATCCAGGCAGGGTTAATCATTCTTACAGCATTTTATGGTCTTTGCTTTTATAGTCTTACACAATTTTAAAATTACATCTGGTTATCTGAAGTTACATTTTTCTGATGGACAGTAACATCTTACATTTTTTCATGTATTTGTTGGCCTTAGAAGTTTTCTTTTTTACAACATTCCAGTTCAGCTTTGTGCCCAGTTGCCTAATGTATCTTTTTATTATTTGTAGACATTTTCATATAGTTTAAATTCTAATCTTTTATCAGCTTTTTTTGTTTTGCAAATATATCTGTTTGTGGCTTATTTTTTGGTTTTTATTTAGACTTTTATAATTATATTTTTATTTAGTTTTTCCTTTTTCTTTCTCTCTTTCTTTTTTTTTTTTTTTTTGATGCCAGGGATCAAACTCATGACCTTGTATTTGCCAAGCAGGCACTTAAGCCACTGAGCCAAACCCCTGGCCCTTATTTAATTTTTCTTTTGGTAGTGTGACAAGTTCTTCACAAACATGCAGTCAAAATACTCACTTTTCCCTTCTCTCAAGATACCTCTCAAGTGTAGTGGCACTTTCTTTCATGTTTACATCATAAGTTTGCCTCTCATATTTACACTTGTTTGAAATTGGTTTTATATATAATGCAGGATAGGGATCCAGTTTTTTTGTTTGTTTGTTTTTTCTTTTTTGAAGGCAATGTTTCATTGTTCGGGTCAGGTTAGCCTTGAACTCATGCACTTTGCAGCCAGGCTTGCCTTGAACTCACAGCCATCCTCCTGCTTCAGCCTCCCTTCTTAGTGCTGGCACTAGCATTAAGCAAGCTTGAGAACCAGCTTCTGACTTTTTTTTCTAATATTTTTCTTTCTACTTACTACTTTCTCATTATTTTGGGGTTTCTCTTGTTATTCTTTGTATAATTGGCTACATTGGTCTATATTTCATCAGTTTGCAACCTTTCTTTTCCAACTGTAAATTTTTTTCCTCACCTGTTAAGTTTTTAAGGCTAAAATTTTGTCTCTAAGTGTAACATTTTTGGTATTTTGTAGATTTCTATATTTGTATTTTCATTTGATTCTTTGCATTTTTAAAATTTTCATTATAGCTTTTTCTGACCCTTGAAATATTTGAAATGTTTTTAAATTCTATTTAATTTTAAAAATTTTATATTTTGTTGAATTTTAATTTAGTTGTATTATGGTCACAAACAAGAACCAACCTTGAAATTCAGTGAGATTTTCATTAGCTGTAGCATGTACATTTTTTGTGCTTAAGTCTTCAAAAAGAAAGTTTTTTCCTAACTTGTTTATTAAATTTTGTCCTGTTGATTATTTAGGATGTGTTGAAGTCTCCCATAACAGTGATCACTTTGTTGGTCTTCTGTAGTTCCCATTGTCCTTGGGAGCTTCTCACCTCCATTAGATGATGAGTTTGTTTTTGTCAGAAAGTCCAGTACTTTGCTTTACCCCAAAGCACTCTCTTTTACAGAGGTGAATACCTTTAGCTGCTTATCAAGTTTGGGAGGCTTAGGGACTTAGGAGCTAGAGTCAGTTTTCTGCCCTTTTGAGTGTCTGGATTTTGTTCTTTTTTCTCCTAACAATTTCTCACTGATCTGATTCCTTGAAGAAGTGAGGGTAGTCTCAGTCTGAGATGACTCTTCCTGTGCTTGACCATTTTATATCTGGGTTTCTTCACTTTGCTAGTTCGGTTCTTTCCCAAGGCCGTCATTCTAAGTTTGAGTTTACCTAGCTGATACTTTCTCATGTTCATTCCGTAGCTGCACTTCTTTTTCTGTAAGCTTTGTCCCTCGAGATAGAAGTTGCACTACTGGGTTGAAAGCTCAGCAGAAATCATCTTCGTTAGTAGTGGTCTGAAACTTTGAACTCAGTTTCAGTCTTTGGGACAGATCTCAGTCCTCACACTTATAATCATCTTGAAAGTAATCGTGTTTGGAGTTTCAAAACCAGTTGTTCCTTCTGTTACTTTTCTTTTTTTTTTTTTTTGCGGTACCGGGGATTGAACTCATGATCTCGCACTTGCCAGGCAGGCGCTTACACCGCTGTGCCAAATCCCCAGTCCTGTTCCTTCTGTTATATCCATCCGTCTTTGTGGTCTGTACTTCCTCTGTGGTCACTGTTTCTATAGGGTGCCCTACCACATGCTTTTCTTAGAGTTTTAACTCCTGTTTCATCTTTGCCATTTTACTTACCATAGTAATCTGTATTTCTGTGGTCTCCAAATCCTTAAATCTTCAAAGTTACCATCTCTTCTATGAGGATGGATAATTCGTGACAGAGTGGGTTCTTCAGCCTTTATTTTTTATAGGAATGCTGACTACTGACTTGGCAGCCAAAAGAACATCAACTTACCCTGTTATTTAGAGATTCTTCATTGAGGGCACTTCGAATTCAGTTCCTCCGGCAGCATAATCAAAGCCTTCCGGCCTTTCAAGGTTGCTGAGTTCATGTGGTAATGCAGTGACACATAAACCTCTGAAGAATTCCTTTGTGGAGTTTTCTGTTACACCATACGTCTGATTTCCTAGAAAAGCAGTGTAAGGTGGCAATTTAAGATGATGACTGTGGTCAGTATTGGATTCCCAAGAAGCCTGTAGAACAGTGTAGATGATACAGCAGTGAACTGGGGTGCCCTGTGGATGCTGTTGTCATCACATTGTCCAGTGGCTGCGGCATCTGCTTCCAGGTCACGTTTTGTTGCCTCAGCTTACTGGTTGGGACATCATGCTTTTCATTAGTGCTACCATATGCAGGGAGGGGATTTTTAGGGAGATTTCTATCCTTTTTTATCTGAAATTGCCTGTTAGGAAAGTGAGAATGCATGTTTGGGCCTTTTCTTTAAGCGTGCAAATACAGAATTTTTTTATTTGCTTACTGAATTGAACCTTGTATTCTTTCCTTTGAATTCTTTTAAATATATCATTTTGTCTGTTACTATGCCTACACTTGGCCGCTTTTTTGTGTTTGCCTCTGGTATGTCCTTTCCCTGATTTTTGCTTTCATTCTGTCAGTATCTTTATTTTGTAGGGTGTTCCTTATTTTACTTTCAAACTTGTTTGTGTACATTTTTTATAATTATTTTTGTATTTGGACTTTTTTGCCTTGGTTTATTTACCCACCTGCCATCCTTTCTAGCTTTTTTTGGATCATCTTTTTATTCTGTCATCTATATTTTGGAAATTACACTCTTATTCCTTTATGACTAACTTGCAAAATCTACTGAACAGTGATGGTGAACTTTTGAGAGATGAGCGCCCAAACTGTAACCTAGAACTCACTCACTTATTGTGCAGTGCCAACGCTGCAGTTAAACTGGAATAGTGAAGCTTTAGTTTAGATAAACCAACTCATACAGTAACATCTTTTGTCTTAAGACAAAAACATAATAACATGCATACCGTAGGTTCGCCACTGAACTATACTACAGGTACTCAGGTTTAGCCAGAGCATAAGGTCTCTGCCAAGAGATGCAGGAATTCGCAACATCAATTCCTATCCTCTTTATTTCTGTCTTGCCCTTCCACAGTGAAACACCATAATAAGATGTTGTTATTGTTACATTATTCAACATTTATTTACATTTACTTGTAGCAGTTTCTTCATTTATCTTTTCTTCCTTCGCAGATCATCCTTTTGTGGTAATTTCATGAAACACACTCTTTAGATTTTCTATAATTAAAACTGCTATTGATAAACACCTCTTGGTCACTAGTTACTTGGCCCAGTGCTTTGTGTCCAGATCTCAGTGCTACCAACATATATCCAAAGCAGCACTCTGATTTATTTACTTATTTTTGTTTTCTGCTCACCATTTTTTACTATTCAACTCCCTTCAAGATTTCTTTGGTTGGTTGGTTGGTTGGTTGGTTTTTATCAGTTGGTACAGGCTTGATAATTTTCAATATTTTTGAGGATATAACATCTTGAAAATAGTCAATTTGTTTCATTTTATGCAGTATCTGTTTGTATTAAAGGATAGTCTTTTAAAATACCTAGTAAATTAGACTGCTGGAAATTAGAAACGTTAAATTTTCAATTGTTTTTTTTTTTTTTTTTTTTTTTTCTCATGTGAACATGACAGCTATTGATTACTTTCGGGTAGATGTAATTCTTCAGCTTGCTTCTCATCTGAGGAATGAGAGCATTGGCATGAACAAGGTTACAGAACTGAATATATGTTACCTACAGCCAGGGACTCCTGTAACTGTTTTTAACACAAACACAAATGTATTCAAACATATAATATATGCAACTACAAATAAGTGAAGAGAGCTTGAGTGTTGGCTTCCTGAAATTGGGGAAAGGATATAAGTGGAGGACTAAAAAAATCTACAAATAGAAGGGAAACAATAAATGTTAGTGTTTATTAATACTTCTTCATTTTGCACAGAATGTTCTGCTTTAGTGGGATAAGGATGGAAGTAAAGCCTTGCAGTAGTCATAAGGAAGAAAGGTGAAGCAGCACCTACAAAGCTGTGCTTTGTATTTTATTTAAAAAATAAAAATTGGTACAGGGTAGCATGGAACAATTCGAAAAAAAAGTACCTATTAAAAGAAACATTTGGCCGGGTGTGGTGGCATATGCCAGAAATCCCAGCACTTGGGAGGCTGACACAGGATTGCTGTGAATTCCAGGCCAGCCTGGGCTGCAGAGTGAGTTCAAGGCCAGCCTGAGCTGCATAGCTAAACCCTGACTCAAAAAGACCAAAAAAAGAAAAAGCATTCAAGATTACTGGAGGTATAACTAATACATTCACCTAGACTAGATACTGTTTGGGGGAAATCTTGATGAAGGACACTGTTGGGAATGCTAATGAAATTAGAATGTGGTATAGAGTAGATAATAGTAGTATAATAGTTAAATTCCTAAAGTTTAATGTCATTATACTTTGATTATTTGATAGAAATTTTTATTCTCAGGAAATACACACTGAAATTTTAAAGGACAAAAGACAACACACAGTACTTACATGGTTTAGAAAATCTATTCTAAATATATTAATTTATTCACTTACATGTTTATGAATCAAAATATAACCCTAAATTCCTAGTACCATCATTTATTTTGTTCACATTGATTGGAATATGATTTGTTGGCCATATTCTTCAGTAATATTTCTCACACTGAGTTTTCCCTTTAAATGGAGCCCTGTGATTTTGTCAACATATGATGGGTTGACAGTAAGTATGGATTTTAGTTGATTTGACTGAACAGTTTTAATCATTTTGAAAATTATAATCTTTTCTAATGGATGGGAAAATTATTTCTTTTATAGGTTTAAGCTGAATTTTGGGAAATGGCCACTGCCTCACCAAGGTCTGATGCTAGTAATAACCACTGTGGAAGGTTACAGTTACAGGTAACTGGTAAGTGATTTTCACAATGCAGTATGTTAATTCTTTTGGAAGCCTGATTCCCCAGACTTATTCCATGAGTAATGCTCTTGGGCAAACTACATAGTCCTCCTTACTTCATAGTACCTTGTATGTTATGAAATACTTCCTTATTTGTCAGTGAGGAAACTCAGAATCAGAGGGAGCATGTACCTTCTTTTAGTAATGGGAGACTAACTGAAATCTTAGGACTTGAAGTTGTTACTCCTTCTCTTAGCTAACAGTGCTCTGTATATTGATTTTTGAAGAATGATCTGATAGTATCGTTATTAAGGCCTGTTACTGTAGTTAGGCATATTACTGCCTGTGAACTGAAGTAACTCAATTATTTTTAAAATCCAGGTTTATTTTTATTATTCACATATGTATTCTTATTTTTATTCCTGTTCTTAGCCTGTATGTGACAGGAAGCAAAAAGTAAGAATCAGGGCAGGTGGGCTACAGGTGTAGCTTAGTGGTAGAGTGCTTGCCTTTCATACCTGAGGCCCTGAATTTGAATCCCCAGCACTTCAAAAGAACAAACAACAGAAAGGAATGAGAATGGTGATGTGGAAAGCAGGAAAATTATAACAGGAAAAAAATCAAACAGAAGTTCACCTACTATAATGTGGTAATATTGTAGTGTATCATGTCCATAAGCTGAATAGCATGTATATTATCTTTAATGTTTTAGATCTCGGATTTTTCAAATCAGAAAGGTTTGGAAAGTTTACAAGATATATAAAAAGCATACTTGAGGTTGAAAACTAATAGACTATTCACAGTAATAATTTTTTAGCTTTATGTTTTTTGCTACAAAATTTTTTAAAATTTTTGTAAAAGAAAAAATTGAAGCCATGTTGGATTTTTGTTCTAGTGTTGTAAATGATCTATTCCTTGTGAGTTAAAATGTCACCATGTAATAATATCTTATGTATTCTTTTCTCTTCATCTTTCTTACATCACTCTCAGATTGTCTGCGCTATTTTCATTTTAAAGTACCTAAAGATTTGGAGAAATTGCTCATTACTTTCCATTTTATTCACGTTTATGTCTTCACTATTCACTGTTCTCTATTTTTTTAAAAATTTGCATCTCTATCCCTTTTTCTTTGCTTCTAACATACGCACATAAAACCAAAAGTTCATAGTTTTATTTTTTAAAAATGTATTAAGTTGAAATTTTGTAGTGTTAAAATTTGCAAATACAAATACATGTATATCAAGACATTCTCTTTGTCTTTTATATCCATCATTATCATCTTCATGAAGATTATATGTTTCTAAGTCTACTACTAGATTTATTTTTACAGAGGTCATTGCACGTGAGATTTTTTTGTTTATGTTGTTTTTAAGCAGTATTTTGGGCTGACCTTGAACTCATCTTGTGGCCCAGGCTGGACTTACACTTACAATGATCCTTCTTCTTTAGCTTCCCAACTGCTAGCTAGTTACAGGTATGCACCACCACACCTTCCTCCCTGTGAGGTTTTAAAATTGACATCTTCCTGCCTTTTTAAATTTTTTTGATACATACCTCTTATAATAGAGGACACTATGTAACACCACAGGAAACCGACTGAAGATGTAATGATTGTTCCATAAATGTTGAAACATTTGAAAATACGGAAGTGAAGTTTGTAATTCACACCACTATAGGAAAATAGTATTAAATTTTTTCTTTTAAGCATGAAATACTAGAAAATACAATGCCAAAAATACTAAATAAATACATGTATTAGTTTTTTAACCTCAAATAATCTTTTTTATGCATCTTGCAAACTTATCCTTTGCCATTAAAATCTGAAATATGTAATATGGAAACAAAGATGTACCTTATATTTGTCTACCAATAAGCACTCTCATTTGAAGTATCTTTTGATTATTTAAAACCATAGCGTTATAGTTATTAATATGCACATTTTCCCCAGCACATTATAAATTCCTTCTGAGCTTAAAAATTACCCTTTGAAAAATGTCTTCCCTTCCCCTCCCAGCTTCTAGTATTGTTGAGCACTTTGCCAATTAATGGTACATGCAATTAGCTCATAAGTAATAGTGCTCAGGCACTATTGTTGCCCTGTGTTTCTGATAGCAAAACTGAGAGGCAGAAAGGTTAGTTAATGTCTTCAAGGTCAGATTTCTGATAATTGACAGTTAAAAGATGAATTCAGATCTTTGGGTCCTGTAATTTTAACACTATCTTACAGTGCCTCCTTTTTCCTGCTTTCTTGTAGTATATGGATAAACCCTGCATATCAAGAAAATTACACTTTTACTTGAGATGAAAATACTGTTTGGGGAATTTCTTAAGAAAAAACAAGACGAGGCCTTTTACATCAGTCCGTTGGTATTGGACTTAGAGCAGCTTGAAACAGCAAAGGATGTGAATTTTGCTGACACTGATATTAAAACTTCAGATACAGTATTGAGCCCTGTGACTGTGCTGTGTTGCCAGTACTTAAATATAGAATTTGTTTTGAATCTATTGTTACTTTTCAAATCTTGAGGACTACTATATTTCAAACACTCTTACTGGTGAAGTGTTTAGCCCATTGTATTTCACTGATACATTTGTGACTGTTCTCTCACAGTAGAGTGGAAGGTACACACCTTGTTTGTTTTCATGTACTTTTACCATATTGTGTGTGACATGAGACTTCCCCTACTTCATCCCAAACCTAAGATACTCATAACTGATTTTATTAGTTGTAAATTTTGGAATCACATGTTTAGCATATTGTTTTGGATAATTTAAAATTCACTTTCTTTAAAGGGTGTGATGGTTAACCTCTATCCTGACATTTTGGTTTTGAAGTTTTTATCTGAAAAAAATAAGTTTTAAAAAAATAGCTTTTCAGGTAATGCATTTAGTTTTTAAAATGCCATGTATGTGATGAATACTATCTGGCAGGGATAATACTAGACATGTCAAATCTGAAGGCTTTTATTTTTCTCTTGCTTTAGAATTAAATTCAAGTGGTGGGTAAAGATAGAAACCAGAACCTCATACACTTCGATAGGACTGTAAAATGGTGCAGTTACCTTGGAAGTAATCATTTACTTGCCAAAGACTTACCATGCTAGCAAGCAGTTTCACTTATGTTCACATTAAAAAAGAAAAAAGAAAAAAAAAAACTTGTGCACAAGTATTTTTAGAGGCATTAGGCACAATTGATAAAATAGAATACAGCCATGTAGTAGAATATTTGGCAAGGAAAGAAATGAAGTACTGATGGATGAAACTTGAGAAACAATGTTAAGTGAAAGAGGGCAGTCACCAGAGACCATGTGTGTGATGCCAGAATGTCCAGAATGGGCAACTCTGTAGAGACAGAGAAGAGATTAGTGGCTCCTAGCATGGGTGATGTGATTAAGGGAGGTTGGGAGGAGCAGGAAGGTTACTACTTAATGGTGTTTCTTTTTGGGCTAATAAAAGTGTTTTAAAAGTGGGGTGTGTTTGCACAACTCTGGGAATCTATTAAAATTATGAACTGTGCAGTTTAAATGAATGAATGGTATATAAATTATATCTCAATACAACTTACAGAAAAATTCAGTGGCTCTTTTGTACTGCTCGTTTATTTTGCCAGAGAGAAGAGTTTCTACTTGCACAACAAGTACGGTTTCATTTTTGTTGATTTATTCATAGGCAATTCTATTTGCTGGCTATCCATATTCACTAGCAATTATTACTTTTCTGTTAGTTTCTAGTGCCAAACTAAAAAGAAAAAAGAACTGGTTTGGAACAGCAATATATACAGAAGTCGTTGTAGATGGAGAAATTAAAAAAACAGCAAAATCCAGTAGTTCTTCTAATCCAAAATGGGATGAACAGTTAACTGTGTAAGTATCTTGTATAAAGGATGCAACATATTAAAAAAAGAAAGTGTGCTTTTTATGTTTCATATTTATAGGATGACTTCAAACTGATTTTTTTTTTCCCCAAGAAAATACATGATTTAAAATATGAAACATTTTCAGGGCCAGGAATTTAGCTCAGTGGGCACAAGTGCCTCCTTGGCAAGCACAGGATTGTGAGTTCGATCTCTGGTACCAAAAAATAAAGTATGAAACATTTTTAGTAAACTTCACTTTTTAAAAGAGGAAGCATAATACTTTTTGCTTTTTTTATAAACTGAATTATGTCTGTGTAGTTATATTTTCTCTGAATGTCTTGGTATAGAAATAAACAGAAATAGTAATCCTTAATTTTGACATTTATGAAATAATAATAGTTGTATGAATCTGTATAATAAGTATATTATAACAAGTGCCATCAGTTTTCTTTATTTCATTTATTCATTTATTTATTTAATTTTTGAGATAGGATCTTGCTGTGTAGTCCAGGATGGCCTTGAACTCACTACATAGCATATGCTGGCCAAGAACTTGTAGTGATCCTCCTGCCTCAGCCTCCCAAGTGCTGAGATTATAGGTGTGCTCTACCACACCTAGCCATTATTCTTAAATCTTTAAAAACTGGGTCAAATAGAGTATTTTAAAGTCTAAGGAAGACTTTCAGTGTATTGCTGGTATTTTAACTTGTCAGATATAAACATTCTAATCTAGTTGTAAAAGACCTAATGCATTTGAAAGTAAATAATCTTTCTTATTTGTAATTTCATATAATTACTATTGTATATGATATTAAACTGAATTTGTGGTGTTAAAATTAACTGAAATAACTGGCTCAAAACAGTTATCACTCACAGTTATGAGATATGGTTGTGTATTTTTGTTGCAATTTTGCCCTTTCAGAAGCGTAACCCCACAGACCATTTTGGAATTTCGAGTTTGGAGTCATCATACTTTAAAAGCAGATGCTTTATTAGGACGAGCAACTATAGATTTGAAACAAGCTCTGTTAATGCACAATAGAAAATGTAAGTTTTTGTTCTGACATTTGTTTCTTTTAGATCTGTTGAATATGCATACACTGTAATAATAATTTTGTATTCATAAGGGAGAACTTCAGTAATTGCTGGTAATTGTTTGAGTTTTTGGCATTATATAAGTGATTCTTACTGCGAAACACTTAAAAAATGATGTCATTCATCCACAAGTACTCTGCTTTCAGCCATCAGCAGTCATTTATTATTTCCTCACTGTATACTTTAAAATTTGAAAAATGATCATTCTCTGAGCCTGTTCTATTTGTTACCTGATTGATATGTAATTTTAGTTCGATAAATGACTTCTAACTTTAAATTTTCTTTTTTCAATATATAGCTATTCTTTGTAGCAAATAGAATATGGAAAGTCACAGAGTAGTGTAGAAATTATCTACCTCTTTTCTTCTATTCACGAATAGACGTTCGTAATATTTCCTTGTTCATACATAAACATTTTCTGTTGTTCTTTGCATGTGTTTATTTAGCTCCTAAAATGTTTTTTTAATTTTAAAGAGGGTAAAACTAAACATAACAAAACAGAACAAAGCAGATAGAAGAAAACAATGTAAGAGACAAAGATTTTAACGCAAGACAATGGGAGATCTTCACTGTCTATCATATTGTTTCTTGTTTTCTTCTAAATAGTTATCCATATCTTCACAGACAGTGAATTCATACAAAGCAAAATAGTATTAAAACTGATCAGAACAGGATGATGAAGGTGTTTTAGGTCTTCAAAACCAGACAGTAAAGAACTCAACAATGTCTGCCATAATGTCTCTCGTTCTCTTCAAAATAGCTGTCCATACCTTCATGTATGTTGAAATTAAACAAAGCAGACTAAAATCACTCTGAATAAAGAATTAATAGTATTGTTGGATTTTACAGCACGGCACTACAGAATCACCACTGGATACCATAGTGTCTCTTTTTCTTCAAAGTAGCTGTTGACTTCATCATGCATAAAATAATCGTCATAAACTGTTTAGGAAAAGTTTTATGCATGTATGAGTCTCTACATGTATACCTATCCTTTCCATATTAGAGGGAAAAACAAAACAAAACAACTAACCCTAGAAAAACACGAAACAAAAAAGACATATAACAATAGCAATAAGCCCAAAACAAGGTAGTAGGTCTTCAAAACAAGGTAGTAGGAGCATAACTGGGGTTGTTATTTTACATAATGATCTTCAAGAGGTCCTGAGATTACCATACATCTGATAATATGAACAATTGTTCTAATCCTGTGAGTGTTAACTGTTTTGTTCCAAGAATTACAGAGTTTGTAGCACAGTCATTTTAGCTATCTTAAGTGTGTTTATATAATTTTAGATAATTTTTTTCTCTTTTTCTTTTTCCCTGAGATATTATTTTTTCCCCTTTAAGCAGATGCTTATCCTTTCACTGTACTTACTGAGTTTCTTGTATCTTCTGTACTCTTACCATTTCTTACACTAGGGAGACTATACAGTATTTACACATGTGACTGATTTATTTCACTTATGAGTATGGTCTTGAGTTGTATACATGTACTTATACATATCTCAATGTGATCATTCTTTATAGCTGAATAGTACTCCACATCTGTTTTTATCCATTCCTTAGTTGATGGGCATTTAGGTTGTTTCCAAGATCTGGCTATTACAAATTGTGCTGCTATAACTATGGGTGTACATATATCACTGTGATATGATGCTTTCAATTCTTCTAGGAATATGTCGAGAAGTTGAATAGCTGGGTCAAATGGGACTTCCAATCCCAGCTTTTTAAGAAATCTCCAGACTGACCTCCACAATGGTTGCACCAGTCTACACTCCCACCAACAGTGCAGGAGAGTTCCCTTTTCCCCACAGCCTCTCCAGCATTTGTTGTTGGTAGTTTTATTGATCCTGGCCATTCTTTCTGGAGTGAGATGGAATCTCACTGTTATTTTAATTTGCATTTCTCTAATGACCAATGATGATGAACATTTTTTCTTGTATTTATTTGCCATTTGTATTTCTTCATCTGAGAACTCTGTATTCATCTCAGATGCCCATTTTGGATTGGGTCTTTGAATTTCAGAGGTCCAATTTTTTTTAATTCTTTATATGTTTTAGATAGAAGTTCTTTGTCTGAGGGACAGTTCACTAAGATTTTTTCCCAGTTTGTGGGTTTTCTTGTCACTGTGCTGGAGATTTCTTTTGACATGCAGAAACTTTTTAATAAGAGGTCATCCCAGTTATTGATTCTGGGAAGTATTTCCTGTGCGGTTTGAGTCCTGTTCATGAATTCTCTACCTACCCCTAGGCCTTCAAGGTTTTTACCCAATTTATTTTCCAATAGACTTAGTGTTTCTGTTTTACTATTCAGATCTTTGATCCATTTAGATTTTAGTTTAGTACATGATGATAGGCATGGGTCTAGTTTTAGTTTTCGGCATATGGAGAACCAGTTTTTCCAGCACCATTTATTAAAAGAGACTGTCGTTCTTCTAGTGAACATGTTTGGCCCCTTTATCAAAGATAAGGTGGTTGAGTGTGTTTGTAATTGTGCTTGTATCTCCTAATCTATTCCATTGATCTTCAGATCTGTTTTTATTCCAGTACCATGCTGATTTTATTACAGTAGTCTGTAGTATAACTTCAAGTCAGGAATTGTGATGACTCCTGCCTTGACTTTGTTGCTTAGAATTGCCTTTGCTATTCTAGGTCTCTTTTGGTTTCAGATGAATTTTAGGAATGATTTCTCTAGATCTGTGAGGTATGCTAGTGGCATTTTGATTGGGATTGCATTAAATATGTATAACAATTTGAGGAGAATGGCCATTTTCTCAATGTTTGTTCTTCCTATCCATGAACAAGGGATCTTTTCATTTTCTGAGGTCTTCTTTGATTTTTTTCAGGGTATTATAATTTTCCCTGGATAGATCTTTTACTTCTTATGTTAGATTGATTCCTAAGTATGTGATTTTTTTTTTTTTGTATGCTATTGTGAAGAGTGTGGCTTCTCTTCTCTCTCAGTGATTTTGTTGTTAAGTGTATAGGAGTGCTATTAATTTTTGAGTATTGACTTTGTATCCAGCTACATTACTGAATTTATTTATTATACCTAGGAATCTTTCAATGGAGTTTTCGGGCCTTCTATGTAGAGTATCATGTCATCTGCAAATAATGATAATTTAACTTTTTCTTTTCTTATCTTTACTCCTTTTACTTCTCTCTCTTGTCTAATTGTTCTGGCTAGTATTTCTAGCACTATATTGAACAGGAGTGGTGATATTGGACATTCTTGTCTTGTTCCTGATATTAGGGTAAAGGCTTTCAGTTTTTGGCCATTTAATATAATGCTGTTGGGTGTTGGTTTGTTGTAGATGGCTTTTATCATATTGAGGTAAAGACTATGTATTCCAGTTTTCTGTAAGGTTCTTATAAATAAGTGTTGGACCTTATCAAAAGCTTTTTCTGCATCTATAGAAATGACCATGTGGTTCTTATTTTTGGTTCTACTGATATGGTGGATTACATTTATTGATTTATGTATGTTGAACCATCCCTGCATTCCTGGGATGAATCCTACTTGGTTGTGGTGAATAATCTTCTTGATGATTTGTTGCATTCTGATTGCCAAAATTTTATTGAGAATTGTTGCATCTATGTTCATTAGGGAGCTTGGCTTATAGTCCTCTTTTTTGGTTGGGTCTTTCTCAGGGTTTGGTATCAATGTTCGCTTCCAGGAATAAGTTAGGGAGAATTGCTCCCCTTTCAATTTCATTGAAGAGTTTGAGGAGTGTTGGCATTAAATCTTCTTTGAATTTCTTGTAGAATTCTGCAGTGAATGCATTTGGACCTGGGCTTTTTTTGTTGGTAGGGATTTAATCACATTTTTAATTTCATTAATCGAAATTGGGTTATTCAGCAGTTTTATATCTTCTTGACGCAGCTTTGGTACTTATATGTTTCTAGGAATCTGTCCATTTCTTCTGTGTTATAGAGGTTTTCAAAATAGGTATTGAAGATATTCTGTATTTCCACAGGGTCTGTAGTGATTTTACCCTTTTCATTCCTTATTGCATGAATTTGAGCTTTTTCTTTCCTTTTTAAAAATAAGATTGGCTAGAAGCCTGTCAATTTTATTTATTCTTTCAAAGAATAAATCAACTTTTTGATTCATTGATTCTTTGTATTGTTTTCTTAGTCTCTATTGTATTGATTTCTGCTCTGACCTTTATAATTTCCTCCCTTCTTTTGGTTTTGGGCTTGACTTCTAGCCCATTCTTTTTCTAGGTGTTTAAGGTATAGCATCTGGTTGTTTATTTGTGTTCATTCTGTTTTCCTGATGTGGGAATTCACTGCAATAAATTTTTCTTTTAGGACTGCTTTCATTGAGTACACAGGTTCCAGTGAGATACATTTGTATTTTCATTTCTTCTTTAATTTCCTCTGTGAACCACTGATTGCTCAGGAGTATATTATTCAGTTTCCATGTGTTTGTGGGGTTTTGGTAGTTTCTTTTGTCATTAATTTCTAGTTTCTTGGCACTATAGTCTGATAACATGCATGAGATAATTTCAGTTCTTTTGCATTTACTTAAGCACGTTCTGTGAGCTAGTATATGGTCTATTTTAGAGAATGTCCCATGTGCTACTGAGAAGAATGTATATTCTGATGTTGTTGGGTGGAACATTCTATATATGTCCACCAAGTCCGTTTGTTCACAAGTGTGATTCAGTTCTGTTTTTTTTTTTTTATGATTTTCTGTCTAGTTGATCTGTTCCTTTGTGTCAATGGTATGTTAAGATCTCCTGTTATAATTGTGTTACTGCTTATTTGAATTTTCATTTCTGTTAATACTTGTTTTGTATAGCTGGGTCCTCCCGAATTTGGTGCATGGATATTTAAGATTGTTATCTCTTTCTTTTGGAGTTTTCTCTTAATTAGTATGTAATGACCTTCTTTATCTCTTTTGATCATTCTTGGTCGAAGTCCACATTGTCTGTAAACAGAATAGCTACCCCTACTTTTTTTTTGGTTTCTTGTTGCATGAAGTATTGTTTTCCATCCTTTGACTTTCAGTCTGTGAGTTTCCTTTTGGGTCAGATGGGTTTCTGGTAGACAGCATGTGCTTGGATATTATTTCTTGATCAATTCTGCCAGTCTGTTTCTTTTAATTGGTGAATTGAGGCCATTTATATTAATGTTTATAACTCATATATGTTGGTTTATTTTTGACATTATCTTTCTGCTGTTGATTTTTTACCTTTATAGTCTGTTTGCCTTGCTTGATGTTTTATTCCTATGTCTTTCTAGAATGTTATTCAGTATTCTTTGCAGGGTTGGTTTGGTGGTCATGAAGTTCTTCAGCTGTTCTTTGTCATGGAAGTATCATTTCTCCATCCATTTTGAAGACAGTTTTGCAGGGTACATCAGTGTGGGGTGAATGTCATTTTCCTTTAGGATCTGAAATACTTCACTCCATGCTCTTCTTAACTTCACTGTTATGTTGAGAAGTCTGCTGTGAGTCTGATAGGCTTTCCTTTATAGGTGATCTGTCTCTGCTGTCTAGCAGCTTTTAATATTCTGTTCTTAGGTTGGATTTCAGGAATGTTGCTTTATCATATGTGGGGGTGTAATTTTATTTTGTTTATGGTTATTTAGAGTTTTGTATGCTTCACTGATCTGTATGTCAGTTTCCATTCTCTTGTTTGGGAAAGTTTCAGCTATTACTTCTGTAAATAGCCTCTTGATATCATTTGTGTTGTCCCCTTTTTTTTTCATTTATACTTATCAATCTTCTGTTGTTTTTCTTGGGGTCATCTTGAAGCTGTTGGATTGTTATTTCCTGATTTCTTGTTATTTTAAAAAGATTTTTTCGTGTTCATTAGCTGCAATCTTGTCTTCAAGGTCGGAAAGTCTGTCTTCCCTTTCACTGAGCAGTTTTGCCAACTTTTGATGCAATTCTTGATTTCCTATATAACTCTTTGAATCTGTTTCATGCATTATTTATTTCTTATATTGTTCATTCAAGGTTTCTGTCGTTGTGCTTGTTCTTTTGATTTTTTTAAACTATGTCTTCTTTAGATGTATTCAGCATTTCTTTCATTACACTTATCATTTCTTCTTTTACCTTGGAGATTATTTCTGATCTGAGTTCTTTTATAGCTTCTTGGAGTTGTTTCTTTACTTCAGTTGTTATCTTTTCAGGAATTTCAGGTATATGGCTTACATTTTCTTCTGTGTCCATGTCCCCTAGGCTTGCTTGGGTTGGACTGAAAGTTTAAGATTGCATTTTGCTCTTTCATTTTATCATTTTCTGTATTTCCAGGTTTCCAGCATTGTTACAAAGCTTCCCCTGTGTGCTGGGAATCACCTGGCCTATTTTTGGGTCCGGGGCAGACTGTAGGTAACTGCTAGTTGCTTGGAGATTGCTGGGCATGGTGTTACTGCTTTGGAACAACACTGCAATGCTTCCCTGTGGGCTGGGATTCAACTAGCACACATTCGGCTCCCGGGAAAAAATGGCTGTATGTTTATGAATTTGTAATTCTGGGGGCAGGATTTAGAGCCATGATCACTTTCTTAAAATAGGTGATTCATTGAAAACAGAGTTCTAGTCCATGAGTTTTAAGAACTACTGTTTCTTCACACCATTATTTAATTTTGTATTATCTGACACGAGGCAGTTTGTAATAGTTTGCTGAAACTAATGCCCTGTTCAAATCTAAATCTTTGTGTTCATCTTAGTTTACTTATTGTCTCAATTCCAAAACAGTGTTAGTGCTGAAAACGTTAGTGCTTAAAAGAAGTGGGTATTTTTTTAAAGCGCTTTTGAAAATCCATATATAACCTAAAAATTTATTTTTGGTATAGAATTTGGACATAAATACATTAATTATTTTGGTTTATACCAATTAATGAGCCATACTCAGTCTTGTGTAAGCTCAGATTTTTCAAAACATGTTGTCTTGGAACCATTGTGAGTTTCTTTACTGTGCCTTGACTATTTTTAAGATCATACAGTTTGTCTTAATACAGAAATAAGACATTTTATAAGGATATAGTTCCTTGCCTGGGTTATTAGTTAACCATACCTTTATCATTGGGTTTAAATTGTTTCTAAATCAGTTACATTAGACTGTACTGAACCTCGGTGTTGAGATTATATTTATCTCCCCTTTAAAGATTTTACCATAATGATCATCTTGAATGCAGTAAAATTCAATATGTTTTGAAATGAAATCATTATTAATATTATAAACTTATAGTTATCTCTTAAGATTTAATTCAGCAAAATATGCTTGGAATAAAAAATAATATAAACATTTATGTAGTAAAGAAATCTTTGTAAGTTACATTGCTAGCATCTTACAAGTTGTCAGTAAGTGTTTTTAATAAGTGAAAGGTACATTAATTTGCTGGAGTTGCCACAACAAAATACCATGGGCTGGACACGCTAAGCAACTGGAGGTTATTTTCTCTTCTGGAACCTAGAAGTCTACCATCAAAGTGTTGGTGAGATTAGTTTCTTTCTGCCTTGTCAGGAGCCATTCTGTCTTTCTGTCCTCATCTGGTCTTCTCTCTGTGTGTTATCTAAATTTTCTTTCTTCTGAGGACTTAAGTCATTTTTATTAGGGTCCACCCTAATGACATTATTTTAACCTAATTACCTCTAAAGATCCTTACTCCAAATAGTTACATTTTGAAGAACTGGAGGTTAAGACTTCAGTGAGATTCTGTTTAAGCCACAATAATAGGTAAATTATTTTTAAAAATTAAACCAGTGTTTTTAAAATGTGTAACATACTATTTACTATATTCAGCTGCAGTGCAGTAGGTTTCCAAGGGAAAACTTAGTTCTGTTTGAGACTTTGTATTTTTCGGCAGTCATCTTTATATTCTCCGCATTCCCTGTTAATTGTTAATATGAATTCTGTGAAATACAAATTGAAGAAAAATAATTTTGTGTATAAACTAGATTTCCAGTAATGGAAAATATTTAACTTTATATAATAACAAAGAAATAAACTCTTGTCATACTGTTAGCATATATGTGTCGTGTATGGTACTAGAGCTGCCTACATGGTTCCCATTTGGTCCTTAGAACTGTCCCTTTAGTTTGAAGCTCTTGACTTATACTGTAGTGAAACAACTGAGGCCTAAAGAAATTTTAAGCAGGTTACTCAAAGTATAGTTAGTGAGTAGCACAGCTGGAATTTAATGCCTCTCATGCAGGAATTGTGCTTCAGCTACAAGGATCTTCCTTGGGACTTTGGGCCGAAGACCATGTTTAGTCAATTGTTGCAGCTGTTATCTAGATATATATTCTCTGGCATTTATACTGTGCAAAGAAGGCATAGAGTGGGAAGGAAGAGTTGCTTAAGGAGTCATGAAAGGGATCAACCTTGGTGTAATATAACAGACCTACCATTAAAAATTCAAAGACCTGCTTCCAAGTGTAGCTATCAGGTACTGAATTAGAGTAACTCTTGAAATGTAGTTTTGATTTCTAAAGTATATTCTGGTGGTAAAAGCTGTTAACTGAGGCTATTTCCTTTTCTAGTGGAAAGAGTAAAAGAACAATTAAAACTTACCTTGGAAAACAAGAATGGCATCATGCAAACTGGTGAATTGACAGTTGTGCTTGATGGATTGGTGATTGAGCAAGAAAACCTACCAAGCTGCACCTCATCTCCAACCAGTAAGCAAAGTTTATGTGTTTTTAAGATTTAAGGGAAAAGTCAGTGGGAAGTATATAAAAATGTAGTTTCTTTCTTTCTTGTTGTTTAGTGGAAATACAGCAAAATGGTGGTGCCTTACATGAAAATGGAGAGCCTTCAGCAAGGACAACTACCAGGTAGAATATGACATAGCATTTCCCATTTGTGAGGTTTCAAAGATTAACTATAATTTAGCATTTGCCACAGAATTAAAAAGTTTTTGTGTAAATCATGTTCATTCATTGAATTCTTATGAAACTAATTGTAAATTTTTTTAGTTGTACCATAAAAGTCACTTGTGTAACTGTTCACTTCATTAGATCTTAGTGTATTCATATGTTGGCACTACTTTCTGCTTTCAGAACACTCGTAACCCTCTCCAAAAGAAGCCGTGTCTGGCAGCAGTCCCTCCCCTTGCTTTCTTCTCTCAGCCTCTGACATTTTGTAACCTGCTTTCTACTTCAATAGATTTGTCTTTAATAGCAATTTCATATAAGCAGACTCATAGAGTGTGTGAACTTCGTGGCTGTCACCTAGTGCGTTTCAGGGTTTACTTACGGTGTAGCACGAAATTCTGTCATTACTGAATGTCTTTTAAAAATTTGTTCAGGCATGTCTTATAAACAAATAGAGTTAGATACTACAGAATAATCTTACTGTTGTCCAGAACAGTATTCTCCTGTTGATCATGAGGAGGTAAATTTTCTACAAATTGTGGTTTTTCACAAAAATCATCTGTTTTGAAAACTCCCTGGCATTCATGTTTCATGACAATTAATAGAGGCTCTGTATTTCAAATGTGGAGATAAAACCTGAAAATATAAAAATATATTGCTGTCAAATTAATTCAGCATATTTGAAAAAGCAATAAGATATATGACCTTTATTACTCTATAGAGTTATTAATAGCATCACTGTTAAATAGGTGTTAAATAATTCTCATTAAAGCATTTGAAAAGGAAACTGTAGTTTCAGAATGTATACTTGCCTTTAAATATATTTAGTGTCCCTATTATAATTTATATTGAGGAAATTAATGACTGAAAGGACACATGAGGCTGATTAAAATGCCTTATTGTGTGAAATCTGTCTCTGCTTTTATGTTGTAAGATTAGCAAGAAGCACCCTGAGAAAGGGAATGGGGAGAAATTGCCTAAAACACGAAGGCAGAGGACATTGTTAATAGTGTATCAGGATTTAAAAACCACATTAGTCTTATCGCTCTGTTTAGTTTGATTATATTTTGTTCCAGTCTCTCTACTCATACTAGAGTGAGGGCACAGACAGCTGTCCCCAAAATAGCAGGCTATACTACAGTAACTATCCTTAATTTCCTATTAACTTAAACTGAAGCCCTGTATTACTTACATTGTCTTACTGTGACTGATCTTATTTGAAGCAAGTTTGTTAGACCACTGTTTAGCCTTGACTGATTTTATTTGAATTTGCTTGATAGTATCAATAAGAGTAGAGGCAACTGCTCTGAAGATGACAAGATGTAATAAGATACCCATTCCGGTTTGAGTATTAACTGCTTTTGAAGTCATACAATGTCTCCAATGCTGTGTTTTTATTAACATTGCTGTGTAATGCTAAAAAAAAAAAAAAAGATTAGGAGAAGGAGTTTGAAAAGAAACAAATCTCAGAGACATAGGATGGGAATGGGGTTATTTTTTCTAAAGCTTTTCAGACTGTGGTAGGAAATTTAGTATTTTTCCTCCCAAGTATAGTTTAATCAGGAAAGGGACATGATATTATTTCTATTTTTTAAAAACATATTTAGGATGCTTTGTAGGTATATAGTGTTCTCTATATTTGGAAGAGCTTTCTTGGTCACTTCCATGATATTTTCCAACATCTATTCACTGTCAGTAGGACTTAAGATGTCTGATTTTGTAGTTTTTATTTATTTGGAGTTAACTTATATACTATAAATTTTTATCATTGGGGGCTATAACAGCTTTCTCTGATCATCATGTACTCATAATTGTAGTGACTAATGCATAATTTGTAGTCAATAATTTGCAGGTGTTTTCAGCTTTTTGCAGTACTCAATAAAATTACAAGTGTAGAATTGATTTTTATAAGTTTCATAGAATTTCATGAGCTTTTTGCAGTTGCTTTTAAGAGTATTTAAAATGAATTATTACTCAGATTTAAATAAACTACAATTTGAATATTATTTTTGATGGACTGAATTGACTCTCAGTGTATTTGTAAATCTTTTTTTTTTATGTCTGCCAATATAGGTGCATCTAGAGCTGAGAGTAGTTTAAACATTAATGTAATAGAAGCAGGCATATCTTTATACCTGTCTCTTAACTCGAGTGGTAAGAAATCAGTAAATATTTACAAAAATATAGATGGAAAATTGTTTAATTGTACTTAACTCATTGAAGTAAGATACTTTTTTCTTTTTAAAGGTTGGCTGTTGAAGGTACTAATGGAGTAGATAATCATGTACCTACAAACACTGTAGTCCAAAACGCATGCCATTTGTATATAGTTAATGGAGACAGTGCACCTTCATCTCCGTCTCAGGTTGCTGCCAGACCCAAAAATACACCAGCTCCAAAATCACTCTCATCTGAGCCTACCAGTGACACTGGTAAGCATGGCTACTTATGAAACATTGTTGAAATGAAAACCAAATTAAATTTTCTATCTGTGCCTGTGCTCCTTTTTTGTGCAGTCTTCTCTTCTGTGATTAGAATTTTAAAATTACAACAGCTAAATTTTTTCTAAATTCGAAATTTTCTAGATTATATACTTAGGAAGATGTTCCAAAAATGTAGTAGTTTACTGATCACAATGAATTTCACTAAGCATTTATATGATAGCTAAGTTCTTTGATTTTTATGCCACAAAACACTATTTAATTCATGAAATGAAATGGATTCCTGAAAGAACTTTAATGAATTCATTGGTTTGTTAGAGTTAGTAATGAATGATTGTCTCCTGGTAAAGAATTTTTTTTTATTGCCTTAGTAGCTAACTTGGGAGAAAATTTTGATATATCTATCAAAAAGTTTTATTTCTGAAGAATAATAATTACAGTAGAAGGAATGCCTAAGGATGATTTGTTTTTTTATAATCATGTTTGGACCTATCTGAAAATACACCATAATATGAACAACATAACATTGTCCATTGTGCCATTTTATAGAGTCTTTCCTTTAGGTATAAATTTACTTCATAATTCCAAGAAAGACTACACAATAGAATTTCATAAAATTCTGCTTTATATTGCCTCTTATCCAGTATAGAATGATATAAACATCATAGTACATATCAATTAAAAATTATTCCACAGATAGCCAAAGATACTTACCTGAGTATGAGTTCTTCACAATGAGATACAAATCTATTGCTTTTTAGCCTAAGAGATTTTAAAGTTATTAAATAGTAATCCATACTTTTTTTAGAAAAAAACCTAATTATCCATACATTTTAAAATTTTCATTTTAAATAGTATAATTTAAGAATTCTTCAAAGAGGCTGTAAACATAAACAATAGAAAGATCAGAACTTGTTCACCTTATATGGCCAAATAAATGAATTGGTATGTGATACGGGATTATTTTTGGATTCGGAATGGTTAAGCCCATTCCATTCTTAATTCTGCTTCTAATAATAAAATAAAAGTACGGAATGCTCACTTTAGGAAGTTTTTTTACCACCTTTTTTTTCTTGTCATCTCCCTCCACTTAAAAGTGTATAAATTTAGAGGTTTTTAGCTCTTACTCCTAAAATACATGGGTGTTTGAGTAGGTTGGTAAAAGTGTGTTTTGCCCATTCATTGCGTGTTTTGATGTTTGGCTGTATTTGAATATTGATGTAAAAAGAAGAAGGCATTAACTGAGGCTCTTCGCATTGTTGAATCTGTTTCTACTGCCACTTTATAGAGTCTCTACTTTAGGTATAAATTTACTTCATGTATTGCTTCCTTGGTTATCTTCGCCTGAAATTTCAAGGTGAAAATAAAGCACACATATGAGAAACCATTCTCACAGCATTCATAAGGAAACCTGTGACAGTCTGGATAATGCTGTTAATAGCTAATGTTTTTGTTGTACATGTTCCAAATACTGTGTATCCATTAATGGATTTAATTCTTACAGGACTCTGCAATAGGTACCAATGCTTTTCGCTTTTCTCCGATGAGGGGACTGAAACCCAGAGGTCCCACAGCTAGGAAGTAGAAGGGTATAATTGGCATCCAGCTTTGTGGCTTTCTGCTTTGTACTGTGTCCACTTTGTAGTTTGTGTATTTCAAAGGAGCAATACTAATTTTTTATGCTACCAATTGTCTTCAAATGATTCTTTCCCTCCCTTTTCACTTCCTTTGACTATTGTTGGAGTCCTTTGACAAAACAATCCAAGTCATCATTCTGTTGACTGGTTTACAAAGGCTTCCGGAACCCTGTGTTACTAGCAAGCACTTAACTGATGTCTTTTTGTATGGTTGCCCACCCTTGCTAGGAGGATGACTTCAGGTATCTTTTTAAGGAACAAATAGTCCCTATCTGTTTAAGATGATGATACAAAATGATGCTCTTTTTTTTAAAGTTAAAATTAGTTTTTGTGGTTGGGGTCATGGAGATAAGACTGGGGGAATACATGTTCTGGGTATAAATATAAGGTCTTCAATGTTTTCTGTGCTGCTATGGTCAAATGTGATTTGTTCCTCTACAAAAGGTTCATGTGTTGAAAGTTTTATCTTTAATGAACAGTGAGAGATGGTGGACCTTTAAGAGGCAGAGTCTGTTGAATGGTTCTTAGCTCATTGGGAGCATCACTTTGGGTGAAATAAGGTAGTCTGTGGTCTCAAGAGAGTATGCTGTTTCCAAATGTGAGCCTGAGCTCTGAATTGGTCCCTGCTTCATGTCTCAAAACCTGATCTGAGCCGGCTTGGTGGAGCATGTCTGTAACCCAGCACTAAGGCTAAGGCAAGAGGCTGAGGCAGGAGGATCACATTAAGGTGAAGGTCAGCCTGAGCCACATAGTGGGTTCAAGGCCAGTCTGAACTACATAGTGAGACCCTGTCTCAAACAAAGCAAAACAAAACAAAAGGAGAAATCTTACCTACCAGAGCTAGCTGATGACACTGTCATGCCCCTGAATCTCTCAAATTGAGCTAAATTAATGACTTGACTTTATGAAGTTACACAACATTTGCTATTTTGTTACAGTAGTAAAGAAATTACCAATTTTTTTGTAAACTCATTTGATGACAAAAAACTGACATGAAGCTATATGTAGTTTTTATTTATGATGCTTATTATGCATGTTCCTGCATTTTACATAGAAACTTGTTCCTTTAAGACAAAAAAGACAAGTTAAAGGATATATGTGAACGTGTGGCTATAAGATATGGTCTTCTATTAGTGGAGGAAGAGATGAGATACTTTGCATAAGCTTTCATTATACCTATAACATAATATTTTAATCATTTGCTTACATATGAGTCTCCATCGACCTTCTTGGTCTGTGTGCTTATAGTCCTGTTCTTTTTCCTTTCTATTGTTTCTCTTCCCTTCTTTCCTTTCTTTGTGTGTGTGTGAGAGGGAAGAGAATTTGTTCAGTCATTCTTGTGTCCATCCATTTGTTGATACATATTTATTTAGCATAAATACTGCATTCTTCACACTGCCAGGAGTGTTGCTGCGTGTGCTATCAGTTTCTCAGCCTCAGCACTGTTGACATTTTGGGCTGTTCTTTGTTTTAGGGGGCTGTGCTGTGCGTTAGTTGATATTTAGGATGATTACAGACCAGGAGGTGCCAGGAGCCATCTCCCTTGCCCTTAGTTGTGGACAGCACATCTCTAGGCATTGCTCTTGGGAGGCACAGTTTCTCCTACTTGAGAGCCACTGATATGTATGAACAGTAAATTCCACAACCAAAAGTAAGTGTGTAGTATCTTAACAGAGTTCTAGCAATATTGGATAGCCAACTTGCTGAATTGTTGAAGGGAAGTAACTGTTTTAGATTTACTGAAAAATGGGGCAGACAGTACAGAGACCTCATGCTTTTCTTACCCCATTTCAGAATTTCCCGTTGTCAGTGTGTTACATTACTGTGGTACAACTAACGAACTGTTACTGATTAGGTAATGTCTAGTTTTTGATAAGTCGTTCTCTGTGTGTTTCGCTGGGTCTGTGTGTTTTAAGAGATGCCTGTTATCAGGTCCATACCGTTACAGTACCATACTGGTAGTTTCCCTAATGACTTCCCATGCTTTCTCTAGTCATCCCTTCAGAGGTCTTAGAAACTACTGATCTTTTATTGTCTTCATAGTTTTGCCATTTCCAAAATACCATGTAGTTAGAATCATAATTTGGTGTGTAGTCTTTTCAGATTGATTATTTCACTTACCATTGTGCATTTAAGATTCCTCCATGTCTCTGGGTCGATATTTCTTTTTGTTACTAAATAAAATACCAGTGTATGAGTGTACCATACAATTTGTTTATTCATCCATTTGTTGAAGCATCTTGGTTGCTTCAGTTTGGAGCAGTTGAGAATAAAGCTGCTGTACACATTTGCATGCAGTCTTTTGTGTGGACATGAACTTCACCTCATGAGGACTGAGGAATAAGATTGCCACACTGTGTAAGAGTGTGTTTAGTGCTGTAAGAAACTGCCAAATTGTCTTCCAGGGGGCAGTGTTGTTTTCATTCCCACCAATAAAGGAAGAAAGTTTCTGTTGCTCTGCAATCTTAATCAATATTTGTATTCTAAAGAAAGTTAAATTATTTGTATTTCTTAACTATTAAATTTTCTATGCATTCATGTTTTATATCTTTCTCTGTTCATTATTTCTTAGAAATCTTCTAGTTTTCTTCAGCTAGATCTTAAATGTAACCTTGATATTGAACTTGTGTCTGGTCATTTTACTGAAATACTTTAGTTCCAATTAATTAATTGTTTATAGTAGTTTTATAGTTGATTTTTTGTGTATGTTCTAATAAATAATCTCGTTCTCAAGTGAGTTTTCTTCATAGCACACCCCACCCCCAGTAGAGTTCTGTAATTTATTATTATTCTTTAACTCCTTTGGTTACTTCTTTAGCATGTCCAGTTGCATTTCATACATTGTCATTATCATTAATTCCCCTAAATTTTTATTTCCTCTTCAATTCAGTAATTTTATTTTTTTATTTTGCCCTCTAAACTGGGCAGATTTCCTTTTTAAAATTTAATTTTTTATTTTTGTAGTACTAGAGATTAAGCCCCTGCCCTTTTCTTTCTTTTTTAAAATAATTAATTAATTATTTGTTACAAGACTCCCCGAGTCACTAAATTTAGACTGGGCTCAGACTTTCAATCCACCTGCCTCAAACTCCCAGAGTGCTAGAATTACAAGCAAATCATCATTTCAGTGAACATATGAGAACCAATTTTCTGACCTATAAAATGTGAATAATGCTAGGGTTTGGATTGGAGCATTGTATTGTGAGGATTAAATAATCTGAAAAGTATAGAACATGTTGCTAGACATCTAAAAATATTTCAATAAATTACATTTTATTTTGTTTTTGTTTTTATTAAATCATAGAATATACACACATGATTGTACTACTGTAAATCCTTGGTTTTTGTGCATGTCAGGTTCTCTAAAAATATAGTGTTTATTTGTGATTAGAAATACAAGAATGAACAAGTTTTCCCAAGCTTTTGCACTCCAACCTTAATGTAAAACAAGTAAATGATTTCAAAGGAAGAGAAAAGAAAAAGAAACGTAATACCGAGTAAGAGGTCAGGACATGTGCAACATTATATAAGATACTCAGGGACTGCCTTTCTGAATCTGTGATGAGAATGAATTGGAAATGATGAGAAAGGGCGAATCATGAAATATTCTGAAACTCAGGAACAGTAAGTACATATTCCTGAAGTGGGAAGAGTTTTTCCATTTAAGAAACAAAAAGACAACCCTCCTGAGAAGTCAGATGCAGCTGTGGGCTGGCCTATGCCGAATCACTGTCTTGGGCTGTGTTGAAGACCTTAGTATTTATTCCGCTTGCCATAGGACACCATTCAGATGATTAATCAGGGGAGTGAAAAGATCTGTTTTAAAGGATTGATTCTGCTGCTGTTGGAAGATTAGATTGAGTTAGACAAGAGAGGAGGGTTAAGAGACCAATTAGGAAACTGTCGCAGTATTTGCAAACAAGGTACAGGGGAATGGGGTAGAGTGGCAAAGAAAGGTAAAAGAATTGCTGAGAGCATCTGCTGTTAAGTTAAATAATACATTTGGAAGAGAAGTTTGCCTTGAAAGACTGGTAAAGTCTTCTCTTCTTTTTCTGTTTCTAACAGTTTGTGTTTCATGTGCTATGTTTTACTATACACAAAGTTTTATGACTGTTCTTGGACTGGATTGTATCTTTCCTAAAATACTACTCTTTATTTAATGTTCTGTTGGCTGCTGTTTTGGCTTGGAACTACTATTGATAATCCTTTTGTGGGAATTAATTTCACATCATGAAGGAATGAAACTTCAATGAAATAATGTTTGTGAGCGAGTATCATAAAGAAATGAGAATTCAGTCTCTGCATGGTCTCTATTTCTCCATGAATCCTAACAGTGTTGAGTATGGAGTAGTTCTCTAAATGTTTTTTTGTTAATTTTTTTTAACCCTCCAGCCATTCTGTCCTCCATGTTTGGTACAGTGCTTGATTTATTCTGTTGCTTTTTGACATACCATTTGATTCCCTTCGTAGTAAGTCTTGTTCTTTCTTTAGGGAAAAAAAAAAAAAAAAAAAAAAAAAAACCCAAAGATTCCCTTAGTCTAATTCTGTCTACTTCTGTTATTTCCATTAGCACTTTGATACGTAATCTTCTATAGGTTTTATTCATTAAAGTATTCTCCTTGCATTTATAATTTGACTCATTTTTTTAGTGGTATATAGCTGAAATGTATCAGTTACACTTAACATGAAAATTAAGAAAACTATCACTGGGTTTTACTAATGGGTTATATCTTCCGAAAGTATAGAACAGTTCTTTTTGTGGTCCCTTCTAGCATTATTTTAAGGATTAATGCCATTGTGTATTTGCTACTAGACAAAATTTTAAAAGAAAATTTATTAACTTCCATTGATACGTAAAAAGGAACATCGAAAGGTATCATTCAGACTTTCTCTCAAGAATTGAAGGAAAGCATTTATTATCCAAATGCTGGCTTTTCTTTCCTGTAGTTAAGATTATTTATATATTGTGTGTGTGTGTCTATAAAATAAAGTTATATATAAATATATACCACAAGCATACATATTATGAATATATAATAATCTAAATATGTAAATTTTATATAATTACAAATTATATAAATAAAATTATACAACTTGCCATTTATATATTTACCCCTAAAATGTAAGCTGTGAGGAATATAATTTGTGTTCAGTGTAGTTCATTGATTGGGTAATTGGGCAGTTTGTTGTTGCTTTATGGCTCACTTTACTAATCTTCCCTTTTCAGTTAATGGAGAATCATCCTCATCTGCGCCAATTGATAATGCTTCCGCCATGGATATTCCTGAAGCATCTGAAGAAGCCACTTTAACTTCAAGTTGCACTAGTGCTGCCACAGAAGATCCTCCCATTCAAGAGACAGCGACAACATCCTCAGAACACAGTGAATGTATTCCTTCCTCCTGTACAGAACCGGAATCTGATGCTAGGAGAAGATTAGACCCTGAGTCCTCTAATTCTGGAACTAGTTCTGCTTTTGACAAATTAAGGCAACCAGATGGGTGTGTGGAAGCTGTACGACAGCAGTCTGGCAATACTGGCACAGAATCTTTGCCATCGGGGTATGTTAAAAGTTCTTTTTGAATGTTTGACATCTATTTAAATAGCAACTTTTTGATAATACATGACTATGGACTATGTATATGAAATGTTTCTGTTGTTTAGCTATTTGAAATCCAAATTGGAATACAAATCATATTTATTTGTTCCAACACAGATTGTTTTTGGAACTAAAAGCAGTTGCTCATCTAGTTGAGCAAGGGAAAGGAAAAAGCTCATCTGTTAATTTATAGGACACTCCTAATTTGCTTTTTACTTTTTGGCAAAAGCAACCGAGGTATTCTGTGTAATAACCGAAGTTTCTCTAGCTTCTTGTTTGGTCTGCTTTACAGACCTGACACTTGAGAACAGCCAGCCGTTCTGTGCTCAGTTAATAGTGAGCGCTGAGCATAGTAACATAAGGCTGCAGCTGGCTGTAATACAAATGTAGGTTTTTATTGCTGCTTAGTTTTTCTTATCCTCCTTTAAATTTCCTCTGACATTATTTAGCTCTTTGTGATTTTCTTAATAGAGTATTCTTTATGTGAATCCCATTTGATCATTTCTTCCGTATTAATTTACCTTTTCTTTGGCACAGCTTGACATTGATACAACTACTAATAATCATTTATTGTTTCTGCCTTCAAGAAGCTTATGTACAGGTTTAGACTTCAAAACATCTGTCTTCAGTATATTTTGAAAGTGCTGTCAATAAAGAGTGTAGACAAAGTGCTTTCCAAGCAACCTACAGTAGTCAGAACGAGGTTGTTAAAATTAGAGCACTCTAATTGCCTTCATTTTCTTGTCACAATAACTTTATTCAAACTTAATTCTTATTTTTGGAATGGATTTTCTCAGTGTTCTTTACTGGCTTATCTGATACTACCCATCAGTTTGTTGTGGTTTCAGCCTTTGGCTTTCTTCTGCATGTGCTTACCTGGTTAGGTAGGTACTGTACTCTGAGTTACTTCAGTAATTTAATCTGTGTATCTATATGTCTCGACCAGGCCTTTCTCTGAGCTTATCTGCATCTCCTTATGGAAGTCTTCTGTTCTTTTTCCTCCAGATACTCCAGACCCTACGTTATCTTCCTCCTCCCCTTCAGAAATCTGTTATCCTGTGCCTCATGCTTTTGATACTTTAGTTATTGATCCTGAGTCTGTCTTGTGCCAAATAATGTGAGGCAGACTTGAAAGACATGAGTTTCTATCAGGAACCCCATTGTCTAGTGAGGAATAAACAGTGACTACAGTTCAATTAAAGTTGTGCCAGAGGTGCGTTTAGAATACTGCAGAGAAGGAACATACAGAAGGTAGAAAGGGGAATTACTTTGGTATAAGGTCAAAGAATAACTCCTGAGCTCCTGAAAGAAGCGTACAAGTTAGCAAAACAAGAGATGGAGGCTCTGCATTCTCAGAACTGCATATTAAAATCTCTCAACATCCATGGAGTGAGTATACTGAACTCAGGAATTAGTATTTTGTTGTAGTTTTAAATTCAGCATTTTCACAAGCAAGACATATAATGTTGAAGAATAAACAATCCTGTAAAGAATTTGTGTGTCTGCCAAAAGTTTAGGAGAAGATTTTTTTGCCTGAAATCATGAGTGAACACTAAAGAATTTTAAAGCCAGCTGTGGCGGCAGACACCTGTAATCACATCACTCTGGGAAACTGAGGCTAGAGGTTCAAGCAAGTTCAAGCCCAGCTTGGGCAATTGTAGTGAGACGTGGTCTCAAAAATAAGAAAGGGTTGGGGGTGTGGCTCAGTGTGAAGGCCCTGGCTTTAATCCACTGTATGGCCAAAATAAAAAAAGCCTAATCGTATTTTTAGTTTATGAAGATCACACTTAACAATGATCATGGACAGATTAGGAGTTAAGGAGTTAAGCCACCGGGTTGTTTTATTGTGTAAGAAAGACATATTTTGGTTTAAAACATTAAATATATAAGCTTAATTTTGTGGAGCCATATAAATGCTTCAGCATGCCTTTTGTCACCATTAGTGATGCTTGTAGTAGGAACATTTGCAGTAATTTAGACGAGTGTTTTTTAGATGATGAGTTGCAATGATGGATTATGGTCAGCATTTAAACACAAAGGATCAATCAATCAAAGATTAGTACACCTTTAGCCAAACTTACTAAAAAAAAGAAAAGAAAAAGCCTATATCAATATAGTTAGAACTGAAAAAAAGGTAAAATCAAAACAGACACCACTGTTTCCAGAAAATCCAGAGGAGTATAAGAAACTATATTGAAAATTTATATTCCAGTTAACTATAGAACCTGGAAAAAGTGGAGAAATTCCTAGGCACATATCAATTACAAAAGTGAACCAAGAAGATACAAAAACCTAAATAGATCAGCAGCAAAAAAATGTAAGAGGTATTAATAAACCCAACCAAGTATGAAAAGTCTGGGACTAAAAACTATAAGTCAATCCCCTTAGTGAACATACACACAAAAATCCTCAAAAAGACTAGCAAACAGAATGTAACAAACCACTCTAAAGATCACACACCATGACTAAGTTGACTTTATCCCTCAGGTGCAAGGATGGTTCAACATATGTAAATTTAAAAATGTAACATATATATACGTAAATCAAAAAATAACACATCATAAAACAAAAGCAAAAACAAAAATCACTCAACACAGCAAAAGCCTTTAACAGATCCAACATACATTCATAACAAAAACACTGACAAAAGTAGATATAGAAAGATGTTATCTCAAACTGAGAAAAAGCTTTATGGAAGATCCACTGCCAGGATCACACTAAGTTGGGAAAAACTGAAAGCATTTCTTCTAAAGTCAGAACAAGATGAGGGTGTTAACTCTGACTACTTCTATTCAATATAAGACTGGAAAGTTTAGCTAGAGCATGAAAGAAAAAGGCACGTAATACGTGTAGGAAAGAAATCAAACTATCCTTACATAATTAATCTTTAAATTTAGCAAAATAGCAGGATACAAAAATCAGTAACACTGTGCGAACAAGGAACCTACTGAGGAAGAAGTCAGGATACATTCTCATTCACAATAGTTTCAAAAAACCCCAAAACAAAAAGTTTTTACACTCATAGGAATTAACCTAACCAAGGAAGTGAAAGACCTCTATAATGAAAACTATATATTCTAAAAAAAGAGATTGAAGAGCATATAAGAAAATGGAGAGACATCCACTGTTTGGATAGCCAGACCCAGTTTTGTCACAATGGCTGTGACAAAAAGGATATATAGAGTTATATAATCCCAATCAAAATACAAATAGCATTCTTCACAGAACTAGAAAAAACAATCCTAAAGTTTATCTAGAACCAAGAGTTCCAGAATAGCAGAAGCAATCCTGGGCAACAAATCAGGAAGCATACAATACTGGATTTCAAGTTGTATTGCAAAACTACAGTAATAAAAACAGTCTGGTACTGGCACGAAGGCAGACATGTACAGCCATGGAACAGAACAGAGGTTGTAAAAAAGCTCTAGGCATCTGATCTTTGATAAAGGAGCCAAAAATAAACATGGAAGGAAAGATTTCCTCTTAATCTACTGGAAGATAAAATAGGTAACACTCTTGAAGGCATAGGTGTATGCAAGGATTTTATGAACAGAACCTTCTTTGCTTAAGAAGTAACAACCAACAAATGGGACTATGTCAAATTTAAAGGCTTCTGCTCAGCAAAGAAAGAACAGAATGAAGTGACAAACACAATGGGGGAAAAGATTTGCCAGCTATTCCTCAGACAGAGGACAAATATATAGAATATATAGGAAACTAAAAAAAATATCCCTCTAATAGAAGGCCCAATCAAAAAGTGGGTAATCAAAATAGAGATACTTCAAGTGCAGAAATACGAACAACCAGTGGGTACATAAAATGTTCATGATCTTTAGCTATTAGAGAAATGCACATAAAAGGAAATGCTGAACAAATGCTGGTGAAGTTGTAGGGAAAAAGGAATTATTTATTGTTAGTGGGAATGTAAACTAGTGCAATCATTGTAGAAAATTAGTATAGAGATTCCTAGAAAATTAAGAATAGAAATTCCATTTAATCTAGCCTAAACCTCTTTCAGTTATCTTTCCAAAACAGTTAAAGGCATCATATTACAGCAGTGAATGCATACCTGTTTATGGCTGTACAACTCATAATAACTAAATCTTAGAAGCAGCCTACCCACCCATCAACAGATGAATGGATAGAGAAGATGTGCTTTATATATACACAGTAGGCTACAATTCAGCCATAAAGAAGGATAAATTTGAGTCGTCTAGGAAAATGAATGTACTTGAGACTATAAAACTAAGCAGACTGGTGATATAGCTTAGCAGCACAGCACCTGCCTGGCAAGTATGAGGCTACGTTCAATTCCTGGTACCAAAAACATAAATAAAACTAAGTGAAAACAAACATGGAACGATAAATATCACATGGATTCTCTTATACAAGAAACGCGAAATATAATTTAAAAAGCAAAATGACAGATGATAGAAAACAGGGAGAATGAACTTTATGGAGATGGAAAAGGGATTTCTAGTTGTGCGCTGTAGTAGAGAGCAGTTGCGAAAAACCGTCACCATAAAATTTTACCAATTTCATTGGAAGCTACTGCGCAGTTCCAGATTCCATGTTGTAAAGAAACTTCACAGAAGATGAAGCTTGAGTCTGTGGTCATGATCCTGAGGTCATGGTTAGAGTTCTCAATGGAAATCGCCCAGTTCTCATGCAAAAACAAGCACATCGATCAAGATTCAGCATCATAGTGATATTAATTGTATTTTTTGATCTTGATGGACTTGTATCAGCTGTTGCTATCCAGGAACACTACAGTGAACTCTGAATGTTATAAGGGCCTAATGTAGAGGTTAAGAAGTATATATAGAAAAAGGCATACTTGAGAAATGGGCAGACAGTTTCATTTTCCACAGACCCATGTCCTGTTCCATTTCCTTTATGGCTGTATCTGCCATAGAAAGTCAAAGAAAATGTCATGGTTTTTTCTCATGTCTTTGTCACTTTCACTGGGACTCAATACCTAACACCAATAAGTAGGACAGATTTATTTTGGTCATGTTTCAGAAGATTCTGTCTTTGCATGGTCAACAGCACGGTGGAAGGGCCTGGTGGAGGAATGTAGTTCTGGTCATCACTGCCAGAGAGCAGAGAGGAGGGGGAGCCAGGGAGGAAGATACTCTACTGTAGGCCGTGCTCCCAGTGACCCGCCTCTTCCAGCTGTAGCCCCATCATCTCCCCGTCTGTCTTCCCAAAGCGCCACCTGTGAGAGCGTGTAGCTCTTGGGGGACCCACAGATACAAACTGTAACACAACATCTGTCATAGTCACTGGATCTAACACTGTGTGACTTCTGCTTTGGCAGTTTCCCAAAGTCAAAATGATTTGAATCAGTTCAGGACATTAAGGCAGCTATGACAGCTCCACTAAAGACCCAGAAGAGGATTTCTAGAACCACTTCAGAGCGGCAAGAACAAGTGTGTCTGAAGCAAGGAGTAATATTTTGAGGGAGCTAATGGTGATGTACCTTTCACTGCAGTCAATCTTTAAAAAATTAAATAGTCACCCTGGTTTTTATCATACCTGAATAAATGTTGAGGGAAATTATATGCAAGCTAGAATTCTGTATCCAGCTACACTGTTAAGTGTGCACATAAAAGAAATATGTTACCATCACCCTAGGTTTCCAAAAGTTAACTTCCCATGTCTTCTTTTTAGGAAGCTAAGACTCAATGTTTCTTCAAAACCAGATAATGAAAGTGAAAGACTTGGAATTCAGGAAGCAGGGAATCTACAAGGACAGGCGCAAAAGAAGTGCCTGGACCCGTGTGTGGTGGGGGAGCACTCGGAGGCCTGGCAGTGGGCCCTGCACTCCCTCTAGACAAAGTGATCAGAAGCCAGTTGTATGAGATTGGACATCCCCAGAGAGTATTGATACTACTGGAAAAGTACTGGAGGTTTAATTCGTGCATACAGAGAAAATAAGCAGATGACAGATAAGCAGCTTATTCTGATAAGTACTTTTTTGAAAAAGAAGTCATGGCATGGTCTGTGGTTTAGCTGTTAGGATAGTTTACATAGATAATAGTTATAATGCAAGGTTTTATATATATATATATATTTGTATCAGTTGGAAGGAGGGTACTTATATATATATGCTCAGGAGAGAGACCTACAGCTTTATTTTTCTAATCAGAAGTCAGTACATTATGTTTGAAAACTGAGTAATAGTAAGTTAAGCATGTTAATAAGAAAAAAAGGTAGTCAGGTGTGATGCAGCCTTGTAATCCCAGCAGGTAGGAGGCTGAGACATGAGGATCACCATGAATTCAAGGCCAACCTGGGCTACATAGTGAGTTCAAAGCCACTTGGAGAGTAGGATAAAATACTGAAAATGTTGCCTTTGGAGTATGCAAAATGAAACAGTAGGCATTGTTTTTCACAAACAGCACCATACATCATTTGATAGTTTAAACTGTGTAAAGGTGTGTATAATTATATAACTAAAAGAACAGGTATTAAACTGGAAATATATATAATTTTGATAAGAATTAAAGATAAATTTAGGGCTGATGATATAACTCAGTGATACAAGTGCCTGCCTGGCAAGTGTAAGGTCCTAAGTTCAATTTCTGGTACCCCTCCCAAATTAAAGATAAATGTAAAATATTGAAAGTTATTTCTGTAGAAAAAGTTGAAACCAGGGACTATTACTGTAGAAAGTAATAAAAATTTAAGGAGTGATGATAGAGATTAATACCTATAAATAACAAAAGTACCATTAATAAGTTCTTGAAACATGATCATCTTACTAGATGTTCACTTATTTTTATTACTTAAACTTCCATATAGGTAAATATGTCATTGATATCAGGTATGTTAAGCATATTTCTGAAATGTGTTTAAGTTCTTTGTGTGAACTTTCTTAAATTAACTAAACCCTCCAGGTTATTTTTGGTGAAAAGCTTCAAAGGAATATCTGTATTTTTTTTCAGTGCAGACTAGTATGAACATTCATTTGAGTTTTATATCAATGATTTTTTAAATAGATAAGTGTAATGATTTCTGTGATTCTGAGTAATTGTGAATTTAAGGATCTTTATTGCGTATAGTTATTAGTTAAACCTTTTGTGGCTTAGGTTTGTTAGATGTAATTTAAATGAATTGCTGTTTTCTAGCTGTATGTCATTGTGTATATAGGTAAGTGCAACCTAATTTAGGGAATAGCTTTAATATCAGAAGCTTGTATATGACCTTAGCGTATGAAGATAATCTGACTAAAACAATTTAATAAACTAAGGCCTCTGAGAATCAATTAAATTTAAGTGAGCTTCTGTGTTTAAGTGAAAATAAAGTATTTTCAACTTGTTTTACTAAAATCAAAATCAAGAGAGACTAAAAAATACTGAGTTTTTGGTTTTTTTTTTTGTTTTTTTCTTCGGTACATTATATTAGTAGAGAAGAAAAAACAGGTGCTAGAGAAGAACATTAGATTGGGGAAAATAAAAGATGGGGAGTCTTTGAGACAGAACAGGAAAAAGATAAAATTGTGATGTCCTTAAACTCAGAGGCCTGCACAAACCAAAAGAGAATAGATGAACAGAGTATGAAACTGTGCACAAAGATCAACAGATTGTCATCAAACAACTGTCATGTAAAAAAGAACTTTTACATGTGTATTTATGAAATCATAGGGAAATGGTATTACTTAATGACTTGTGGCTTGGACTTGACATTAGGCTGAGAGTCTTCTATTCTTAATTATATTTTCTGTTTTCTGGTAATTTGGAGATTTTAAAATTAGAAACTTTAAAAATTTTAGATATCCATCCCTTTCTACTAACTAGTTATCATTTGAGTTTCTAAGTACTGTTAAAAAGAGGAAATAATTGGGAGGTTACAAACTATAAAGCATTGATAAAACAAATATCTTTATCATATATGTGCATGTGTGTCTGTATGTAGCTATGTGAAGTAACACTTATTTTTAGTTTTCCTGATTCAAAGTGTCCTAATTTATTATCCTTTATTTTGTTTTATTAAAGGTGGGAACAGAGAAAAGATCCTCATGGTAGAACGTATTACGTAGATCATAACACTCGAACTACCACATGGGAGAGACCACAGCCTTTGCCTCCAGGGTAATGTAGTATCTTTATGCATTGTTAGTTGTACTTTTATCACACATGTTTTTACCACACATGTGTGTATTTGTGAAATCACACGTGATTGAAAATTTTGTTTATTTAATTTGGGAGATACACATATGAGTTGTCTGACCACACTGTATTTTTAATAACTTTTACAGGATCTAAAATTAGTTGCTGAAAGGAGTCTAAGATAGTTGTTAATAGTTGTAAATTAATGCCAAAAAGCTAAAGTGGCAGGTATGTGGGAAAAGTGAGAGATGAACTCAACCCTGAGTCTGAGCAGCAGAGAGAGAAGGGAATGGACCTTGTGTTTCTCTGGAATATTGGAAGAAAGGCCTAAGAGAAAAAGCACATGACATACTTAAAACAAGAGGTAGTTGTTTCTTGGTCATACTGGGCCTCATGGATTTCAGGAATGGAAAGGTAGAGATGGGCGCTGTGGCGACATGGTTCCATGGGCAGTACAGGGAGATACACAGCAGTGGGAGAAGATAAGTTACAAAGCAACAGAAAGGCTTGAGGTCGTGTCTTGAAAATGGGCAGTGGTCACAGAACAGTTTGCTTTGAATGTAAGCAAGTTCTCTTAGTAAATGCTTATCAAAAAAGGACAGAAAGGTAGTAGGGTTGAAACTGAAATTGTGGCATAGTTGTCTCTTTGTAAGGCAATTTTTAGAAGTCATGTTAGTGATAGAATGGTAATTTAGCTAAAATACATATTTTATAATTTTATAGATTTTTTTTGATTGATAAAATATGTATTTTCAGGGTTTTTGTCATCTTACGCTGATTTTTAAATTACTTAAGTGAAGTATCAACTACCTTTAAGTTTCTTATATTGAAGTAACTCATTTTTATAATTGTTTATTTCATTTGTGGTAGTTGGGAAAGAAGAGTTGATGATCGTGGAAGAGTTTATTATGTGGATCATAACACCAGAACAACAACATGGCAGCGGCCTACCATGGAATCTGTTCGAAATTTTGAACAGTGGCAATCTCAGCGGAACCAGTTGCAGGGAGCTATGCAACAGTTCAACCAGCGATACCTCTACTCGGTAATTACAGATACACTTGTTCCCTCAGGCATTGGCTGTCTTCTACTTTGGTGATTTTCTAAAATCCAATTCAGGATATTTTTTAGTTAATGTTTAATAAATGTGTCTGATGCATATAAACAGTTTCAAAAATTTTTAGATTTTGGAGAATTTCAGATTAGGAATGCTCAGTGTATATCATACAAGAAATTATGTACTGTGTATTTTTGTTTCTGTATGACTTACCTGTGTTCAGAAAAACCTAGGGGCTGGGGATTTAGCTCAGTGACATAAGCACCTGCCTTGCAAGCAGGCGGTCGTGAGTTCGATTCCTGGTACCGACTTAAAAAAAAAAAAAAAAGAAAGAAAGAAAAAGAAAAACCTTTGGGAAACAGAATTAGCTATGTTTCACAATAATGCTCTTCTGCAGATAAGACTACCCTTTAAAGGACTGAAGTTCAGTTATCTCAGTAGAACCACTGTGTCTACAGTCCAGTGCAAATTCTGCAGTGGCTCAGCAGCACCATCAAGTACCCAAGTTCTTTCTGCCTCTTAGCTCTCCATCCTTGTTGTGCATCATGTCTGTTACTTTGAGCACGTAGAACTGCTGCTCTCTAGGCCTCACTTCTAGGGGCTAGATTGTTTATTAAAAAAAGTGTAAAGGGCAATTGAGAAGGAAGACAGCTTTGGTAGAACTATCTAATTATAATGTAATATGCATACATAAAATTATTTTTATATATATGAGTATATACCTTAGCACAAAAGGTACTGGGTAAAAGATAAAAGATTATTTTTGTAAAATTCATTCTGAAGTTTATTGGTTTTGTTAATGGACATTTGTTTTAAAGAGCACTGCGACAATTATGTCAAGTAAATAATATCCCCCATTTAAGTACCATAATTTGATCAATTGGTTGAATGCTCTTACCTCGTGACACTTGTAGAACTTGGTATCTTAGAATGTTTATAATTCCTTTATCATGATTTTTAAAAATTTTAAGATGTGACTGTGCTAAATGCATAGCTTCTCTCTGTTTTTGTATTAAAATGCCATTATTTACTTTTCACTCCAATGCTTTCACCAATCAGGCTTCAATGTTAACTGCAGAAAATGACCCATATGGACCTTTACCACCAGGCTGGGGTAAGCTAAGATTGTGTTGGTAAAAATATCTGTAAAATACATACTTACACCAAATAAGTGTTAAATGTTACACTCATTTTATTTTTTTAGAAAAAAGAGTGGATTCAACAGACAGGGTGTACTTTGTGAATCATAATACAAAAACAACTCAATGGGAAGACCCAAGAACTCAAGGGTATGTCTATATACTGCAGCCTTGCATACATCATTGTCACATATGTGCAGATAGAATCAGTGAACTTTGAGTTCCTAGCCAGCATTTACCTGTGAATGTAACATTTATGTTTTAGTTTGCAGAATGAAGAACCCTTGCCAGAAGGCTGGGAAATTAGGTATACTCGGGAAGGTGTTAGGTATTTTGTTGATCATAATACAAGAACAACAACATTCAAAGATCCTCGTAATGGGAAGTCATCTGTGTAAGTAAAAAGCTGAAATTCTCTTGAAATGTTTTTGGTTCAGAAGGTAGTATGATAGTAAGTACACCTATCTTTGCTTTTATTTCAGGATGGATTTGTGGCATATAATTCACTAATCATATTTAACATATAATAACAGTGTTCAACATACACATAGTAATTACTACATGTTGAAGTTTGTTCTAAGCACTTTGTATGTATTAGCTTGTTTTTATTTTAAAATAATGCCTTGAAGTAGATGCTGTTATTTTCCTCTTTACCGAGTAAGGAAATAGGTATAGGGAACTTACCTGACTGCTGAGGCAAACGGCAAGTAAGTGACGGAGCTGCTTCCTGGCTGAGGCAGTCCGTTTCCAGAGTCTGTCTCCTACCTACCTGATAGTATTGCTGCAGCAACAGATGCGGTGCTGAGCGCGTATCTGTTAAGAAAAATCAAAGCAGTCACAAAAAAAGGCCTTAGCAAATTCTGACTGTGACTTCTGCAGTACCCTCCAACCAGTGTTTATACTGTGTTCTTCTTGTCAACTTGAGAACATATTCAAAGTTCAGCAATAGTCTATTGTGTGTGTGTGTTTTCTCTTGAAATTTTATATAATACAATGTGATTCTCTGTATAGCACAGAAACTGATTTTATAAAAAAAAAAAATCTAAATGTCATTCTTTAGCACAAACCCTTCAGTGTTTTCCTTCTGAAGCATAGTAAAAAGCAGTCTTTACAGTGGCCTATAAAATCACATATAATCAGACCCCGTTATCTTCAGCTTCATCTCGTTTTCCTTCTCATTCACTCTACACTAACTTCATTGATTGCCAAACTGTACCTTGAACATTTTAAGCTTCCATATTTGAGTCTTAGCCCTTATTCTCTCGGCTTGGTGTGTTTTTTCTCTAAATATCTTTGAGTTGTGCCCTCTTTGTCTTTATTTCTGTGCTCCAGTGTTAAGTCTTATATGAACCCTAATCTGTTCACTCTTCTCACAATTGCAGAATTATTCCCCTCATACCACTTACCTTTTGACTTTTTAACGGGGCCATTTCTTTTTAAAGGGAGTGGCGACACATCCCTTCTGACACACACCGTATCTAATTATACATTGATACTTGCTGTGTTTCGTGTCTGTCTCACCCACTAGTGTGTAAGTTCCACAAAGTAGGCGTTTGTATCTGCCTTATTAACAAGTAATTCTTTCATTGTCTAGAAGTACTTCAGGTACCTGCTGTGTGCAGTAAATATTTGTTGTTTGAATGAATGAATTTGAATGCAACACCGCGAGGGAACAGTTCGCATCTATTCTAAAATGTTTCCTGTGATTGTAGAAGTTCTTCGTGTGGACATGATAGGCTATTGCTCAGGAGGCAAGACACTCACCCTCTCTTTTTGAGTTGAAACATTAAGTAAAGTCTGCATTCCTAAATGGCTCCTACTCTGTCTTTTCTCCCTACCAGTATGAGTCATGTGACGTGGGTGTCACTTGTTCCTAGGAATTTGGTTTTGCTCTGCTTATTATCTCAGGCAGTATGTGTTTAGTTTAGATTAGTGTTAAGATACAATTTCCTTTCATGTCTCTTTTACTTAAAGTCTTGGATTTTTAGGATTATCAAAGGCTTTGAAATAGTCTATAGTAGACTTTAATATTGTAGTTAACTACTTAACAAAGACCCAGCTAATCATGCAGTGTCTGCTTCCTGATTGTGTTCTGTCCCTGTAATGTACCCTCCTGGCTAAAGTCTTTTTTGGCCCACTGTATATAATTATATTATTGTCCTAGCATATAACTTAACTTTCCTTGGCTATATGTAGGACTCTGGTTTCATAGTGAATATTAAATACTCAGTTTATTATAAATTAATGTTTGTTTGTGTTTTTCTTTAGAACTAAGGGTGGTCCACAGATTGCTTATGAGCGCAGCTTTAGGTGGAAACTTGCTCACTTTCGTTATTTGTGCCAGGTACTACAGTGGTAAATAAATCTTATCTTTATAATCATTTAGTCATATCTTTGTACTATGTATATGCCATGGCTTATGTATGATATGTTTTTGTTTTTAGTCCAATGCACTACCCAGTCATGTAAAGATCAATGTATCCCGGCAGACATTATTTGAAGATTCTTTCCAACAGGTAAGGAAGATTTTATCAAAATATGCTGTGTACCTCATTTTATTCTACACATCTAAAAGTAATTAGGGTTTTAGAGATTTTAAGAATAATACTAACTACCACAGTTTTTTGATAGAGGGTTTCACTTTGCAATTCATGCTGGTCTCTAGCTCACTTTGTGGCCAGGCTGGTCTCAAAGTTGCATCGATCCTCCTGCCTCTGTCTGCCAAATGCTGGGATTAAGTGTGCCACCATGCCTGGCTTGACTACCACATTTTGAGTGACCATTTTAATAATAGTTACATTAAACCTTACCTGTGTTGCGTGATTGTCATTTGATTGGTGCCAGCATCTTACAGGTTTTTCATCTTCACATTATCCCTTTGAGATATAGCTTCTGTCATTATGTGTATATAGGTCGCATTCCTGAGATTGAGATAATCATTCTATCACAGATTTAGATGTATGCCTATTAAAATAAAGCTTAAAAAACTTGGAACAAGTTGATCTGTTTTAACTCTACCTCTAACAAAAAGTTTTGATAAACTAACAATTGGTCGATCCTGCACTCTGACTGTTCCATTAATATCTCTAATGTTCATTCTTATATTTCTTTTTAAAATCAACCTTGTCTGAGTATACTGTATGTCTGCCTATTCTGAATTAATCACCTGCAAATGTTTAAAATGTACTATGGTACATAAGGAGTTAAATTTATTCAGGTCAAAATGGAATGGTAACATTGAATCCTTGCTTAATTTTACTGTTACACTTCGGACAAGGTAGTTTATTAACTATTTTCAGAACTTTATGGAGGGAGGGGTTGAGTTAGTAAATTCTTAGCAAAATAAATGTTTGAAGCTTCCAAACAACTTATTTCAAGCTATGTTTGAGTTGACTTTAGTAAGTATATATCCAGATTTGTGGCAGACTTTGTTTTTTACTGTCTTGGGGAGAATCATGATCTATAATGGAACACATGTGGTTGAGCCCATATTTAACCCTGAAGGAGCCCTGTTGGTGAGCTTGCTGTGACCTAGATCTGCCTGTCTTGGCTGTGGTTCTGACATATGTGTGCAGAAATAATTCATTTTTATTGAAGATAAAGCCTCCATTACTAGTAACCTTGATGTTAGCCATTAAGGATTACAAAATTTTGGCATAGGTTTTATTTTAATACATCTTACCCTATATAAAATACCGTTGTATAAATGATTATAGATGAGTCCTTTCCTATTAAGAAATAGAATGTGCAGTGAGTTCTCTTGACTCTTAAGTTGCTATCCAAAAAAAAAAAAAATCTGTAAGTTACCTATTTAGAAGGTCTTGGTATAGTTTTTGAGAGTCAAGAAGAGAATGTTTTCTAGCCTTAAAAGGTCTTTGCATTAAACTCTTCCTGGCATCTCTAACCCAAAGGGGAACTGCCATTTACTATTGAAAAGAGGAACAGATGATATGAAAATGAGTCAGAGGAAGTGTCATAGCTTGATACATGTCTTTATCTATTCACTGGAACAAAGACATGGATTGTTTGAGTTAAAGGGACTATATGAGATTTTAAAAAAAAACGTGTAATTTTGAAAATACAGATTAAATTGTTTTGGAAATAACTGGTGCTGTATGTGAGTGTTTAAATATTCATGTTTTTGTTTTAATCAGATTATGGCATTAAAACCCTATGACTTGAGGAGGCGATTGTATGTCATATTTAGAGGAGAAGAAGGACTTGATTATGGTGGCCTAGCAAGGTAAAATTAACACACATCTACTTTGAAATAACTACATCACAAAATATGCAGTGGATAGTCATGAAAAGATATGTGACTATATTGGATTAATTTTTCAGTAGTAATCCAGAAGTATTTTTAAAACCAAAGTGTTAAAATAGTTGTACAATTGTCAAGGTAACCATTATTACTGAGCTAGTTGTCTTTCTGTACATTGTCTTTTCATATGTATAAATTATGTATGTGGGCTTTTTAATAAAAACAGTGATATAATGCAGAGCATATGAGAACTTGATTTGGAGACTAGTTTTTGTAGATCAGTATTAAGGTATGGATGAGGTCCTAGGTTTGATTCTGAGGGAAAAAACAAAGAATTGATTTTATTTTAGATATCATGGAAAGAGAAAAGGAATGTTCTTTTTTTTCACATAGCTGCACAGTAGTCTGTACTTGGAGATACCATAATAAAGGGATGAGAATAAGGTTATTTGTTAATATTTGCTATTGTAACATATGTACATTATATGTATGTATGTATGTATGTATTTTTTGGTACCAGGGATTGAACTCACAGCCTTAGCTTGCCAGGCAGGCATTTACACCACTGAGCTAAATCCCCGGCCCTCCATTTTATTTTTAATCTAATCTGAATCTCTTCTGAGTGCAAAGTTTTTCACGTTCCCTGAATATTGTTAACAGTAGACATTATGAAGCAATGAATGGGAAATCCTGGTATTATAGCTTAATTTTTTTTCTACTTAATTGCTTTGCACAAACCAAAATTGGCAATGAATATTTTGTTTTGTTCTGTTTTGTTGTCTTTTCTTTGCCTTGTTTTAGCTATGAATTCAATTCCTTTTTGTTGGAGATAGCATGTCACTCTATTGTCCAGGCTGACCCTGCGCTCACTGTGTAGCCTAACCTAGTCTTGAATTTGCCACCCTCCTGCCTGAAGCCTCGCCAGGGCTGGGATTATAGGAATGTACCACCTCTCCCAGCTGCAACTTTTGAACTCACATTTTATAGGTGCACAGAATTTCAGTATGTGTTTTAAGGGATAAGGTAGAACACTGAATCAGGCACAACTAGTGGGAGAAGATATAATACACGTGGGATTATCAAGAGTTTGTTTATAAACATTTCGTCTAAAACATTACTAAGTATTTTCAATAGATAAATACTATCTACCACAATAAATGTACATCTATGAATTTTTCTCAGTTCAGAAATGCTTACACTTCTAAAAGAAACGTGTATTTTACAAGGGAGGAATAGCATTGTTACTGTTTCCATTTTCTGACTTTGTAACTTTGTCATTCTTGTTTGAACTCTTACTTGCCTAAACTATTTGGGTCTAGTTTTGTAGTTTGGCAGTTTTAGTATACATAGCAAGTTCTTATACACCATGGGTTTTCTTATTCCTAAATTCTTTATTTGATTTAAGTGTTAGTGGCTTAGACTGACTATCAGATGTTTTACTCCAGAGTACACAAGAATGATACATTGCTACAGTCTTTGCATGTTTGAAAATGTCTTCTGTTGCATTCATATAAAAACAACAGCCTAAGAGTAAATTTCTTGCAAAGCACTTGTTTCTGTAATACTCTAGATTTTGCTTCACTGTTTTCTCTCCTTGAATGTCAGCACTATCAGCTCCTTATAGGAAACTTGTCTCTTAAGTGCACACACAGTTCTTTTTACTTGAAGTTCATTAATTTCATTATCGATTGTTTTGTATCTTTTAAAGGAACATATTAAGATCTTTCTTCATTTCAGGGAAATTTTCTATTGTATCTTTGAATATTTTTTTCTGTTCCATTTGTTCCATTTTTTCTTCAGGAACATCAATCATGGGTATGTGGAACCTCTGTCAGCCTTACATGTCTGTCACCTTTAATCATTTTTATCTTTGTGCTTCTCATGTTGTTTGAATTTTTCTCTAGCCTGTCCTTGTGTCACTTTTGCTATACTGCCCTACATATTGCTGCTTCTGATGTGATTTTTCTTCATTAGTGGTTTTACTGTGTCATTTTTTCTGTAGACTCTGCTAGCTCATCTGTTGTGTTGTTTTTCAACCTCTTGTATGTCTTCATTTTATTTGAAAATGTGGAGAATATGTTGAAAATTAACTCTCCTGTATCTTGCTAGTTAGAAATTTTTCCTTCTTTTCTTCTAACATTAGGGCAAAGGTTAGGTGACATGACCATCCTTTTGAATGGATTTAGTTTCTTTGGGCTGGTCTTTGCTAAACATGGTCTGAAGCAACAGGAAATTTTATTCCTGGTTTTTGTGTGTGTATCTAAACACTTTCTGACTCTACCCGCTCAGTCCTCTTCCCTGGCAGGATTGTCTTCAGCCTCATTACAGAGGGAAGTCACTTGGCTCAACTGTGTTGGGACTTCTGTGACTTGTGTTTATCATTGCTTAGTTGGTTATGTTTAGGGACTTGCTTCTATATCATTTAGGCAAGTTCAGGGATTATGTTTCAAAAGCTGTAGAAAAGAGCCCATACATGTCCGGTGAACATGTGTAAAGGGGTCCATTGTAGAAATTTTTTAAATTATGTAATAATAATTTTAAATTTCACAAAATCCTGCCTAAGAATCAAGGTTTCCAGCCTGGAGCCTGTAATTCCAGCTCTGGGGAGGCTGATACAAATTTGATTTTTCTTTAAAAACCTTAAACCCACTTTTTCATCCTCTTACTTATATCAGTTGGCTGAATCCCAGTAGCTGTTTTCCTTGTAGGGGAGAACACACTCTGTTTTGTTACTGTGCCCCCACTACCCAGTTGGCTTAAGGACCAGTATAATATACCTAGAAATTCCTTCCTTAAAGCCAGAGATTATGGCTAAGCAGAGAAGCTTAAGTCCTGTGCTCTCACTGACCACTGTGAACATTTGAGTTGGCATTCTGCCCATCGAGTTGTATTTTACCTGCCACCTTTTTAAAATGAGACAAAAAGAGAGGTTTCTTATCACATTTGAAGATTCACTTAATTTTAGTCTTTTAATGCATTCACAATAAAATTAAACCTGTTCCCAGTATCAGTGTTGTATACTACAGTGTCACCAGAAAATAATATATTAAAAGTCAGTTGTGGAGGCTGGGGCTACAGCTCAGTGGCAGAGCACGTGCCCAGCCTGTGTGATGCTCTAGGCACCATCTGTAGCACCACCACAAACAAAACAGAACACATTATTTTGTGTACATCTTAGAATTCCCGTGAAAGTTAAAGATACAGAAAAATACAGTAGATATGGCGTTTCCCACTGTCAGGCTTAAAAATAAACATGTCCACGTGAGGAATGGTGAGTGTATAGTTTGGTAATCCAAGAATTAACAAGCAATTAATTTTGAGTGGAAGCTAGATCCTAGAACTTATATGAAGAGCTGAGGAACTGGGCAACAGAATCATAAAGGTTGTTGAGCACAGGTATATAAAAGGGTATGTTTAAGACTTGTTTTTAAATGTACGTATATATGGATGCTAAAAATTTTCTTATTTTCTTATAGAGAATGGTTTTTCTTGCTTTCACATGAAGTTTTGAACCCAATGTATTGTTTATTTGAGTATGCGGGCAAAAACAACTATTGTCTACAGATTAATCCAGCATCAACCATTAATCCAGACCATCTTTCATACTTCTGTTTCATTGGTCGCTTTATTGCAATGGTGAGTTCCAAACTGTTACTTTATTTAAACTTTGTGTAATTTCAAAAGTACTTCATTAGGATTTTAAGAAAAAAGAGATAAACTTCTGTTTGTTATTTATAGATTTTGTTAGCAAAGTTTACCTAGGAAGAAATGACTGTTATGTGCAATAGCTTATTTTTTGAGTGATTACACGAAATGTAGAAAGTTGTTGTTTATAATAACTTAGTTTTTACAAGTCCTTTTATAAGAGTAAAGCTGTGTCATGAGTACTTTATAAAATGAAAATTAACTACCTAATAAGTATACTTGATTGATGATTTTTGGAAATTTCAGACCATTCAGGAGCCCTCATAGAATTATTTTCCCTGGAGGACTGTTTGTATTTATTGTGCTGTCTTATCAATTCATTTTGCACATATCATCCTGCTGTAATGCAAAGCACTGTCCTAGGCTCTGGAGATGAAAAAAGATATAGTCACCACTGTTAGGGATCTGAATTCTGTAAGAGAACGAAGTCCTAAGTGCATACTGGGAGAAAAGATGGCTATTCTTTCATTTATTTAGTGTGGTAAAGGAAGCTTCTGATGTGTGATAGATGAATGGAAAATTGAAGGAGGCCATAGACTGAATCATGCAGATACCTTTGAGAACACTATAGGCATAGGGAACAACAAGACAAGCGTTCCTCGGGGAAAGTATGTTCTTGGTTGAGAGACAGACCACTGTGGCTGGACCAGGGTAGAGGAGAAAGAATAGAGCAGGAGATGAGGTTGAAAAATACTCTGTGGGGCTTTTAGGAAATTCATATACAGTTTTAAGTTGGACATTGAGTGACTTGAGCTAAGTAGCTTGATCTAACTTAAATTTTATAAACTCTTCTATACAGTAGTACTGTATAGAAGAGATTCTGTGTAAGTGGGGCAGAAAAAAAGGTAGAAACAGGAAGATCAGGTTGAAAGATGATACAGTTTAGATTTGTGTGTCGTAGTAAGCATGAGAACTAAATGGATCATCTGCTAATTAGTTGCAAACTATGAGAGAAAGTAAGTGTGGTACCAAAATTTATGGCCTGTGTGTCAGGTTGCAGTTGCTGTTTATTGAAATAACCAGGATCACAGCAAGAGCAAATTTAGGAGATGGGGGAAATCAAGAATTTGGATTTGGGTTGCTGAGTTTGGAATGCCTTATATGTCTATATAGTGGGGCAGAATAAATAGGAAACTAGATAACTTAACTTTGCCATTGAAGGGAATCTCTATCTAGGTAGCAAAAGGCACTTGAGTTCTCAGCATGTAGAGATCATTCTTGAAAGAGTTCAATATGCACAGAGAAAGGTTCAAAGACCTAAATTGGGGAAATAGGAAACAGCAAATGCTGAAGTAGGAAAATCAAATAAGACTGGTTTCCTGAAGATAAGAGAAAAGGTGATTGTGTTTCAAAAGGAAGCCATGACTAGTCCTGTTATGTATCATGAACAGGTGGAGCATGGTAATAACTTGATTCCCAAGAGGAGGCCAGGGAATTACTCAGTTTGACAAGGTGAAAGATATTCATGCCTGCTAGGAGGGAATGATTGACGCAAGGGAAATTAAGAAAAGAATAGGACAGATCTGTTAGAGAATTTTATCATAAAGGATTATAGAGAATTAGGCAGTGAATAGAAATGGATATGGAGCCAGGAATGGAAAGAGAATGCCATGCGTGGTGGCATGCACATGTATTCCCAGTTACCCACAAGGCTAAGGCAGGAAGATGCAGGTTCAAGGCCAACTTAATGAGACCTTGTCTCAAAATAAAGTAAAAAGGGCTCAGTGGTGAGCACTTGGCTGGTATACATGAAGCCCTAGATTTAATCACCACCATCGCCAATACATAGGAGGGTGAGAGGAATTGTATTGCTGATAACGACAGTCAAGGCGGAGGGTAAAGAGAAAATGAATTTTTGGTGGTATTAAGGGTTGAACTTAGGTAGGGTCTTTGAGCTATATTGTAGCACTTTTATTATTTTTTATTTATATTTTTATTTTGAGACAGAGTCTTCCTAAGTTGCCAAGACTGTGCTCGAACTCGCAAGCCTCCTGCTGTAGCCTCCTGTTGTGCTGAGATTACAGGCGTGTGCCACCATGCCAAGCTTGAGGGTAAAAGATTTGGAGAAGAATAAAACAGAATTTAATGAAGCTGGTAACACCAGGAATATAGAAACAGTGATCTTGAGGGGGCAAGGAAGCGATTTATTAGAGTACTCAGAAATAACAAAAAGTTTATTCATAACAAATGTGGACTCAGGTGTTAGCAGTGATCACATTTAGTGGAACACATAAAAATTCTCTTCTGATTGATATTTTGTCTATGAAATTGGAAGTAAGATCAGCTCAGAGGGAGGAGTGGGAAAAGGAGGTATTTGAGGAAAGAGGAGTGCAGACTAGGAGAGATTACCAGGCAGCACTGAGTTACCACTTGGGTGCTGGTCATGAAACGCTTAGTTGATATGAGTATTTTTAGCTTATTCTGCTGCCCAGGTGCAGATGCTGAATAAATTGAGATTTCAGTCTAGCTAGGGCTGGATATTGACAGTGGGGGAGGCAAGATTTGAAGATCCTGAGCAGAAGATACTAATTGATGATGGAATCTAAACTGTATGAAGTGGCGAATCACTTTGTGAGTGGTCTGGGAGATGATAGAGATTGCTGAAAACCTGGGACGACTTTGTTGGCTTTTGTGAATAACAGTGGCATGGTCATCCTGAAAACATTGTAGCCATCTGTGAAAATAAGAAGTGGGAGAGAGGTCTTTCCAGGTGCAGGGGGCCCTTTATTTCTGCATCTAAGTAGGTTAGTTTATAAAATTTATTGGAAAGAGGGGTGCAGTTGTTAATAAAGTCCTTTATCTTCCTATTTGTATGTTTGGTAGTACATTATATAGCTAAATGTTTGATCTGTAAAGTAGATTTTGTTTGAATTCTAATTCGTTTTCATACTTAGCATTTTATATGTTTTAACTTTCATGGTTTATACCACGCACTTACTAATTTTCTTTGTCTTTAAAGGCTGAGGATTTTCCTGTTATCATACTCTTAAGAATTATTGTTTTGTGAATATTAAATAAAATTTTTTGTTTTTCCTGCAGGCACTATTTCATGGAAAGTTTATTGATACTGGTTTCTCTTTACCATTCTACAAGCGTATGCTAAGTAAAAAGCTTACTATTAAGGATTTGGAATCCATTGATACTGAATTTTATAACTCCCTTATCTGGATAAGGTTTGAAGATTTATTTTTTCAATAAGGCATTTTCTTGAAATCCATTTATATCTTTGTTTATGTATGTATGTGTATATATATATATGTATGAATGAAAATATATATATGTTTTTTTAACCCAGAGATAACAACATTGAAGAATGTGGCTTAGAAATGTATTTCTCTGTTGACATGGAGATTTTGGGCAAGGTTACTTCACATGACCTGAAGTTGGGAGGTTCTAATATCCTGGTGACTGAGGAGAATAAAGACGAGTATATTGGGTAAGGTTATACACTTATTACACGGTTAAACTAAGTTCTCTGTACCCTTAATTTTTGTCCTTTTCAATAATACCGCTCTTCTTGAAATAACAGAATACACAACAACCTGTACTTTCCCACTGCCTTTAAGCATTCTGCTTTTGCTCAAACAACAGATGCTGATGCGGAGAGTCTTACTAAAACTATGCAGTCCCTTCATTTTTAGATGAAGGATCTGAGGTTCTGTTAGGTAGAAACAAAAACAAATCAGAAAGCCAAGCTTTTAACTGTCAGTCTAAGGCTCATTCACATTTGATGTCACTGTGTCATTTTTAACTTACACTTTTAATAGTGCTTATCACACCTTCTGTTTTTTAAAATTTTATTTTAAGGAGAATAAAAAAAACGGAACAAAGCAAATCAGAACACAACAATGCAAGCAACATAGCACTTCACAGCAAGACAACAGGACATCAACAGTGGCTACCATAGTGTCTCTTGTTTTGTTCAAAATAGTTGACCATACCTTCACACACAATAATAGCAAACATAACAAAATAGTATAAAACCAATCAAAAGAGTGAAAGCATTACAGGACTTCAAAGCCAAATAGAAGGAAACGAACAGTGGTTACTATAATATCCCATTTTCCTCAAAAATGTTTTCCATACCATCACACATTATAATAAAATAAAATACAACACAACAGTATAGAACCAATCAAAACAGAAGAACAAAAACATAATAGGACTTCAAAGCAAGATATGGGAAATCAGCAGTGGTTACTATAATGTCTCATTTTCTTCAAAATAGCTGTTCATACCATCACACATAATAAAACAGAATAAAAACAATTAAACAAATGAATGAAAGCATCATAACACTTCAAAGCAACATAATAGGAAACCAAGATTACCATAATACGTCCCATTATATTCAAAACAGCTGCCCCTGTCATCAAACAAAGCAAACTCTTCACAGGATAAAGCAAAGTCAAACCTAACAAAATTGTGAAAATAATACAAGAGTTCAAGACAATAAGAAATTAACAGTAGTTACCACCTTTCCCTCCCAGGTGTTTACTCCCCATCACTCTTACTATTTTGCTTTTGGATCCTATTAACTCCTGTTTCTTATGCTAGATTTTTGCGTATGAGTTCAAAGTATTTCACCCATTAACCTGATCTCCAATTGGGTTCATTTATGTAGAGGAGCCTTGAGATTATTCTGCTTTATAGCTGAGTAGCTTTCCACTGCATGAAAATACCGTTATCTTTCTTATCTATTCTGTGGTTGATGGGCAAGTTACTCTTGTTTTTTGTTTTTTTTTTTTTTTTTTTCCTGGTCTCTTGTCACATGGAACAGTTGTTTTCTCTCCTTTGATTTTCAGTCTGTGAATTTCCTTTCCAGTTAAATATGTTTCTTGTATACAGTATAAATGAATCTTGTTTCTTGATCCACTCTCCCTGTGTTTATTTTTATTGCTGACCTTAGGCCATCTACACTAATGGTTACAACCAGCATAGTTGCTTTGTCTCTGTCACGCCGTCCTCCTATTGTTGGGCCTCCACTTTTCCCCTTCATTCAATTACTGGTCTTATTTGGCGATCTTCCTCTGCTGCTGTTGCTAGAACCAGGGTCATTTTTGTCTCTCTCTAGAATATCCTTTAGCACTCTGTAGGGTTGGTTTGGTAGTCATGAATTCCTTCAGTTGTTCTTTATCATGGGAGTATCTTATTTTACCATCAATTTTGAAAGATAGTTTTGCAGGGTAATCAGTCTGGGTTGGAAGTTGTTTTCTTTCAGGGTTTGAAACACTTCACTCTAAGCTCTTTCTTGACTTGATGGTTTGTGTTGATAATTCTGCTATGATTCTGATTGGTTTTCCTTCATAGGTGATCTGTTTCTTTAACAGCTTTTAATATTCTATTATTGTGCTGAATTTCTGGGATCTTGATTATTATGTCTGGGTGTAGATTTACTTGGGTTAAGGCTAGTTGGAGTCCTATATGCCTCACTTCTCTGCATGCCAGATCCTTTTCCCATGTTTGGGAACTTTTCTTCTGTTACTTCTCTGAATAGCCCTTTAATTTCATTTGTGATGACCCCTGCTTCTTCACCAACAGCAACCACTCTTAAATTATGCTTCTTTGTGGATCATGCAGGCATTAAGTTGTTATTTCCTGATTGCATGTTATTTTTAAGAGACCTTTCCTTTCACAATCACTAGCTGCAATCTTATCTTCAAAGCTTGAAAATTTGTCTTCAGTCTCTTTCAAGCAGTTTTGCCAGCTTTCGACTGAATTTTTAATTTTCTGGGTCTCCCTTTGAATCTGTTTCATGCATTGTAATTCCTTTCTATATTCATTCAAGGTTTCCATCATTTTCCTATGCTCCTCTTTTTTGTCTATGTCTTCTTTAGACCTACTGAACAATTCTTTCAGTATGTTTGTGATTTCTTCTTTTACCTGAGATATTATTTTTGACTTGACTGCTTTTACAACCTCATGCTGTTGTTTCCTTACTTCAGTTGCTGTCCTCTCAGAGAATTCAGGTGTGTGGCTTCCATTTTCTTTCATGACTATATCTCCCAGACTTGTTCTGTGTGGGCTAAAGGTCTGAGATTGCCTTTTGATTCTTCGTCTTGACATTCTCTTGAGTTCCTCCCACAAAGCTGGTTGTGAGGCCTCAAACACTTCCCATGTTGGCTGCCCCTCTGTGGTGCAGGGGGATGGGACAGGCACCTGGGGGCTCTAACCTCAGGGAGATAACAGGTTGTGGAGCAGGCTTCTCCAGACCTATGCAGCTACACTGGGGCTTCCCTGATGAAGAGGGGTGCATAGAGGTGGGGCTGCTTCTCTCAGGCTGTGTCTACACTGGGACTCCTGTGATGGTGGCAGACGTGTGTATTTGTCTGATTCCACTATTGGGTGATGGCTGCCCAAAGGAAGCGAGGGCCTCCAGTGCTGGCCTACAGGTGCACAGGGCTTACCTGGCTGTGTATCTCTGCCCCTACTGGCCACTTGCAGGAAGGAGCCTTCCAGTGGCAGCTCCCTGCAGGCAGAGGCAGATCTGTCTGGCTCTCTCTCCGCATGCTGTGCGCCCGTAGGAAAGGGCCTTCTGGTGGCAGCACCTGGCTGGCAGAGGTGGATCTGTATGGCTTTCTCTGATCACGCTGTGCGCCCGTAGGAAAGGGCCTTCCAGTGGCAGTTCTTAGAAGACTGAGGCAGATCTGTCTGGTGGTCTCTGCCTGCGCTGTGCACCCATCCACACCTATTTTAAAACCCTCTGTTGTCTTCCATGATCCCATGCCATCCTGATTTTCCTCATTTTCTCTAAAATCTCCAATGTAGGTGTTTTTCCAAGGCTGTTGGTTCATCCTCCTCTTGTAAATACTTTGCTACCCCAGCTTGTTTTCTGTTAAAGTAACAGCTAAAAGGCCACAGAGTGTCCCCACGAGTATGAATCCATACTTCCTGTCAGTAGCAAGGCATTCCTTGTCCTTCTGAAACAGATTGTCAGACTAGTTACTTGGTCAGAAGACTGTGTTGCTTTCCCATGAAGGTATTGCCATCCTGTTTTTCCTTCTTAACTTGTGAATTGCTATGGGGATTCAACTTATAAATCTTCAGTCTCTACTATCAAATCTAGCTTCTTAGCATGCTATTCCAGGCTACTTACATCCAATTTTTTTGCTAGTTACCTATAATAATTAAATTACAACTGATTTTCTTCTTACATGTTTCTGCTTTCCTGGGGCATTTTTGTTTTGCTTTGTTATGGAATGAGCATTTTTATTGCTCTTACTAGGAAAGATGATAGCTGTTTATATATTATAGTCAGCATCCTGGAGTCAGCTGGTGACAGGCACCTGAAGCAGGAGAAATATCCATTTGTTCTTTTAATGTAAAAAGGCAGAGAATCCCTCAAGGATAAGAAATGGAAGCAGGGATAAGATAGGCCAGACAGGCCAGACCACAGACAGTAGGCAACCAGAGGACTGGAGAGAGTGTCTCTCCAGCCAGGAGACTTTGACAGTCCTACAAGACGGGGCGGGAATGGGCTGGCTGAGAAGTGTCTTAACTCCCATCCACATGGCTCCTGCATATTCACATATTCTTCAAGAAGAGAAGCAAGGCAGATATTTAAATCTGTAGGACGGATTTGAAGGCCAGGGAGTCGCAGTACTCTCATCCCAAACACATGAGCAGACCTTGGACAGGACCAGGCAGGCAGGTCGGCACCCTGGCCACTCCCACCCCACTTGTAGGGCATTGTGGATGTAGAAAATGGGTATTACATAGTAGTTCACTCCTGGCAGAGAAAGGGATCGGCACAGGCTCCCCAGCCCCAGGGCAGACTGACCAGATGCCAGGTTAGGCGCACCCAGAGGACCCTCCCTGGCCATTCTTGGGCGCCCTACTGGATGTTGGGCAGCTGCAGTGGGTTTCCTGAAAAAAAGATCTGCTTTCTGGTATTCCTTTAGCTTTCTACAAAGTCCAACAGTAATCATTAAATAGAATAAGCATTTTTTTAAAACTGTGAGTGGCTTTATATAACAGGATCAGTTTAAATAAAGTTTTAGCATTTAAAGATTTGTAGTATTTGCTACCTCAAATTTTAAGTATTTTAAAATCTTACCTGTATTTATAAAATCGTATCTGTATAGCACCTACTCTAAGAGTTGATAATCCTATCCTGAATATAATTTTTGTAGGATTTTGTTTTTGAAAAGTATGTGATAATACTCTTCTGTAGTTGTAATTCATTATTCTCAGTGCACAAACTAAGACTTCAACAAACCTCTGAGTAAATGAATAGTAGAGATACGTCCAGAGTACTGTTGGAATCTAAAGTGGAAAAAGAGCTGTTGATTTTCTGAGATGTGTCTAGAAAGCTCTTCATATAACATGGTGAATGAGTTAGGTCTTATAAGATGAGTAAGAGCTCTCCTGATGAAGTCTTTCTGGGGAGTAGAAAACAGCAAAAAGAAATGAATGAGGGATGGAGGCATTCATTTATCTCGGGCAGCTGCAGTGCTGTAGGGATGTTACAAGGTAGTGAGAAATAGGCTAGTTGGGAGCATAAAATAGCAGCCAAATTAATATAATTTCTCCTTAATTTAAGGAGACAGTTATTCTAAGAGACGTGGATGTTTGCTCAAAATTATTGCTATTATAAACAAACCAACCCGAAATGATCAGAATTGTTTTCAAAAAGATACTTCTGGCATGTGTGGAGAGTGAACTGGAGGTGACAGTTGGAAAATGAAGTGATTGGAAACCAGCAGACTATTGCTTCAGGAATGTAACAGTGAATTATAGGCCTAATAGGGCTGGTGCAGGCAAGATAAACAGGAGTGGATTACAGGAATAAAACTGTACAAATTTCATTGATTGCTTACAGTACTTGACATGGATTGGGAGAAGGAATAGTAAATTGAAAGATTTGATAATTATAAGTTTATCAGTTGGTTACAGCTGAATTGTTTTAGCAAAATGTCCAAGGAGTGGTAAGTTACATAAATCTCAAGAGGGAAGCACAACTTGGGAATTTTGGAATTCAGTAATGTTTACATTCTTATATTCTTACACAGTTGAAACTTCAATGATTTAAAATGCCATTTTTGGAGAACGAATCACTCAAGGAGAACTGCAGGAGAGGTCTAAGTAACAGGCACGCTTACTGAGCAGTAAGCCAGTGAAGTCAGTGAGGAGTCATCAAAGTCCAATCAGAAATGGCTTTACAGGAGCAGGAGCCTTAGGAATGCTATGGGTAGTGTTTTGGGACAGTATGTGACATGAACACTGAAAAGAGTGTCTTGCTTGGCATTTAGAAATTCCTTTGTGACATTCATGAAGAAAGTTGGTTTGTGTTTTTTTTTTTTTTTCCTGTATTTGTGTTTGTTTGTGTTTGTGTTTGTGTTTGTGTTTGTGGGAAAGAGAATTCAGAAGCCAAACTACTATGGTTTAAAATTTGGTTGAATAAGAGGTGAGAAGGTGTAGACAGTAAGTTGCTTACTTTTTAGTTTCATCAGGTGGTGTTTGTTTCTCTAGGCAACGCTGTCCTTACCCATATCCTTTTAGAAGCTTCTGATACAAATTTTGTGTTGCTGACAGATGTTCTTATTTATGTTTATTTTGTTCGAGATGAGGTCTTGCTGTGTACCATGCAAGCTGGCCTCAGATTCCCGTTCATCCTGCCTCAACCTCCTGTTCTAATTTGTTTCTTTATCTTACTCCTTACACTAGTTCATTTCTTGTGTTTCTTCAGAATGTTTTATTTCTATTTTGGTTGATTTTTTTATGTTTTGCCTAGGAGATCTTTATGTTATTCAGTAAATGAGCATGTAAAGAACCTGTTATCTAGCTTAAAGTCTTCTCAAATGATAGGTCTATAGAAGCACACAGCCTACAGGCACAGATCTGAGATAGTCCCTTGAGGCAAACTCCTCATGTTTTAAAAATACATGGTGGAAGGAGAGCCTTTTTTTTTTTTTTTTTTTTTTTTTTTTTGTACCGGGGATTGAACTCAGGACTGCATTTGCCAAGCAGGCACTTACACCGGTGAGCTAAACCCATTAAATGATGAACCATTCCTTTCCTGTGTCAGCACGCATAATTTAGAGTGCTCTATATATACCAAAACATGATTTGTGCTAGAATTTGGCTTTCTTACTAATGGGTAAAGAATTTCTAACATTTTTCAAAATCCTTTTTAATAGATACTGATTTGCTAGGACTGATTTCCTTATGGAGAAGTGTGTTAACTCCTAAATTACATATGTACATACATATATATGTATATTTATGTATATAGTGGTATATTGAGAAAAATCAGAAAATTTAGAAATTCTTGTGCTTTTAGTCCTTTAACTTCATATACCAATGACCTATTTTAAAACAGCATTTTTCTTGCAGTTTAATGACAGAATGGCGTTTTTCTCGAGGAGTACAAGATCAGACCAAAGCTTTCCTTGATGGTTTTAATGAAGTTGTTCCCCTTCAGTGGCTACAATACTTTGACGAAAAAGAATTGGAGGTTAGACTGTTTCCTTTTGCTATCGTAGGGAATGTTAATGGGCAGTGAGCTGTTTTGTGCTTTTATCCAGCAGTGTCAACATATTTTAAAATCATGTAGCACAAACAAAACAAAAACATAACTCAAAACCAAAACATAATTCATTTAGCACAAGGCTGCACCCGTTTATTTGCTTAATGTTCAGGTAACATCATAGCATGAAGAGAGTGCTAATGGGAAATTTTTGAAATCTCAATTTGGAAATGAGTTATTTCAAAGACCAGACTGTTAAGAAATGAGTTCTTAGTCATCTTAACTGTACTTGAGCTTAGAAGTATGTCAGGAATGCTTTTGGTTATGTATGATAAACTTCAACTATTTTCAGGTATATGGTTTAGTAGTACTAAGTTAAAATCACATTATTGTGCATACAATCTCTAGAACTTTTTCATGTTGTAAAGCGGACCTCTTTATCCATTAAACAATTTCTGATATTTTCCCAACCTCTGGCAAAATCAGTGTCTCTCATTTTGTATAAATATGATTATACTATTTATCTCTTCGTTGCTGCTTGTTTTGTCTGTACTGTGTCATGTTTCAGAATTATCTTCCTTTCAAAGGCTGAGTAATATTCTGTCATATATAATAAATACATATAAATGAACAAATGTAACCAAATATAAAACCTGTATTCTAAAAATCTGCTCAGAGAATCTAAATAAATAGGTATATACCATGTTATGTGTTAGAAGACTCAGTATTGTTAAAATGTCAAACTGTTAAAAACTCAAGATTGTTAAAATCTCCAAACTGATCAGTATATTCAACACAGTCAACAGCCCAACATAAGTTATTTTGTGGAAAATGATAAGCCGTTCCAAAATTAGGAAATATAGAGCCTCTAGAATAGCCACAACAATTTGGAAGAGGACAAATTTGATTACTTTATATAACCTGATTTAAGGCTTAGCTGTAAAGCTGTAGTAATCATTATAGTGTGGTATTTGTTAAAGGAAATAGATCACTTCAACACCAGAGAATGCAATAATAGACCCACCCATACGGAGTCTATTGGTTTCTAACAAAAATGCTAAGATACTTCATTAGAGAAAGGCAAAGTCTTTTCAACAAATGCTGTTGTCATACTGGATATCCATATGGTATTAACATTGACTTATACTTCAGCCCATAAATAAAGATTAATTTTCAGTGAGTCATAAATGTGAAAACTTAGAAAATCTTGATGTATTTGGGGGGAACAGATGGAAAACAAAGAAGATAGACAGCTACCCTAAGGTAGTAGGGGGTTTCAGAGCTGAAAGCCTCCAAAAGTCTTTTACAGAGAACTACAACAACAAAAAACACCCCATAAATTTCACTTCATGGAAACTAGAAACTTCTGTTCTTCAAGAGATAGTGATAAGAAAATGAAAAGACAACCTACATGCAGGGGGAAACTATGGAGACTATGTATATGGAATACTTTTTTTAAACTTCATAGATTAATAAAAAAAACAAAAACAAAAACTTGGACAAAGATGCACTTCACAAAAGAAGATACGCAGGCAGGTGTCCCAGCTACACCAGAGTCTGAGACAGGAAGATACTTGAGCTTTGCAGTTCAAGGTGTCCAGCCTCATGGTGGGTGAGACCCTATCTCAAGACAAAGAACTCCTGTATTCAGTGTAAATCTGCACAGCAACACAACAGTGGCTTTTGCTTCTAAAGTCACTTTGGTATTCTTAGGTTTTCAGAATATCAGTACATTGAACAAGATACTAAAGTAATGTTAGATTAGTTAAGAAAAAGTATGGCAGGTGTCAAGTGAACATTACAGGATGATGGTCATTAGTCACTGAAGAAATAAAAACTAAAACTAAATGAAATACTATCTTGGGATAGTGTTGGCAATTTCTTAGAATATTAAAATGTACAGCTACTTTATATCCTTTATACCCTATGTCACCTTTACGTTTACTCAGTTGAAAAGAAATACTTACATATTGTATATCATTATTCATTGTAACATTATTCATCAAAGGAAAAAACTGAAAGCATCAAAAATGTGCATCACCAAGTGAATAAAGAAACTGTTACATATTTGTATCAGTGGAACCTACTCAGTAATTAGACTTTTTTTTTATGGTACCAGGGATCAAACTCATGACTCTGCACTTGACAGTCTGGCACTTATACCACTGAGCTAAATCCCCAGCACTTTACTCAGTAATTAGAAAGAGTGAATAGTTGGTACCCAAAGCAACATAGATGAATCTCAGGAACATGTAAGTGAAGAGAGGAACCAGAAAAATGTGTGTATTAATGTATGCTATAGACAGAATCATACATATGTACACATACATGTTATTCTCAAAAAGACAAATACAGATGGTGAAGTTCTTGATCACCCAAAGGCTTTGATGGTTTTTTCTACACAAAGAGAAATAAAAATATGTACTTTATTATGCTTAAAATAACTTTTATCCTGTATATATAGATAACAACATGGGACTATTCGAAAATTTCACATAAATAGAATATTTTATTGCCCAATAAGCTGGATAAAAAGTTAGTGTATATATTTTATAAACACACGCAGAGATTTACCCAAAAGCAGTAGAAATTTATGTAGTTTATATACCCAATTCAGGATATTTTTGTATATAATAAAGTAGATACACTTTTCAGTAGATTTGTATGAAGTATACTGTCTTCAGTTTGTATTCTATGAATACAAAGTTTTATTTTGGTAGAATAAAATACGAAAGAATCTTTTATGCTGTGTGTCCACAAATGGTGTTGGATTTGCTTACTGTGATCCTTATTTGCCATGAACACAGCTGTTCACCTAGTTATGCTATAAATAACTGTGCCTGAGGAAATTTTAACCATGTAATTGTTCTGTTCACCAAATCTTCAGTGTGGCCTGACAACTATGCTCATTTCGCAGGTTATGCTGTGTGGCATGCAGGAGGTTGACTTAGCAGATTGGCAAAGAAATACCGTTTATCGACATTATACAAGAAACAGCAAACAAATAATTTGGTTTTGGCAGGTACTTGCTTTATCTGTTTAAAACATTATATTGAAAGAAAATATTTTATAATGAAATGTCTTGAAAAAATTTTTTTTTCTTAAACAGAAGATTTTTTGGACTTAGCTTTTAAGCATTTATTTTAAATATTGAAATGAGTAGTATGAACACTTGTTAAAGGTATTTTCCTTTGTATTTTTGTCTTTCTAAATAAAATATGAGTAACAGTCTTATTTAGGCATTAACTTAATGGTAATAGTTCTAGGGACAGCTTTTAATTTAGCAGTATCAAAAGTATTTCAGTTGGGTGTGATACACTTATAATACCAGCATTCAAGAAGGCTAAGGCAAGAAGATTGCAAGTTTGACCCCAACCTGGGCAACTTAGTAGGACCCTGTCTTAGAAATTTAAAAAAACAAAGTAAAAGGCAGTAGAGATACAGTTGTACTATGGAGGCCCTAGGCTTAATCCCATTAAAAAAAAACGTTAGTTTTGGAATGATCTTCAGTTCTTCACATAAATATTCTAGTTGAGACTCATTTGAATAGCTCAATGATTCGATTTTTTATTTATTTCTGCTTCACTGTCTTCTTTTACATGAAAAGCTAGGGTTTTGTATTACTACAGTAATACCTTGGTTGTGAAATGGCTTCAAGCTTGAACTTCCCACTACTTGAACAAGCAAAATTTGAAAAAAAATCTGCTTGTTTTTCATAACTTTGCTCAATAGTTCAACCAAAAACCCGACTTGAAAAAAGCCGTATGGTCTAGAGTGGACCATGTTCTGTGTCTTGCCAGGGACACAGGGGTGATGTTTCAGTCTCAGCGCTGCTCTCACCCAGGCAACATATGGTGCTTTTTTAATGTGTTAAAACATTCCTCATTGCGCTTTTTCTTTTTGCACTTTATACATAAATTTCAAAACCCCGGCTCCAAAGGAAGTTCGTGATATCAGCAGTAAAGCTAAGAGGAAGACTGTGGGAACCACAATAAAGAAAGAAATCATTCAACATTTATTAAAAGTGCTGGAAAAATGAATTTGTAAATGTGATTTTTGGGCCTCAGAATCAATTATTTGGTTTTCCATTTTTTCTGGGAAAAATACGTTTAGTTCTACAACTTTATAATGTTTGAACATGAATTTGGAATGAATTGAGTTCTACAACCAAGGTATAACAGTAGACAGATATTTCTAAAAGCTGCATTGTTTCATAAGGACACTATTGTTTACTTATTGCATAATACTTTAAAGAAATGTGGAGACATCTAGGAATATATCTTAAAATACATTGTACTTCAAAACCTGTAAAATGACACATACCAAGAAAATAATGTGATGTTGTTGATATACTGAGAGAATCTTGAGACAGTCTAAATATCCACCAGGAAAGGACTACTCTAAATTCTTTATAATGAAAGTATATACTTATGTATGAATATACCACTTCTGAAAAAGCAAGAGGAAAAGAACTTGGCAGCAGTTGGAGGCCAAGCTAGAAAAGCAGCTTCTCACTTTATGTCCCTTGGTAATATTTTTTTTAGTTCAGGGTGGAAGGGGGAAAGTAAATCCATTTTGCAAGCCTACAATACCCTGGAAAAATGTTCAGTGAGGAGAAAATATGAACCGTGGAGACTGGCAACAGGGAAGTCTTCATTGACTCACGGAAACATAACAGTATTTTTAGAAGTCAACCAGATCTGAGTTCATATGTTCTGCCACTTAGCAACTTGAAAAGGACGTAGCGCACTGTTTAAACTGTGGTACATCAGTTCAGGCACGCTTTTGTTTGCAGACAATTTGGTTCGCAAACAAAAGCATTTGGCAAATTTGTTTGTTAACTCAGCTTTGGGTGATAAACATAATATCAGCCATCTAATATGGCCATCTCTTCCAAAATTGTAGAACAAATCAAGTTTACGAACAGAGGTATCACTGAATATAGGCTTCTGTTTCCTTATGTATACATTGGCAGTGCTAATAAACATAGCTCTCTCATCGAAGTGTGAAACATAAAGAAGTAAATGGCACAGTGTTTTACAGAAACACTGTCAGTAGGTGACAGCTAGTCTAGGTGACTTCTGTCTTTCCTGTTCCCTAGCCTAGAGCTATGACCTTGGACAAATGACTTGACCTTTGTAAGCCTCTCATTTATTTTCTTTTTGTCTTTTTCCTTTTTATGGGTACCGGGGATCGAACTCACGACTGTCTCCTTGCAAGGCAGGCGCTTATGCCGCTGAGCTAAATCCCCAGCCCTCGTCATTTATTTTCTTTTGATAAGATGGGTATAACAACATCAGTGGCCCATCTCAGTGTTATTGTGAGGATTAACTGAAGAGTTACCATATACTTAGCAAAGTGCTTACCTGAAGACATGATAAATGCTATTTGTCACACAGCTTTTGTGGTTTTTTTTTTTGGGGGGTGGGTGTTGTGTGTGCGTGTGCTGCATCTTTGTTTATTTTGTACTGGGAATCAAACTTAGCACCTTGTGCTTGCCAGGCAGGCGCCATGCCACTCAGCTATGTCCCCAGCCTGTCACACAGCTTTTGAACAAATTTCAATGTTAATATTCTTTTATTCAACTATCTACTTTTATTATAAATGAGGATTTAACATTTATATTAAAGTACATTTGGTTTTATTACAGTTTGTGAAAGAGACGGACAATGAGGTGAGGATGCGACTATTGCAGTTTGTCACTGGAACCTGCCGCTTACCTCTGGGAGGATTTGCTGAGCTCATGGGTAAATGCAGTCTCACTGCAGTTTCACTGTAGATGGTTTCATGATGATGACCTTTAGACAGACAGTAGACTTTACCCTGGGGATTATTATTCTGGGCTGTATGTAAGTCCTTCTACTGTAAGAAACAGTAATGGCTAATACCAAAGACATGCATGAAGCAAAAATCAGTCTCTCATCTCTTCATGTAGCCTAGAGGACCACGGCTTTGCATCCTTAAGTGATTATAAAGAAAGCAAGCTTCTAAAGTACTGGAATTTTCTTTCTATGGATATCATTCTTAACTACTGGATTTCTACAATACTAAGCTTTAGTTTCTCTGTTGTTAAGTTCTTTATTTTGTATCATCCATATGATTTTGTGACACTTTCTGTTATTTATCTATCAAAACTAAAAAGTTTAAGACCTATAAAGATTATCTTATTTTCCTGGTTTAGGAAGTAATGGGCCTCAAAAATTTTGTATTGAAAAAGTGGGCAAAGACACCTGGTTACCAAGAAGCCATACATGGTAAGTTTAAAAATCCTAAGTAGGAAATTAAGCACTACAGAGAATCTTCTGTGTTTTAAAAATATGTATCATTCACTGTGACTGCTTATTCAACAAGGAAATCAGAATTTAATTTGAGAACAGGCCCATTAACATAGTATTCTATAAACACTTCAGGATGAATTCTTATTGGTTAATAGAAACACTTAAGACCTAAATTAATTATTGATTCAATACATATTTAAGCCTTTTCTGAGCTTTGCATTCAGTAGTGAGGGACCTAGACAAACAAGTAACTGGAAATAGAGTGCTGCACTAGAGAACAACTAGAGGACTCAGGGAGATTTCTTGGAACAGGTGATGTTTGAGTTCAATAAACAACTTGTTATGGAATGAACATTCTTTGAATAGAAATGCTGAAATTAAAACCCTGAAGAAATCATTTTTCAAGGAAATAAAAGACAATTGTTATGTTTGAAACTTGTGAATTGGGAGGAAATGAACTTAGAAATGTAGGTAGGGATTAAATTAATGTAGAGCTTTATTGCGTGTGATAAAGAACTAGGGTGTCATTTTAAGGAAAATTAGAACCCTTTGGAAAGTTTAAAGTAATGGTATCCAAGAAAACCATTCTGGCAACAGTATAGAGAGAGAACTGGAAAATCCAGATCAGTTGCAGAAATGTTATATTACCCAGATAGGAGGTGATAACTTAGAGATAACGTGGTTCTTTTAGAAGGTCAAACTATTTTCATCTTAGGCCATTGTTTGGCTTTTTATTATTCTCACATTTTGGCTTTTTATTGTTTCTACATTTGTATTTATGGTGCAAAAGCAACAATGGGTAAAACTTGATACTGCCTTTGCAGAAATCAGGGCAATGCCACCAAGCTGCTGTGATATACTTGCAGCTTAAACAAAAAGCAAAACAACAGGTTTATTGACGACTATTCTTTATGAAATATTAAAAATTATTTATTCTTGAGAATACATCTAATATTAACTTGAAATAGTAACACATTGTTCACTTGAATATTTGGCATTTTCTTTTTTTCCTTTTTTTATTTTTGCAGGGGAGGTTTTAGTTTTTTTTGAGTCAGGGTTTCACTGTGCAGTTCGGGCTGGCTTTGAACTCACTGTGTAGCCCAAACTGCCCTCAAACTCCTGGCAAGCCTCATGAGTGCTGGAAGTACAGGTGTGCACCAACACATCCAGCCAGCATTTTTTTGTAAAGAAGTAAGCCTGTCACTTAAAGGAAAACAGTTGAGATTTGTTGACAATGATAAAAATTGAGATTTAAAGCAAAAATGTTAATTTTGGAAAATTTTTATGTGCCACATTGAGCTTGATCACTTCCTAAGACTTTACTGGTAAGATCAGTGTGATTAATAAATGTGATTTTTACTTATTATAATTAAATATATCAGCATTGATAAATGTAACTTGGTGAACCAGTTTTCATTGCTCCATGACTAATGTTATAAAATCATGCATAAATAAAAGATATACTCAGTACAAGAGATCAGTGGATTCATAAAAAAGGGCAAAGCGTTGATCATTTCAGAACCTATATTGTGTATAACTTAGTCAAATTTAATATTATGTGAAATAACTATATCCAGTTATTTATTTATAAAATAACTAGAGTACAACTCCATTTTCTAACTGCTTGATTGGGAAATTAATTTTTATATCCAAAGCAATACAGTACAACACACATGCAGAATGCCTTGTTAAGCAAGTGTTTAAAAAAATTTGCAAAACTATAAAACAATTATCACTCTACTATTTTTTGGAAATAGACATTTTTCATGTTATTTCAAAAGGAATTAATATTTTTAAAAATTAAAGGAATTCTAATCAAAAATATATGAGAACTTCTTGTCTAAAGTAGCAGCCTCAAAGGAGAGGAAAACATTATTGAGCTAGGAAGATGAAAGATTATGGATTTTGAAAAAGGAAAATAGTTACCAGCTTCTATATTCTCAAAAGAGGTGAGGTAACTGGCTAGTAGAGAAGAAAGGAAGAACTTAAGACCAAAGAAACTGAAATGCTTTTCAGGGAATTGACAAGTATTTATTAGAGAAAAACTGCTGAGTGCTGGACAGTTTTGGATTACTTACTTGTACTTGTTAGTTCATTTAAAATAACAACAATGTACCTAATTGCATGATTTTCCCTCCAGGGATTTTCACACATTAAAGTGCAAATAAGAAAACAATTTCATTAATTCAGGATTTGAGTTTTATTTAGTTAATTCAAAAGAAGACAGAGACGTAGGGTTATAGAACTGTTTTCAGAGTAGTGATTATAATGACAGACTATGGTCTTGAAAGTAATTGTAATGATGATCGGTGAAAAAAGTAAGGACAAGAAGAAGCTGAGGGACTGTATAGGACGGGAAAAGAGAAAAAGGTTAATTGGCTGCCATTTTCATTAAAGTAATCTGAAAGGCAGATGGTCAGAGAATAGAATTTTTAAATTAGAAATTTCCTTTATTGGTGGGAGGCTTCTGATTGTGATTCTAGGGAACTAGATAGCCCTGACATTGGTATTATCCATGTGAAAGAGAGGACTTACGACCAAGAAGTCACCAGATGATAGAAAAATGCAGAAAAGCTGTCTTCCTGGTCAGCGTATGCCTCAGGAGTGTTTTAGTGCTTGGCTATGACATTTCAGACTGGCTGGGTTTCTTTATGGCACGTGAAGTTTTTGAGACTTTAGGAGACTACAAATCATGAGACAGAAATTCCTAAGAATTTTTGGAAAAAGAGGAGGAGTAGGAAGACAAAGGTTGAGATATGTAATTCACACCAAAGGAAATACATATCGGTATTGGGATGAGCATTTGGATGAAAACTGATCCAGAAAGACTTGAATTTTTAACAGTGCCTAAGCTAACAGTGATGTAGTCAGTGATGAAATTAGTCTTGATAACTGTCAGGATGCAAGGTGGAGTTATGCTGCCATCTACAGTGCATTACTACAGGAGGCCTCGGCTTTAAGCCTTCAAGCTGTGTAATACCTTTGGCAAGCCAGTAGCATCGTATTCCCTGAGACTGCACGTAAAATAGTCTCTTTCCTGTGTATAGATAAGAAAGTAGAAGTAGTAAATTTGATTTTATATATTTTACAAAGACATTAGACTCATAGCCAGAGATAAAACTTTAAAAAGTACTTTGTTATTCACATAGTCATTACTCAATAAAAAAATAAGTGGATTTTGGTGTATCTCCACCTTTATGAAACATAATGGCTACTATATTAGAGATTTATCTTTTATTTTTTCAAGTAATCCACTTAATCGTTAGCTCAACACTGCTAAATATTTACTATATGTATAATGTATCAGTGTTCTACATAATCATAGTGACTGAATTAATAAGCTTTTATAATAAGCTTTTATAGATTTTAGAATTTAATGGGAGAAACCAGTCAGTTACAAAGTAAATGCTAAAATAAAAATTAAAAGACCTACTGTCTATGTAAGATGTTCCAGATGAACTTCTTGGAGGAGTTTGTGGCATCTGGGCTGTTTCTTGAGTATCTAAGACTTTCATAGGCTGAAAAAGATTTTCCTGGCCACAAGAGCCATTAGAGCATGGTCATTAAAAGTATGTTATGCTTAGAGACTATGAAGTAGATTGGCAAAGGCTACACAGCACTGATTACACAGGCCTAGCAGTTTGAAGCAGCAAAGGCTTCTGAAAAAATCAGAATATTTTTTAGCCAAGTAACTGTGTCAGTGATGCAAGGCCAGAAAGAATGTGGAAAAGAAAAGGGAGTTTGACTTTTAACTACTTTCACCTAGATTTCTAGAATTTGTATTTATATCACTTCAATTACTTACAACTTTGTTTTCTCCGGGGAAATTTAAACTTTTTTCATATAGGCTTCAAATTTTAGAGTTCTCTAAGAAATTTGCATGCATTAATAATCAAGTAATACTATGATAAGTTTTCTTAAGATAAATTTTCTTGAGTATTTTTGGCAAAAGTTTTACATACTTAGCCTACTTATATTCATTCAGCTTTTCAGTGTGCTTTAAAGAATATTGTATTAGAAATTTTTTGCAGGTTATTTTATTGAAAACATCTGTTTTTGTTTTTGTTCAGTTTCAATCGCTTGGATCTACCACCATATAAGAGTTACGAACAACTAAAAGAAAAACTTCTTTTTGCAATAGAAGAGACAGAGGGATTTGGACAAGAATGAATGTGGCTTCTTGTCTTGGAGGAGCCTTTGAATTTACCCCAGCCAAGGAAAACTGCGCATAGTGTATATAAGCTGTTCATTCTGTACAGTGAATTGTCTTAACCTCTCAAAGCATAAACATTTTCCGTTCTTCCACAGAAATATGCAAAACAGTTCATCATTTTCTACTTTATTTATTGCTCCCTTGAAATGACGACCAGGAAAAAAGAGCATCCTTAAATTTTGAAGCAAGAGACTTTATTAAAAATAAGTATATATCTATAAAAGCATATATGATAGTGGCTCTAGTTTTATAGAGCTTAAGGTTTATTAAACATGACAGCTGTTCATTCACAAAGATCGAATTTGCTTTACCTTGTTTCTATGATCCAGGGGAAATGTGCAGATTGCTTCATGTTCTTCTCCCTTATGTAACATCTCCAAATGGCGTCTACTTGCATGGCTATTCAGGAAGGTGTTAAAGGCTTAGGCCAAATCTTGAGTGTATTAAAAGATGCTGCTGGCTTTTCTGAAGACAGGTACTTGAACCTGTCAGTATGTTTTAAATAAACACAGTAGTGAAAATTTCCCTCTTTGCTATATCAAGTAATATAGTAAAAGTAAATGAGTGAAACTATAACTTACATGGAAGTCATATACTAGATTTAATAAAATTTAGTTTGTTATGGATGGTGGAAAGAATTCATTAAGCAGCCTAGAGGTTTGTTTACATGTTACTTTGGGGTGATAGTTACTTGTGAAATTAAAGAGATTTGGCTATTTTGTTTTTAAAATTTTGTGATTCTTTAAATTCACAATAAATTAAGTTTGATAATTAGGAACATATAAAAGGTAACATGAAGTGTGCACTTTCGTTCATGTTCAAAGTTGGTTTTATAAACCAAATAGAGTTAAAAAAACCAGATGGATTAAAAAAAGCTACATAAACATCTGAACCCTTAAATAGGAGACTAATGATTTTCTATTCGTGTTCTATTTGTGTCATTTAAATTCCTAAAAATTGTATCTGAATAAGCATAATCCCCCCTTTTATATAAATCACTTTATTTTTATCCTAATAATACTTCATACTTCATTATAAGGATATTTTTTGAACTACAAAGATGTATATAACAAAGCAAAATTTGGTATGAATGACAACGATGCTGCTTTTGGCAAACTGGGCTCCCTAATACAGAAATTTTAATTTCCAGTTTTAATCATGCTTTCAGATATACACTGTAAATTTCATTAACAAAATTTTTTATAACCGAGGCTAGGGATTTAACTCAGCGGCATAAGCACCTGTCTTGCAAGCAGGCGGTCGTGAGTTCAATCCCCAGTACCGATAAAAATGAAAAAGACAAAAAAAAAATTTTATAACCATGGAACTTTCTAGAACGTTATCTATAAATATGCCACTGCTAAGCACATATGGAAAACACTAGTACACAATCTAATTTCCATAAACACTAGTTTTTGTTTTTCCAAAATTTTATTTTTCTACATATTGGACTATGTTCTGAATTTTAACTTGAAACCCATAGTAAATATTAAGTGAAGGCAATGACCATCAGTTGACTAGACACCTTTCTCAAATCCTAACTACAAACATCCTGGTAATTTTCAAGCTTAAAGAATTTTGATCCCTCCCCCCCCCCATTTGTATATTAGGTTACACAGCAGAGGATGACCACTGGAGGAACAATGTCCTGTGAACTCTGTTATGACAGAAGTTATGAATGTCATTCAGTGGAGATGTAAAAGACTGTAAGTTAGCTGATCAGACTGACAGGATGCTAGTCAAAGACAAAACTATTGTGATTTATCCACACACTGGAGTCAGAACAGCTAGAGAAATGTGACCCACTGGTCTTTCCTTTCTCCTTCTGATTTGAGCTGAAACAGCTAGAAAGAAATTAGAAGTAAAAGGTGCACTGTGCCTGGCTGTAGCTCATGAGCAAACAGTAGACCTAGGAAGGCCAAGACAGGTTCACACTGCTACTTCATTTTGGTGATACTCCCTACCGCCATCAGGGGAGAAGGTCACATTTTCATCAGTCACATCAGTTGTCTTACAGGAAAAGAACCTTACCAGGATTTGCTGTTTTTTTCTGGGCTTCTGAAATTGTTAAAAGTAAAAATGTTACCATTCCCTCTGCTGACCTGTTACTCCACCTGTGTCATGCTAACCTGAGAAACTATACAGGATGCTATGTGTTGGCTTTATTGTCAGGCACCTTCACTCCAGTTAAACATGCGCCTGATGGATACGTTGCATCTGGACAGAGAAAACTCCACATAAGTAATAGGAAGCTGTTAACTTTGGGTTTCTGTGAGTGAAAACCTGAAACTGCCTGTCCCTTATGAGGACTTGTCATTTGGGAAAACGATAGTTTGAGTTGTGGATACTGTGCTACAAAAAACTTCAGTTACAAAGTCATCTTCTGAAGGAGGCCCAGCAATGCTCTGCTGGCCAGCTGTAGTTCTTACTGAACTGCTTTCTCAGTAAACCTGTGCTGTGCTAAAGCCTGTTGTAGGCCTGCTGAGTTCTAATGTTTGAACCTAGGACAATCCAGTAGACACTGCAGAAGTAAAACAAATCTTTTGTTGAAATATGTGTACGGGAAAATAAAAGTTATTCCAACATTCCCCACTTTTCTTAATCTGTTACATTTAAGGGCCATAGCTGAAGTCAAATGGGAATTTGGTATACGTTCAGAAGTTACATCTCCAGAATTTCCTTCTCCAATCTCAACCACAAAGAATGCAATCTGATGTTTTAAGAAGTACTAATATGGGGCTGGAGATTTAGCTCAGCGGCATAAGCACCTGCCTTGCAAGCAGGCAGTTGTGAGTTCGATCCCCGGTACCGATAAAAAGGAAAAAGACAAAAAAAAAAGTACTAATACATCTTTTAAAAATCCATGAGACTGTGCTTTTTGTTTAAGCAGTGATTATTTGATGAGTATGAAGTCATTTAAAAAATACAGCACATGATTAAGTTGGTAAATTCTCAGAAGACTGAGGCAAGATAACCAAGATTGAGGCCAGCATAAGGCTACATAGTGAACTCAGAAATGAACTACATACTCTTGTCTCTGTTTTCAAGTTTTTACAGGATTATGGCCAATATCAAAATCTCAAAGAACATATCCATGACAAGTAATGATCCATCACCTATGTAATATGTTGAGCTCTGAGATGCACATAAGAACAGACTCAGGTGTGGACTGCACAAAAGGAGCATGTCAGGGCTCCAAGAGCTCATTCTGAGGAATGTGAAGTGATACATCAAAAGGAAACCTCAGAATCAGAGAATAAACAGGTGGGGTGTGTGTGTGTGTGTGGCTACCTTTAAAAAGGACCCAGCAACCACATCCCTAAGCATAATCTGGCCTACTACCCCATTTTTTTGTTATAAAAAGTGCAAAGATTATTATCTGTTACATAGTAATTATACTGAAATTGTATGAGAGGCCCAAAGCAATTATTCACTATTTGTGGCTCAGGCAAGTCAAACAGACACCCACACCCAGGATCTCTGAGATAATGTTGATCTATGTAAATGTAGTCATAGCAATGTGCCCCTCTCAGTGTCATGAGCATTGACTCCAGGGCCTGGAACATGCCAGGTAAGTGCTCTACCACTGAGCTACATTCCCTCTTTAAATCTGAGACGAGATTTTGCTAAATTTCCCAGGCTAAACTCACCTCTGCCTCTCAGCTGGAATTACAAGGCATATGTCCACATGCAGTAGCAGCTTTATTTTTAATAGCCAAAAACTGGGAGAACTAAATGCCAGTGGTCAAATTACCTGCTATGTCCATGAAATAAAATAACCTGTCCACACCAGAAGAAACTATTGATAGAACTTACATGAGTCTAAAGTGAACTACACGGAGTGAAAAAAAGGACAGTCTGTAACTATAGTATGCTATTCAGTGGCCGACAAAAGGCCGGCTAGGTGGGAGAAAAGGAAAAGGATGGGTGCGACTGTGACCTATGGATTTTTGAGATGATGGAATAGGCCTGTCCTGACTGTTGTCAGTTACAAAAATCTACATGTAATAAAACTGCTCAGAAATGAACCATACACAGGAGTGAGAGCATTTATAAGTGATAAAGCTCTAAGGCCTGTGTTACCAGTTTGGATTAGTCTCTAGTATTTAAGATGTTACCACAGCACCCTTTTGGGCAATTTGTAATACTATAATTACTTCAAAATAAAGTTCACTGAAGCACCAGAACGACTTCCCCATATACAAAATGCTTTATTGCTGAAAGGTAACAGTTCACAGAACTAACTTACCAGATACTTTAGGTGTACATGTGCATGCTGTAGCAACTGGAATTGAACCTAGGAATTTGTTCTAAGTACATACAAAAGGCTGAATTACATCCTTAGCCGAGGATTATTCTTAGACTAACTCAAAACCCCTACCTTCCTCTAATTTTAATTACCTGATACTGTTGGAAACAAAACAAATTCCACTCGTAGAAAAGTTCGAAGTCATTTTAAAATTCTGAAAATGTGGAAAGATGCTAGGGGTATAGTTCTAGTACAGTGCTTACTTAGCATGTGTGAGGCTCTGTTTGATATTCCAGCACTGAGAAGATAAAAATAGTAATATGCTAATGTAAAATGGTAATATGCTAATATAAAATGAGTAAATTGCAGACTTGTCAAAACCTTAAATTAGAAATTCCAAAACTCAGCTGGATAAACGTGAAGATGTGAAATGACTGCCGAAAAAAAAAACTGAAGACAAAAATATCTCAGAAATGAGAATTATAAAGAATCTACAGAACACATGTAACTAAAAGCAAAATGAGGATTATGAAAGAGCAATGAAAAGAGGTTGAAAATTGACAACAAAAACATCATAAATGTAAAAATGATGAGAGATACAAAAACTGGGGTCTCTGAAAACAAGACAGAACAATAATTCTCAAAAGTGGTTCATTAGGGGGCTGGGATTTAGCTCAGTGGCATAAGCGCCCGCCTTGGAAGCAGGCAGTCGTGAGTTCGATCCCTGGTACCGATAAAAATGAAAAAGAGAAATGGACTAGTCTCTCCAAAAGACACTCTGAACAGAAAGACAGCAAACTCTTCTAGATTAAAAGTAGGCAGCAAATCAAATGCAATGTATGATCTGTGATTGGTCCTGATTCAAAAAGCAGATTTTGGGACATCCGAGGGAGTCTGAATATGGCTTGAGAAGTAGATGTTATTAAAGAATCAGTAATTTTATAGTTGTGGTAATGTATTTGTTTTTTGGAAGACATTCTCAGGATAGAGGATACACAGTGAAATACATCTGCAATTAAATTCAAATAAAAATACAGATACACAAATTACAACAAAAGATTAACCATAGGTGAATCTGAGAAAAAGGTATACAGAACTGTTTTCATTTTTTATGTCTGAAGATTTACATGACAGAAACAGTACATACTACTGTAACATGACAGTTTTTTAATCCTTTGTGGAAAAAATGCACCCACATGGCTGAGGGTAGAGCACAGTGGTAGAGAACTTGGCTGCCATGCACAAGGCCCTTGGATTCAATCCCAAGCACCACAAAATAAAAGAAATGAAGGAAAATTGACCAACATACACAATCTCAGATTTAGTTAAGTGGCATTTCAAGAGGCTCCTTTTTACAAGGCTTAAGATTTTACAGTGGTTGTACTCCAACCACAACGCTACCAGAAAGTAACATTGACCTTATTTAAATTATCTTAATTTCCATTTCACTCTGAAATTCTATTTTTTCATCTCAATATGAAATGCAGTTTGGACTGTCTGGTGACAAGTTCAGTGAACTTGTGAGTCTATACCACATTTAAAAAGAAACCACTCCACCTCCATCTCCTGACTTTGAATTCTCTCCTCCTGCAGGCTGGCTCCAAGACGCATCACCCTACTGTGCTTCATACCAAGAATCCCTCAATATCCTAAGTGCCTTTCCCTGTGCCTTCTCTGTAAGACTGCAACTCTGTATCAAATCTAGCCTGAAAATCCACACTCACAAGCTGGGTTTCTAATTCCATAAATCGTTCGTTTCTTGATACTCTCTCTTCTGGAGGGTATCTGGATCTGATCAGTACTTAGAAACTTCATTCCATTTTGTATTGGTGTTCCAGATGCAAAATAATCTTTCTGCCTGAGCCATGGGAATTTTATACATACCACCCTTAGGATGATATGAAGTTATTTTTCTTGCCACCTTCTTTGTGAAGAAACTGAGAATTTTGAACATTTAATCAATTTAATGGTTACAGCATTAAAAGAACTGAGAAAAAGGCTCAGAACACTGTGGTTAATTATTATATGTAATTCAATGAAGAAACAGTTTGCTGGGTATTCATTTATTTTCTTTTCTGCAAGTTTTCAGTTCTTGTCACAAACCTGTAAGTAACTGAGCAGCTTCTGTTTGTATCTAAAACAGAAAAAATTTATGAATAAACAGTATGGCTTAGAGATTAACCTGTGAAATGTATATTTATAAAGTACACTGTAGTTTTTAGATGTTTTCAAAAATTAAGACAGGAGAATAAAATTGTAAAAATAGTTTTTTTCTTTGGATGAAACTCAGAGAACTCTTCAATGTATACAAGCCTTAATTTTATGTTTTAGAAATTTTACATGATCTGCTATATATGTCAAACAGGAATTAATTCTGTATTGCAGCAAACAACCTATTACTTACTTGATTATAACTATTTCCTATTCAGATATAAATGTAAATATACCCATAATTGAACTGAACAGTACTGTGTTTCCAGCATATTATTTACTTAAAAGTTCTTCATTCACCCTTCTTTAATAATGCCTCAATGAAAACCTGTCTGCCTTTACTGTACTGGAGATGTTTTACCTGCTTATCTTCTTCAGTGTGTGCTGGATAGTCCTTGGCTTTCATTAGCCATAAAGCAGCAAGCTTTTTGTTGTTTAGCTTCAGGTATGTCTTTCCTAAAAGAAGCAAGTTTTTGCTGTAGAAGTTTGGATCCACTGTACACAAAAAGGAAAAATAAATTTAAGAGAAACAGTATTGCTTATATTTTTACAACTTCAATACCTAAATTGTACTAATAAAAGTCTATGGTTAATAAGTAAGCTTACTAGAATTCTATTCAACTATTCCTACCTAACGTATCTGTAACATGTTAGTGCAGAGTGTTTACTCCATGTTAAGCACTGTATTTCACACATTTCTCATTTTCATAACAATTTTATAATGTAGGTATCCCCACTGAGAAACTTAGGCTTCTAACTGAATGTAAATTACAAAATAACAGCAATTTTCTTTTAAAATCCATGTTACTGCATCCCATATCCCTAGAATAGTAGCTAGAACATAACAAATATTCCGTATATTGGCTGAAAGAGTAAATGAAATCATGACAGTACATAAATTTTATTAGCATTTGCTGAATGATACTAAGAGAATGAAAAACTTTTCACTCTTTTTGGAATTTATAATGAAAAAGAGAGAAATATGAACACAACTAAATGTTATGAATGGATGAAGAAATGATTTACCAGAAGTACAAACTTCAAAGTGCTACAAAAAGGAAAAAAAACCCAAAAAACAAAAACACAACCTGTCAGATCATAACTGGGGCTCAGTTGGAGGAAAATAGGACTTTTTTCCCCCGTGTTGGGACTGCACCTTGCCCTCTGACTGACAATCACTCTACAAGTGAGTTATATTCCAACTCTTTTAAAAATTGAGACAGGGCCAGCTTAGTGGTACACACCTGTAATCCTTGTACTTGAAAGCCTAAAGCAGGAAGAGTGTATGAGTTCAAGGATAACCTGAACAATATAGCAAGGCCCTCACAGGTTTTGGCTGTGTTACTCAGTCTCAAATTTGCAGTGTTCATGACTCAACACTCAACCTCCCTAGCAGCTGGGAATATGGGCACATACCACCATGCCTCACAAGGATGAACAAGATTTTAACAGAAAAAGGGAACATTCTTAGCTGAAGGGAAAAAAACATGCACAAAGACTGTGGAAGTGAGAGCAGAAAACAGCAGTCACAGACACTAGGAAGGGGGAAAAGTGACAGAAGATTGGATAGGGTACTAACATGGTTGGGAGCAGTAAGACCTACAGCACGGTAGGATAACTAGCTAATAGCAACTTACTACATATTTTGTAAATAGCTATAAGACAGTTCAGAGCTCCCCAGCACAAATTAGTAATATTTAAGGAGATGGAGATAGTAATTACCCAGATTTGACCACTGTGTATTGTATACATGTACTGAATTACCACACTGTTCTCCATAAATACACACATGCCTATTAAAAGGAAAAATGTTTTTGAAGCCTATGATTGAAAGCATGGAAGTATCTTCTCACTAACTTCATAATTTTTCACAGTTACCACCAACAAAACCTGGACACTATCTTCAAAGCATATTTTCTGGGGCTGGAGGTACAGCACAGTAGTGTAACCACGCTTGCTTTATCATATGGTAGGCTCTGAGATCAAACCTCAACACCAAAAAAGAAAACAAGCCAGGTATGGTGGCCTGTGTCTATAATCCCAGCACTCAAGTGATACTGGAACAGAAAGATCACAAGTTCAAGCCTAGTCAAGGGAACTTACAGCATGTTTCCAAATTTTAAAATATAATTTTAAAAAAAGGTTGGGCAGGTAACTCAGTACAAGGGTCCTAAGTTCAAGCCCCATATGATTAACTTCATTTTCTTTTAACTGAGATCTTTTTAACTTCTTTGATTTAAATATATTTATGTGATGACAAAGTTAATATACTTAGTGTCCTCAGGGTTAAGTATATTCAATAATTCATTCATCCATTTACTCAGTCAATGGCAAGCATTATGTTAGGCAGAGAGAATACAATTGTGAGCCAGAAACAAAATCCCCGTCTTCCCTCAGTCTGTAGCCTTAATCAAATGTAAATTCATAACCGAGGTCCAATTTTTATTTTATAATAATACTTTAAAATCTGAGAAACTTTCATCCCTGTAGTCACATTAATGATACACAGTATGATCATAGAAAGGCATCAAAGACAACAATAAGTAAACTTATGAATTAGACTAAACATTCAAACATAAAAAATGTATTTTATCTTTTTTAAAAAGTAAAATACTAGTTATAAAAACATTGACGAGGTCCACACATGTGAGATCTTTAATAAGCACTAGGTCTCCTTAATTATAAGACAATTAGATGTTAGAGAAATTATTTCCAGTCATTTTATGGTATATTTGGTAACAAATATTTACATCCCTTACCTTAGTTATTGGTATTAAAATGGGCAAATTTGTAGGACAGGCTGATGACAGCTCTATAGGGCTATTTTAAAAAAAAAATTCAGTCTCCATTTAAGTGTCTCTAATTCACTTATATGTAATTTCAAATAATACTCTCAATCTGTATGAACAGCTTCTCAAAAAGATTTACCTTAAAAGAAGGTAATTAAAATTACCTCCAAAAGAATTACTTTACATGAAGGCATATCTAATTCCAATATTGGCCTATTCAGGTGATCTTTATTAAGTATTTTTAAATTGTTTTATAATATTTAGTAAAAAAAACTGTAACAGACTAAATAACTTATTTTAAAAATTTCTATATATTCAGCACTTTTACAATTTTAACAATATGTGAAATTTAAAAATTACCTTGTTCTGCTCTGTGAAAGTAGCCCAAGGCCTATTACAAAGAGCACAAACAATATGAAAAGAATTAAAGTTGACTCAATATTTAAAAAAGCATTTTTTGATCTATCCCTTATTAAATAAGTCAGGGAGTAAATCATCTTAATCAGTTTTTCAATAATGAGATTAACACAATCAAATTTAACACTTCTAAGTCAACAGAGAGGAACAGTACAGTAGAATATGAGTACCAATTGTGCATCTACATACCACCACCTCTTCCCCTAGCATTGGTAATTGAATCTTTGTACTAAACGACACCCTCATCTTTTTTAATTGTTATTTTTAAGACAGGATTTCCCTAACCTGTTAAACTGCTCGGGCTGGCCTTGAACCTGAGATCCTCCTGCCTCAGCTTCCCAGAATGTTAGGATTCAGGCATGTACCACCATGCCTAGCTATACCTCTAAATATTATTTACAGCACATTCTACACTAGAACTGTAGTGCAGGCAAAACTAAACAAACTCCATGTTATGATACAAATACCAGGAGAACTTTTTCAACTGCCTATTTACTTACATTCTGAAAATTCTATGATTAAGTAAACTCAAGATGTTTACCCCCAGGAGACTGGAGTGTAGCTCGGTGGTAAACCTTGTGTTTATTTAACTTACACAAGGACCTGGGTTCAATCCCCAGCACCAAAAAAGAGTTTACCTAGAAAATCCTTTCCAATTTTATTTTCAACAGAGAAGCAAAAGCCTTGAAACTGTCAGAAAATATAAGCCTTTCAAAGTCATTCTTTATACCTAAAATATGCTATGTAATAGTTGCTCTTATTTCTTATTCTACTTTATGACTTTTATATGGAATAAATTTCAAAATGAAGGTAAGATTTTAGCCATTAGCTATTTTAGCTAACAATATAACAATAATCAGCCACTCACCTAAAGGAAAAATTAAAATGCACTCACCAGCCATGGATTATAAGTATTAAGTCTCTGTGATATGACAGTTGAATTGGATCATTAGAAACTCGCTCAAGTCCCTCACTGAATCAGAGCTCCATATGTGTGGACACTGTAGAAAGGCGCTGTAATTAAGAAATCAGTACTAACTTAACAAGGACATCATACTACCTCCTCATAGGTGGAACTAGGAGGAGTTGCAAACAGCATTTTAGCAATTCTTCTTTGATACCAAGGCATTTCAGCAAATGTATAGCACCTATAGAGAAATAAAACATCGTTACACATTCACATTCATTACCATCTTTTTTTCACTTAATAGATCTTATAAAAGGAATCTTTGAATGTACCTTTAAACAATTTGTATTCTATTTGCATGAAATCTAGTACTTAATATTCACATTGAATTATTAGACATGACATGATACAGTAGTTATGTATTTCATAACTGAAAATAAATAGCAACAGTACAAGTAGTGATACTATATCATCTACCACTAAGAGCTGGGCTAAATAATTCTCTCTCTTATCTATTCCTTATAACAACTAAATGAGATAGGATCAGTGCTCTTTATTTTTTGCATGAAGAAAATTTAAGAGAAGTTTAAAAAATTTCACCCAAGAAAAATGAAAAGCTGAATAAGATATACATGAATACCAAACCATTAACAACTTGAACCCATTTCTAAAGGAGTGAAGCAAATATTTTACATCTGAAAAATCTTTACAACTTTTGATATAAGGAGAAAAGTATGAGATCTTTGACTCAGTCTTGAGGCAAACTGTATCTCATGTCTGAAAACTAAATGTTCCTTAACCATTAATCTTTCGTAGTTAAACATGTTCTTTATTCTGAAAAATATTTACTTGTCTTTTTGAAGCTTGATATAGGACTGTTTATACTGGTATCTTTTTGGGTAATAAATATTTAGGGGGCTCAGGGGTCAGCTCTATAGACTATACCCAAAGGAAACAGTGGCCAACTTGTTATCTTGAGATTCCTACACCAGTAAATATATTTCACAGTGGTATATCACAATATCAGGAACATATTACCAGTGGATACAATTTCACAATGAGAATCAAAAGAAAGGCTGCGATGTGGGGCTGGGGATTTAGCTCAGTGGCATAAGCGCCTGCCTTGCAAGCAGGCAGTCGTGAGTTCGATCCCTGGTACCAATAAAAACAAAAAAGACAAAAAAAAAAAGAAAAAGAAAAAGAAAAAGAAAGGCTGGGATGCAGCTCAGTGGTAGAGATCCTGTCTAGCATGTGAAGCCCCTGGGTAAAACACCCTTAGCACAACAAAGACAAGATTATATGGTTCCTCAGATTAATCAAGATGGTATTTAACAAACTTTGAACATGAAAAGACCATCTCGAGACATGCTCCTATATCTGTTTTATTTGGCATAGTGACTGAGGATATTCTTTCCTACGAGAGGAAATTTAAAGACCTACAAGTTTTAAGTTTGTTTTAGTCTTAAGTGTATGTTTCTAAATGACTTGAATAACAATGTTTATTTAACATAATCACAAATTTAATATCTTCTAACAAGACATGTACAGTTGCTAGTTAACGGATTTAACAACGAACTCCTTTGAGTATTTAAAGTATTTTACATCTTGCATATACTAAATAATATATACTATGAAGTAAAATTTTACTAACTAGCACTGAAATTTAAAGAAATTTTCTTACCAAATACCCATAAGGTGAATTGAGGTAGCATCTTTAGGGTTCAGTTCAATTGCTTTCTATCAAGAAATGAGAAATCAATTATATTAGTTTTCTAGGCACCAGTATTTTATTTAAACAAAACAACTAAAGAAGTCATGACTTTAAGAAATAAACAACTGAAGAAGTCATAACTCTTTAAACACCTGCAACCCTGCATTTTACTTTTACTATGATAACTGATACCACATTCTTCCTCCCACATTCTACCTCCTAGTACAGGTAAGGACCTGTACTAAAGTTATTATAGTAAGATCTATTAAGTTAAAGGAAAAATAAATCCTTTCTTGGAAAATCCTAAATGAAAACTGAATGAAAAGCATTCTTTCTTAGAAGAACTAGAAGTATTTAATTTTGAAAAAAAATCTCTTCTACTTGTACTTTGCTCAATATTGCCACCTGCACTTCCAACAGAAAAAATAGTTATTCATAGGGTATGATAGAATAATTTTGTACAATATTAGCAATAGTTTCATAAATCTACCTAATTTCTGTTTACTATGTCAATTACTGTAAAAAGCACAAACTACAGAATAATTGTAAAGAATTACACCTCAGCCAGTCTGGGCAATTTAGCCTGGCTCTGTCTCAAGATAATAAAAGGGCTAGGGTCATAGCTCAGTGTTAAGAGGATCTGCCTAGAAGGTATAAGACCCATGGTGCAATCCACAGTACTACCAAAAAAAATTGTTTTTAACCCACTATTGTATTGAAACCACTAAGGAAACCTCACAGATTAAAGCTCATCCTAACGAAAATAAGGTTTTTAAGCCCATTTTCATTTTTAGTTTGGTAATTTGTGAGGCACACAATTTCAATTATTCCTAATAGTTAAGAGGAGTTCTGAAACCAGACTTCCCAGGTTCAAATCACGGCTAAGTGGCCTCAATTTATTGACTTTAGTTAAATTTTGTATTCTTGCTTTGCCTGAGTTTTATTAAACAGACTGGTGGTGTAGCTTAGTGACAGTGCTTACCCACCATGTGTATTTCTTTGTCCTGAGACACAGAGTAATAAGTAATTTAGCTATGCCATTCAGGAAATTATCTTACTGAACCTAAGATATCAAAAATGGCATGTCCTACAGTCATTTTATGTGACACTAAAGGAAAATCCACTGCTGCCAATTATACTATAAGGTACTGCTGATTACGTAACATAATACAATCTGAATTCAAAGATCGGAAAACACAAAACATGGGAGAATTACACTGTAAAATAGGTATTACAGTGATTATACTGTAAATTAGATATTTAACTATGCACATATTTTGGTGTCTGAATAAGAAATCATGTCCCTGACTCCCAGTCCACTGTTGCTTTTCACTTGTAGCTGTATAAACTGGGAACTGAGACTGTGACTATAATCTTAAGGTCACAGGACAACACCTCCAGTACTGTCCTGTGTGTGCTTCCACTATTTATTTTTGAGATGAATTACAGTAAAATACAGTAAAATACAGAAAAATACGTATACTGAGATTTTGGTGTTCATTTTTTTTAAGGACTGATGTGTGTGTGTGTGTGTTATGAAACAGGCTCCTGACCAGATGTGGTGGTGTGTGGTGGATGCCTCTAATCCCAGCCCTTAGGAGGCTGAGATGGGAGGATCATCAAGTTCAAGGTGGCTATACAGTGAGTTCAAGGCCAGCCTGAACTGTCAAGATCCTGTCTCAAAAAAAGAAGAAATGTAACAGACACCTACAAAATTTTTGGTAGCGAAAGAAGAATCTACGATAAGTGACTTAATGTTAGAGGAGACTATTAAAAACACACACACAACATACACAAAACATAATCTTAACTAGAATTATCATTACCCTAATGGTATGTCAACTGGGTTAGGTGTTTCATTAGATTATATAGGTATTCAGGATCTTTCATGACTATTCCCTTCCATAGAAATTGGGCTTGGCTATCAAAATGTTACGAAGCATGATGCAAACATGTTGGATAAAACTCGGCACAGCAGACCTCCTTCTTGGAACTCTCACTCTTGAAAGCTAGCAGCTACCACAGAATAAAGAGGCTTTGGTTAGGCCACAATAACAAAGACAAATGCACAGGAACTCTAGTAGATAAGAGGCAATCGTGAACGTTCAAGTCACGGCAGAGGGCCTGACTGCAGCCATCTTTATGACCTTAGCTTTATCAAGTGGGGCAGAAGCACAGTAGGACTCAGTAAAGCCACAAAATTAGAAGAAGTAACCCACTACTTTAGATTGTTTTCCGAGATAAAGGTCTGGCTGTTTGTCCAGACTGATACAGAAATCTTAGATTCAAGTGATCTTCCTGCCTATGTTTCCCAAGGAACTGGAACTATAGGCCCAGGCCACCATGCCCAGCTTTTGGCAGTTAAGTCTCAGATGATTTGGTAACTGAAACCTATTCAGAAAGATAGCTGACATTTTAAATTCATGAACACGAATACATCATCGGTACCTCAAAATGTTCCTTGATAATGTAGGCATTTGCAATTTTAACCTTGATGCCTTCATAATCTCCAACATCACTAATGCAGATTGCATACCACTGCACAGAGAAGAAAAAGTTGTGAGGATACTCTTAGTGATTTAGAAACAAGAAAAATCATACAATTATTTATTCCTTGTCATTCTATTTAACAAAAGTTACTGAGCATAAAAACAATGCTAAATGTAGTACAATATATAAAGAAAAGTAGGCATGATCCACTAAGAACTCAGGAGTAGGACATTTTGTAGAGACTACACTATAGGGCAGAGTACTGAACGTAAGAGAACTGCACCACAATGAGGAGCTAACAGATCCCGTTTACAGTCTAACGATAAGTTTAGAAAATCTTATAGATTAGTATCTTTTTATTTTCTCATCCTCTTTTCTGGGACCTGCCTCTTCTCTGTTCACATGGGGACAGTAACAACTATCAATTGTGACATTGTCCTCACAGCTATAGATGGAAAGCAGATGCACAATGAAACCATCTGAGTCTTTCCCCCAAGAACTGATTCTAAAATATACAACCTGCATAAACCCAAATCCTGTGGAAAAATTATAAGACTTAGGTTAAGGCAGAAAACAAAAAACAAAACACAAAAAAACTCAGCATATATTTGTAAATAGTATCTCAAAAACACTGTTAACTTAAAGGAACAGGCATGAATGATCACACATTGTATGATTCTACTTACATGTATAATATATCCAGAATATTTAAAATTATAGGCACAGAAAGCAGAAAAGTGGTTGCAAATGGCTGATACTATGAGGGAAGAAGAGTGACTGCTTAACAAGAACAAGGTTTTGTGGGGGAGATGACAAAAATGGTTTGGAATTAGATGTGCTAGTTATATAACACTAGAAATATCTTAATTGTTTCTTGATTGTACAATTTAAAATGGTTAACTTTATGTTATATAAATGTAAGCAATTAAAAAAACTGAAAACAAGAGCTTACTAAAAAACTTGAACATAATTATTTATAGTGGCATACTGCTAATAGTCAAAAGATGGAAACAACCTAAATGCCCATTCGCTGATAAACACATTTTTAAAAACTGATATATCCATACAACAGAACATTACTTAGTTATAAAAGGAAAAAGCACTGTCACATTTAAAAAGGATAAAAAATATTACATCCTGCAAAAGATGGCCAATATATGGCCACAAAAGGCTATATTTGGAGCAAGTTCATAAAAACAGAAAGGTTACTGCTTGCCATAGAACAAGGAGAATTGAGGCTGTCTGGTAATAATGGAAATGTTCTGGAATTAGATACTGATAATGCTTGTACAATGTATTGAACATACTAAAACATTAAATTTTATACTTTAAAATATTAATTTTATGAAATACGAAGTATATCTCAGTAAAAAATGCTATGCAATTAATGGAAATTAAAATGAAAGCAAGATTTATCACATGCCTACAAGGACTATATGTTAAATAGAGACATAAATAAGCTTGTAGCACTAGCCACTCAGGAGGCTTAAGCAGAAGAATCCCTTGAGCCAAGTTGTTTCAGCCCAGCCTATGCAACATAATGAAATCTTATCTAAAGAAAAGTATGTATCATGCTAACATTTATCAAAAGAGGGAAGAATGGCTATACCTATATCAAAGTATATAAGTATTTGGAGTAAAATTCAAAGTATTTGTAGAGACAGTGTATTACTAACAAAGAACTTCACTAGAAAAATTAATCCTTAAAAAAAAAAAAGAAAAATTAATCCTAAATCATTATTTTTCTGAAAGTAACATTTTTAAAAATATGCTAATACATACGGGATCATTTCAGTTATTTGCATTTACTTAAGCATGCTCTATGAACTAATATGTGGTCCATTTTGGAGGAAGTCCCATGTGCTACTGAGTAAAGAGTGTATTCTAATAATACTGAATGCAATACTCTATCCATATCTACTAAGTCCATTTTTTTAAAGGTTTGGTTCAGCTATGGTATTTCTTTGACTGTTTTTGTCTAGTTGATCATCTATTTGTGACATTAGGGTATTGAGATTTCACCATTACAACTATATAGTGTTTATCTGGTTTTCCATTTCGTGTTTTTTAATTTTTTTTTTTTTTTTTTTTTTTTGGTACTGAAGATTGAATTCACAACCTTGCGCTTGCCAAGGCAGGTGCCTCTGCCTCTCAGTTAATTTCCAGTCCTTACTAGTGTTTTATACAGCTGGGTGTACCAGTATTTGGTATACAATACATAGTCTGCCAAACGTATACATATTTCAAGAAAAGGAAAATTTGTATAAATATTTTAATACTAACTCTGTTGAGACATCGTGAGATTAATACAAGTTACCTGTGGCCTCTGTAATTATAACAGTTGTTCAAAGTGGTGGCCATGAGCTTCCAGACATTTATTAGCATGGCACATACTTTTAAAATATTTTATCTTAGGATTGGTAGTGTAGTGGGTTTTTGTAATATATGACATCTTCTAGAGTTCCCCATACAAGGTTAACACCATCTGTTGAAAACTACTGTACTATTTTTCTTTTCCTGAAGTGTGTATGCATGTTTTTTTGTGGACTCTGTATTTATGATTGTTACCTCTTCCTCTTGGATTATTCCTCTAACAAGTATGTAGTGACCATCTTTATAAGTCTTGGCTTGAAATCCACTTCATCTGCAAAAAAAAAAAAAAAAAAAAAACTTCCCCTGCTTTTTTCCAGGTACCTACTGCATGAAGTATTCTTTTCTATCATTTGACTTTCAGCCTATAAATTTCTTTTGGAGTTAAATCTGTTTCGGTATGCAAAATATGCTGGACCTTGTTCTTTTGTTTTGTGAATTCAGACAATTCACATTGATGAGTACCAAACTATCCTTGTTATTGTATTATTTTCCTGTTATTGATTCCCTTTCTTTCTCTTTTGTTTGCCTTGCCTGGTAGATTCCTTCTACTGGGATTATTGGAAATAGTGTCTTCGTTTTCTCTTTCTAGGATATCCTTCAAAACTTCTTACAGTGTTGGTTTGGCAGTCATGAATCTCTTTAGGTATCCCTTAGTGGAAGTAACATCTTTTTTCCATCAATCTTGAAAGATAATTTTGCAAGGTAGAACAATCTGGGTTGGAGGATGTTGTCCTGTAAGCTTAAAATACTTTAATCCAAGCTCTCCTTGACTTAATGGTTTGTGTTGAGAAGTCAAGCTATGATTTTGATGAATTTTCCTTTATAGGTGATTTGTTTCTTTTCTTTAGCAGCTTTTAATAGTTCTTATCAGATCACAGTGCAATGAAATTAGAAATAAACCACAAAAGAAAGCACAAAAACTACATAAATACATGGAAATTAAGACAATACCCACTTGAACAACCAACGGGTCACAGATGAAATTAAAGCAGAAATTAACAGTTTCTACAAGGGAATGATAATCATAATAAGACATATTGGAACTTATGGGATACAACGAAAGCAGTCCTGTGAGGAGATTTATAGTGGTGAAGTCTGCCAAAAGAAAAATGAAGTGAGCGCTAATAAATAATCTAATGTTCAACATCTAGAAAACTTCTAGAAAAAGACAAGCTAAATTCAAAGCTCATACCAGGAAGTGAATCATAAAGATTAAAGCAGAAATTAATGCAATGGAGACTAAGAAACAAATAGAGAATCAATGAATCAAGGAGTTGGTCCTTTGAAAGACTAAATAAATTGACAAATCCATAACCAACCTTACCAAAAAAGGAAAGAAAAGACCCAAATCCACACAATTAGGAATGAAAGGGGAGAAATCATGACAGATCCTATAGAAATCCAGAAGTTCATCAATACCTACTTTGAAAACCTATACTCAAGTAAGATGGAAAATTCAGAAATGGATAGATTCCTCAATACATATGAACAGCTAAGCCTGAATCAAGAAGATATAAAATTCTAAACAATTCAGTATCAAAAAATTGAAGGGGGGTGGGGAGAAAACCTACGAACAAGGAACAGCTGAGGTCCTGACAGATTCACGGCTGAGTTCTACAAGAACTTTAGAAAAGCTCTAATGCCACTACTCCTCAAATTCTTTAATGAAATCGGAAGAGAAGCAATATTTATACTTACTCCTAAAAGCAAGTATTAACCTGATACCAAAACCAGAGAGGACACAATGGAAAAAGAGAACTACAAGTCATCTCTTTAATGAACTTAGATTCAAAAATCCATTAAATACTGACAAATGGAATGAAGCAAATCATCAAAAAGATTATATACCATGACCAAAGAGGATTCATCCCAGGGATGCTGGGGTGGTTCAACATATGCAAATCAATAAATGCAACATACCACAATAACATAACCAAGGACAAAAAATACATGATCATCTCAACAGATGCAGAAAAAAAGTATCTGATGAAGTCCAGCACCTATTCATGATAAAAAAAAAATACTCTTAAAGAAAAATGAAACAGAAGGTCTTTATTCCAATCTGATAAAAGCCATCTATGACAAACCAACATTTGACATCACAGCTAATGGCCAAAAACTCAAAAAAGTTTTTACTCTAAAATCAGGAAGAAGATAAGGATATTTCCTATTACCACTCCTATTTAATATAGTTCTGGAAACATTAGCCACAGCAATTAGACAGGAAAGAGAAATGAAAGGAAGACAAGAAAGTAAGAAATCAAATTATCATTATTTGATGATGACTTGAAACTCTATATGGAAGACCTCAAAACTCTACCAAAAGACTTCTATACCTAATAACCAAATTTGGTAGTACAGCAGGATACAAAGTCAACATTCAAATATCAATAACACTCCTATAAACAAATAACAAATTGAGAGAAATTAGGGAAACAATACCTTTTACAACAGCATCAAGAAAAATACTCAGGAGTCAATCTAACAAAGAAGAAAAGATCTTCATATTGAAAACTAGAGTACTCTGAAAAAGGAGCTCAAAAATGGTATCAAAAATGGATAGATATTACTTGTTCCTGGATAGTCAGAACCAATACAGTGAAAATGGCTATACTTCTAAAAATGGTTACATAGATTGAATGTAATTCTGATTAAAATGCCAATAGCATGCATCACAGAACTAGAGAAAACAATCCTAAAATTCATATGGAATCAGAAGAAACCTAGAATAGCAAAAGCAATTCTAGGCAACAGAAAGGTGTTATGGTTTATGTCTGGATGTTCCCCTAAAGCCTCATGTGGTCATGGGGTAGCCAGGCTTTTTGAAGGCAACTTAATGTTGCTTATGATTGGTTTATTGTTTTTTTTTTTTTTTTCTTTTTCCTTTTCATCGGTACCAGGGATTGAACTCACGACTGCCTGCTTGCAAGGCAGGCGCTTATGCCACTGAGTTAAATCCCCAGCCCCTTGGTTTATTGTTTGTCTAGTGCTCAGATTGGAAGCATGAGTGGTACATCCACCCTAAGGCAGACAGCCTACATACAGTGTAAAAGAAGAAAACAGATTTGCTCCACTCCTTTTGCTGTTGTTACTTTTGGTATCTTCATGAACTGTTGCCTTCTGCCATGCCACCTTGCCTTGAGAGCCAGCTCATACAGGTTGAAACTTCTATAAACTGTGAGCTAAATAAAATTTTCCTTCCTTAACTGTGGGTATTTTGTCTTAGCAATGAGAGAAAAGTAAGACAAAAGGCAAGGCCAAAAGCATCATAATCCCATACTTAAAATTACACTATAAAACCACTGTGAAATACAAAATGATACTAACAACAACAACAACAACAACAAAAAACAGACCCAAGGATCAATGGAACAGAACAGAAGATGTGTAACAACTGCAAACACACTCAACTACCTTATCTTTAAAAGGGTAAACACACCTTCACTGGAATTAAGACAGTCTCTACTAAATGGTGCTGGGAAAACTCATCTCTCCACATATCAAAGATGAAATCGACATACATAGTCTCACCATGCCTTAAGCTACAATTGAAATGAATCAAGCAGACAACAGAAACAATTTGCTGGAAGACAGAAGAGATAAAACTCTTGAAAATGTAAGTGTATGCAATAATTCTATGAACAAAACCCAAACTGTACAGAAAATATCATAAAGAATCAACAACTGGGATCATATCATACTAAAAAACTTTTGTTCAGCAAAAGAAATCACCAACAGAGTGAACAGACAAGTCACAGAATAGGTAAAAATGTTCCCAGTTATTCTACAATGGATTAATATCTAGACCTCAACAAAATAAGCCCCCATAAAATTTGATAATCTAATACAAAAATGGGCATCTAAAATGAAGATACTTCTCAGATAAAGTATAAACAGCAAATAAATACATGAAAAAAAGTTCAATATCACTGGTCATTCAAGAAATGCAAATTAAAACACTGATAATGTCTTACTGCAAAAAGAATGGCTGAAACCACGAAAGTGACCAATAACAAATGGTGGTGAAGTTGTGGGAAAAAGGAACTCTTTTCCACTTTTGGTGGAAATAAAAATTGATATAACTATGGAAATAAATATGGAAATTGCTCAAAAAATTAACACTAGAGGTTCCATCTATTACTAGAGGACCCAGCTATTACCCTTCTTATTTTCCCAAAAGAGTTAAAAGCATTGTACCACAGTGACACAGGCACATCCATGTTTACAGCAGCAAAATTTGTAACAGCTAAATCTTGTAAACAGCCCAGATGTCATCAATGGATGAATGGATAAATAAAATGTGGTTTTTACATGCAATGGTGTCCGACTCTGCCATAAAAAGGATAAACTAAAGACATTTTTAGGTGAATGGATACACCTTGATGATATAATTTTAAGTGTAATAAAATGAACACATGTTTAAATATTTCATTGTTTATCTTGTGTGAGAAACTCAAAGGGTAAATAAGAACCAAGATGGAGGATAAATATTGGGAAGTAAGAAAAAAACATTCAAATGGGAAGGGGCAAAAGGGAGAGGGGAAGAGAAATGCAAAGAAGGAAACAGAGATGTAAAAAATTTAAAAGAGTGGAAGGAAAACAATAGAAACAAAGTTTTATAAATGGAGAAGAGAAGAATTAAAGGGAAAGGAAAGAAATGGGAAAAAAAGAATTAAGTTATATTATAGGTACAAATTTCCTTTGATGAATATGATCATTATGTATGTAAAAAAATACAATTAAATTAATATTTTTTAAATACTTGAAAAACTAAACAGAACTGTAAGGAAAAAATAAAATCTACCATTGTACCTGGAAATTTCAATGCTCTACTTTCAATAATTTACAGAAAATTAGTAAAAATTTGGAGGATTCAAACACTATCAACCCATGTGATCTAAATAACATTTATGATATATTTCTAACACATTCTTTTCACATACAAAAAGAACATTTACATAGATGGACCATGTTTTCTAATTATAAAATATGTTTCAATGAATTTAAAGGAATTTGTACCTGTTTTATCTTTTAAATACACTAGCAGCGGTTTCCAATGCAGTAAGGAAGGTAAAATATTAACTCCTAAAGGAAACATCTGAAAACATGCAGAGATGCACTCTGGTTGTCAAAATGACAGACGCTATACTGGAGACAGTTCAACATATTAAAAGTCCTAATCCATAGTGCTGTATTGCGCCCCCCATCTTCCCACACTATCTAATGAGAAAGTGTCCTCCTAGAATCTAGCTGATACGTGTTAAAACACACACACACAATTGGCCTCAACTGCCCAGCTGTTATATTTCTACCTTGACATAAAATATAATGTGCAAAAAATAAAATATTTGTCAAGGGTTTATACTAGAAATAAAGATACAGGTAATTCATGAAACATCTTTCACTTCAGTTTAAAAACAAACATGCACAGAAATAATTTATCAAAACTCACAACTTATCAATACAGGGCTAGAATTACAGGCATGCACCACCATGCCCAGCTGAAACTACTCTTTAAAGAAAATGTTATTAAAATAAACATCTTCCCTACCTCTTTAAAATATAACAATTTCCTTTGCCATGTTTACTAGGAATAGTCCACTACAGATCAGTGATCCTTTCCATACCTGCTGACAGCTAACTATAACCATCTTACCTTATGGGCAGCAAAACTTGACTCATCCTTTTCCAGTGCTCTTTTTGCATACTCAAGGGCTTCGTACACAAGAAGCTGCTTCTCTTCTTCTGAAGTTCTGCTAAGCTGAGCTCTATCACGTGATGCCCGTGCCAAACGCCACAGTAACTCTGCATCTTCACTAATTTGAAATAAAACAAAAAGCCACCATTTACACTCATATTTAAAAATTGTTAAAGGTCTTACCACTGACGAATAGTCTTTCAGCTTGTTTAGTACACAAGAAAGCAACATAGTACCAAAAGCTATTGTCAAATTTATTATTTTCATAAAAACTGTTATTTGCTAAAACTTCCTAAAAACCCCCAGTATTTTGCATAAATACCAGCTTTTCTGTAATACCTAAAATACTGACTTCTTTAGAAAATATCTATATTTAAACTCTCTAAACACTTACCCTACAAAAAAATCACCATGACTTGAGGCTTAACTTTAATAGTATTGTGTTTCATACCACTCACTAAATAGTTAAGACACAACAATAACACACATAAACTTTAAACAGTCATGCTCTAAAAACAAAACTACCAAATATCTAACTTCAAATATGGCACACAAGAGGTAAATTAGGTATTTCTTAATAAATGAATGATTGACTATAATCTCAGAATAAACCTTACGTTTGAATAGTATAACATGTATGGCTTATTTCAATTACAGGTACTAGACTACTTATACAACTATCACTTAATTATATAAAATAAGAAATGATTAAATCATCAGTAACCATGATTGACAAAAATGTTTTAACAACTAATCGCAAATTACTTTTTATTAAATGCCCATCTTTGCCAAAGAACATGCCTGCAATCCCAGAACTCAGGAGGCTGAGGCCAGAAGACCACCAGGGGTTTAAGGCCAAATCAGGCTACACAGTGTGTTCAAGGTCAGCCTGAACTATACAGTGGATCCCTGTCTCAAAAAAAAAACAAAGAAAAAAAGTTCATCTTTAAGTCTACTTCTTATTTTTTTTTTAAACCCTAAGTAGTATTTATACAAAACTTTAAAGCTAAGCCAGCCATAGTGGCACATGCCTGTGATACTAGCATTCAAATGACTGAGGCAAGAGGATTACAAATTGGAAGCCAGTCTGAAATACACAGCAAGGTCAAGGGAAGCTAGGTAGGAATAGTATATTTATTATTCAACAAATACAAATTATCTTACAGCTTACTTTTCAAGTTATCACTAAAATGAATATGCCAAAAAAGTCACCTCAAGTTCCTAAAGGTGGAATGGAGAAAAAGTTGATCCTGTAGATATTTAGGAAGCAAACTGATGAATTTTGGGGAGAAAGCTGATTTTTGGAATCAAAGAAAGGTAGGTGAAACTGACTCAGAATTTTTAATTTAGGAAATCAATTACCTGAATTACTAAGTTAGTTACACAGAAATCCCTTTTAGTCTTATTTGACTTATGAGGTTAAGCTTTCTTCTATTTCTCCCCTTCAAAGAAGTCAGTACACACTGATACTCTAGACATGTAGTCTAGTCTAAAAAAATTTAAAAGGAGGTATTTTTGGTTTTTCTGAAAAATTGTGCCTTTCAATGAAGACAAGCAATTATTCCAAGTCTTGGTGAATTCATTTAAATTATATGTATCTCAATTAGAAATTACTTTAACATAACAAAAAATGAGACATAAACAATATACAAGGTGTGAACAAAATATATGGCGATGTTACAGTAAAACACCTTTTGTCATTAATCCCTCTTAAAATACTTCTCCCACTTACTGCACCATTTCTGCCACTTTATGAATCTAGAAGTTGTCCTTTGTCTTTATAAGATACCATTAAAAAATACAGTGACGCTGCTGCAGAATGTCATTCAACAGAAAGACTGACATTACAGTGCACTCTGATATATTTTATTCACTAGATCTGTCACTGTGTGACTTCTGTCTCTTTGCCAAAATCAAACTGAACCTGAAAGATAAATACTTTAAATGGATTAAAGACATAAAGCAGTCAAGACATCAAAGCGGACAATAGTGCAATTAAAGCCTCAAAAGAGGACTTCCAGAAAGTGGCAAGAATGAGGGAGAAGTATGTTCAATGTCAGGGAAGTATTTTAAGAGGGATTAATGCCAATATGTCTTTTATTGTGATAAACTTTTTTCAATTTACATTATTTGCTGTATTTTTTTAATCATATCTTGTAGATAGGTGAAGTAAATATATATTTCAAAGCCAAATGAAAAACTTTAAGGAAACCCAAGCCAAGTCTATCACACATTACTTACCTTTCCTTGTACTGAGTTAGCAATTGATAAAGTTTTTCTGTTTCTCCACTTTCATACAGGTAGTCTGCTTGCTCAAGGATCTCTTCAACTTTCAACATTATAAAGGAAAACAAAGATATAAGTAGGTCTTTCCAAGTCAGAGAGCAATAATTTGAGGAAAAATAGACACTCTTAAACAAAAGCTAGCAAAATCAGACATAGAAACTACCTATAAGATAAAACATTCTGAGAAAGTTAAAGTATGGTAGAAATAAATATGAAACTATTATAATAAATGATTTATTGAAACCATGGAAAATAAAATTTGGAATACTTTCTCTGATTCACTAAAGTGCAATGTGTAGACTTTTTTTTTTTAAAAAAAGCAATTTCAGATGGAAGAAGCTGCAGCACACATACCTCCATGAACCATGGAAGAAGCAATGAGTAAACCTTATAAAAGCTGAAAAAGGAAGCTGATTCTCCCCTGGGGCCTCTGGAAAGTAACACAGTCCTTTCCAACATCTTGAGTTTAGCCCAGTAAGAACCATTTTGGACTTCTCAACTACAGAAAGAGTAGATTTAAAAATCTGCATTAAATCACTGAGTTTGCTACAGCAGTGAAAGAAAGAAACTGAAAAAAACCTAATTTAACAGTATTAAATGCACGAATCTAGCCTATGTGAGAGTGTACAGAGTGTGCACAAGTAAGTTACTTTCATTCACTGATTTTTTTCCAACTCCCTAAAACCTGATTATTGCACTTAAAAGGAATTCTACATTTCATTATCTATCTTTAAAATTTACAAAATTTAGTGAATAAGCTAATCATTTTTTTGTGTATTCCACTATGATCTGTCAAGTCATTTAGCTCCAGTTCTCTTATTACACAGTACATTAAATAAGCTGTATCCAGGTTTTAAAAAATATAGTATATACTATGGTATATATATCATAAAATTTACAATTATTTTTGTGTGCACATTTATACTGCAGAGGAAGCTACAACATTTTTGTGTAGCATATAAATAAACACAGGTATAAACTAGTCAGAATGAAAAGAATTAGCATATGCTTGATAAGAATAATAACAATTTCTATCTACAATAAATATAATCATACATTCTTTTGAACGAAATGGCAACCTCAAAACAAGTACTGTTACATCTGAGGTACTAAAAATACCTTCTTGATGCATAATAGTTTTCAATTATGTTTAAACGAAAAAGAAAAAACAAAACTATGATGTAAAAGCAAACATTTTCCCCAATTGCCTTCACCTTTATGATGAAAAATGCAAAGGGTTAATTCATAAATTAAAATTTCAAATGAAATTTTGGATCTTTCTACATATAACTAGTTTAAGCAAATTTAAATTTTTAAAATTTAGTAAATCTTAATATATGTTTATTTATTATTATGCCAAATAAGAAGTACGATGGAATTTTTCTACTTTTAAACAAGTTATCTGATATTTGATACCAAACTCCATTCTCTCTGTAAATGAAATACTTCAAAGTAGTAGGGCCTTTTCTTAACTGTATCAAGAAAAGTATATCACCTTGGCAATTGAGAAGCAAGTAAAATCACCACTGAAAAGCAAAGCTTGGCGATCTTTCCCAGTAAAGGTCAAAGAGTTCATACTTAGTAGGTAATACCCTCTTTGTGATTATTCTTTTCCAGTACTCCCCAAGACACTAAAAATGCAACAGAAATTAGCTAAAGGGTTAAACAAATAATTTAAAGCATTAATACAGAACTACTGAAGGAGGTCTGGCTTTAGAACAAAATTAAATATACATACATGCTGGCAAGTAAAGAAGAGCAAAAAAATAACTTGTACTATTTAAATGTCGATTTCATTATGTATTCAAAAATAAAAATAATTCTTCCAGATGTTTACCTTTCGCTTACCTTGAGTTGTGGCATGAACTACAGCAGCCTGAGAAATTACTTGGTAAGTTTCAAAACCCAAGTAAGACAATGCTGAGAATAAAAGGCCTCTTCTGAAAGTTCTTGGATTTCGTATCACCTATGAAAAATAATATGGTCAGTTACCAAATTGGAAAATTTCAAGAGATTACTACTCCAGGCAAAAATTATACCAGTTTCTCTCACCTTTAAAGATTAATTATAAAAATACTAGAAATTCAAAAATTACTCCACCAAATTCACTAGTAAAATTGTTTCAAACCTTATAGGGAGACTATCTCAGAAAAAGATCCTACCTAGAAGTGGTAGTTCACCTAAAAATTAGTCTTTGTTTGGAGATGTCCTATATTAGTAGAGCACTTGCCTATCATGAACAATCCCCAGCACTGCAACAATAAGTTAAATCAGCCATGATTGCAAGAGCAATAGTTTAATGGCAGAGACATGGATATGATACACTATAAGAAATAAAATACGAGAAACCAACACACAATAAATATAAATTTTATCCACAGACAAGACACGGGAAATACTTCATCAAATACAATAATTACTACACATAAAACATATTCATGACTTTAAGTGAAGACAACTTCAAAGCCATCCACAGACTTGTGTTTAAATAAACAAAGGTGAATGAAGATCATATTCAAATAGATTAGGAAATTAACTTTTCATACTCATGGCCAGATTCTTGGAACCAATGAGAAGAGAAATACATATCACTTCAACAGCACTTATTCCTTTTCTCCACAAATTTTCTCTTTAACATAGCATGTGTTCCCCCCTTCTTATTTAGGCTCATTGCATTAAAAAAACAAAAAACAAAAAACAAAAAAACAAGCTATGCTATCTTTGAAAGACAAGCTGCATTTCCTTCTTAAATACAAAAAGCTTCCTTCTGGTTTCTCATGTCCCTTAATCTCATTTCTTAATTTTCAGAAAACCTCTTTTTAAAAGTTTTCTGTACAGTTTCCACTTCCTCTTTTCTTCCCATTCTCTTTGGCATCCACACAAATAACACTTAGAACCTCACAATTTCACTGATGCCATTCTAGTTAATGACTCCAATGATGCTGCAACAAATAAGACTGTCTCTCAGTCTATTTGACTGAGATTTCTCAAATAAAAGGGCTGCAGATGTTTGATTGTGGAATATTACACAAATCAAATGAGACACCTTGTGGGTGGGACCAAAGGATGAACATGAAATACATTTATGTTTCATATATGCTTAATATATATAGCCTGTCAGTAATTTTATACAATATTTTTAGTGTACCTCTTTTGACTGTGACCTGTCACATAAATTCAGGTACAGAACTTTCCACTTACAGCATTCAGTAAGTTTAAGATTTTAAAGTATCCTGGATTTCAAAATTTCAGATTAAAGATGCTCAATGCTCAGCCTGTATTTCCTGTGGTCAACTCTGAGTTCTCATCTTCTTTGACCTACCAACAACATTTGACAGTTGATCACTTCTTTCTTAAAAATCATGAGTGGATATTTAATTTTTAAAAATAGTTTTATTAAGCTGTTAAACTACATATGAATGGTACCCAGTTTAAGATGTATATAAACATGGAAAACTATTAACATCATATGAAAAAAAAATATATCCATCAACCCCAAAAGTTTTCTGTCCATGTTTCAATGTAACTGGCATGGCAAAATTGAACTTTGAAAGTCTGGTTTTCTCCTCTAGAGGTAAGTGGTTTCTCCAACTTCCTCCTGCCACAGGAAAACCAATACTCCTCTCCAGAACCCAAACACAATGACAGAATGTGCAAAGCTGGCTGCAGAAACTCAGGAACTACTTCCTTTCCACAGGAAAGGGAGCAATCAAGTTGAAGATGTTGGAAATCAATAAAATAAGCCTGGAGATGTGTACTGATTTTCTAGTCCCCACTCTCTGACAAGAAACACCTGCACGTTTGTACAGGGTAAGATAATAATCTGTGGCAAATAAGGCCCCTTATTTCCTCACAGCTAGCTTTTTTTTTTTGGGTCTTTTTCGTTTTTATGGTTCGAACTCATGACTGCCTGCTTGCAAGGCAGGCGCTTATGTCGCTGAGCTAAATCCCCAGCCCCATCCTCACAGGTAGCTTTTAATAAATTCTTTTTTCTATTCACCAAAACAAATGGTTTCCTTTGACACTTTAAGTCAGCAACTTAAATGGTTTCCTTTGACTCTTTTAAGTCAGCAAATGACTTTAAGTCAGCAACACTAACACTTAACTACATTCTGTTATTCCTAGAACCCAATTCACTTTTGAAGTAACAACTCTCTTGGATTTCCTCCTGCCTCAATGACTGCCCCCTCTCTTTTTTTTTTTTTTTTTTTTAGCTCTCTGATCTCCAATATCTCGATGTCCACAGGTGTGCTGAGTTTGGTCCTCTTTATTTATGATCTCATTCCATTCTTGTTCTTAGATACTAATAAGCCCAAAATACACTATCTTTGCCTGGATCTCTCCTCTAAACTTCAAAATTGTATATTCAACATCTACCTTTACATGACTTTTATTTGCCATCTCAAAAAAACTGGTCCAGCCAGGCATGGTGGTGCACATCTGTAATCCCAAAACTGGGGAGGCTGAGGCAGGAGAATCCTTGCGTGTTTAAGACCAGCCCAAACTGCACAGTGAGACTCTGTCTCAAAGACCAAAAAAAAAAAAAAAAAAAAAGAACCGGTCCTACAGGTCCTTGGTGGCTCACGCCTGTAATCCTAATGTTCTGGAGACTGAGGTAGTCGGCCCTGCCACAAGTTCGAGGGCAGTCTGGGCTACATAGTAGTTCAAAGCCAACCTGAACTATACAGCAAGACCCTGTGTCAAAAAAAGTATGAAAGATTCAAGACTCTCTGACACCTCCAATATACTAATAATTTGTACAAATGTTTTAAGTATCTAGCATATATGCTAGATTTATCATGTTCCAAGAAGCAGAATACAACAGAAGTGATGTCAATTCCAAGATTATCTAATAAAACAAAAACACTGTCACCCTTACCCTCTTCTTTTTGCCCACCTGCCCATGCTAAGAGAAGCCAGAGGCTGTTGTGCAATTGTGGCATCAGCACCAGTGAAGAAAGTCTGCCTACAGAGCCTTCAAGGACCTCAGTAGCTGACAGCGTGACTTAACCTCCTAAGAGATGTTCACCTAGAAGAACCAAGCTAAATCATACGTGGATTCCTGACCAACAGCAACTACGAGATAATAAAGACATAATATAGACAAACGGTTGTATGATGTGGAACGTGCAGTTCTTGGAGTGAGATGATTTTTGAGTCTTATTTCAGAATTTACGCAGGTGAAAACATATGCAGCAACATAAGTACCCACGATGTGGATTCCATGAACAACTTTTATGGGCAATAAAAGAAAGTACCGATGGTTTAAAAATCATTTTAAAGTAATGAAAACAGTTCAAATGAAATATTGCATATGCATCAATGCAATGCCTACTCCCATTCCCTTTTCAAGCAGAAACAATGGGCTAGGAGAAGTCCATCAGAAATGTGAGATGTGAGACTACAATCTAACATCCTGACAATCTTCATAAACGCTATACAAAACAAGTAACTTAAGTAATTACAAAAGCAAAAGCCCTCAACAGCACAAAAATCTCCGTTTCTGAGTCACAGAAATTTTCGGTCACATCATCCATATAAAAGGCTAGAAGACTGAAGTAACAGCCTCAAGAGCTGTCACTGTATCTGACACGGCTGAAAGTGATTTTCATAGCGGTCAGTTCCTTCTCCATACTCTCACCCAGGAAGGGTAGGTAGAAGGTTGCTCCCAGGGAGAGACGACACACTCCTTGCCTCAACCAACCCCATCAGTCCGTCCTGGGGAGCGCTCCCGGTACCTCTGGCCTGAGGTCTTGGCAGGGTTCACACTCCCATTCATAGGTGGCGCGGGGCTACAAAAACTCAGAGAGGGCCGAACCCACTCTCCAGGGAGGGAGCTGAGCAAGGACCACGAGGTTACCTCTGAGCAGCGGAATGGCCGGAGCCCGCACTGCCCGTGGCTGCTCGGAGTCCTTGCGGGGAATCGAGGCCCCGGAGCCGCACGTCCCAAGCAAACAAAGCGCCATAGTCTAGAGGCTAGCGCCATGACCTAAACTCGTACACCAGACCTTACAAGCCGCCGGGCCGCTACGAAGCGGGGCGGAGCGAAAACAAGACTCAATCTCCAAGAGAGAGCCGCCTCCTCCAAGCTCCTAACCAGCGCTTCTTCCGGTCACACGACTTCCCCTACAGCTTCCGGGGGCGGGAAATGCCCGGATTGGGAGGGACTTCGTGGACCTTCTGCGACTGCGCGCGCAGACAGGCGTAGTGGAAGAGAGTGTTCCTGTGACGTTTGCTTTAGGTCGCCCTTTGCTGGGTATCCTTGACTAGAGAGTAGGTTACTAGAAGAGAACTGAAAGCTCTCAAAAGAACATACATTGTGCATATAAGAAAGAGAAAGTGATTTGTTTTATCTGTAATTTACCTGCGTGTTCTAAAATAGGCTGAATCTTGGCACTAGAGGGAAGTCCTTTTTTGTAAATAAATGCTTGTAAAAAAGTTGCCCCACTTAGGAGAAAGGAGGAGATTGAGAAACCAAAGATGAGGAACAATGTAAGCAAAATACTAGCTGGTCTTAGCTAAAAAAAAAAAAAAAAAAAAAAAAAAAAAAAAAGACTAGGGAGAAGAGGACACAAACCAAGGGGCTTGCTCTGGGCTGGGATACTTCTTGGTTGATAGAATGCTTTCCTGGCATGCATAGGATCAGGGAAGAGTCAGGGTTCAATCCCTAACATGGCCAAGAAAAAAGATACAGATGGCATGATTGTATCATTGGGGATGTGTAGTTCTTGAGTAAATGACAAGACTTTTGAGTCCTATTTCAGAACATATGTGGATGAAAACGTGCAGCAACCTACTGTATGGATTCTTACTTTTGTGGGCAATACGGAAAAGCAGTGAAGGTTAAAAAGTCATGTTGTGTAATGTATATTACTTCTAGTACTATAGAGGGAATTAGTACACTTTAATTTTATCTTCTGTTTATTTTCCTTACTTTTGTGAAGTAACTTGTGTCCCAAGTTTACCATGGGAAAGATTTGGTAACTAAACCAAGGACACATAGTAGATTTTTTTTTTTTTTGTCTTTTTATCAGTACCGGGGATCGAACTCAGGACTACCTGCTTGTAAGGCAGGCGCTTATGCCGCTGAGCTAAACCCCCAGCCCCAGTAGATTTTTCTTAGAAGACTGGGAAGCATACCTTCTGTTCCAAAGACAGTGTTCTCACTACTTGTGTTAGCTGAATCCACTTCATCAGTGATATCCCTGTGTTGTTTTGTTTTGCTTTTCTTTCCAGTCATGGGAATTAAACCCAGGGCCTTTGCACTAAACTACAACCTTCACCCTTTTTATGCAATTTTAATGTTTTAATTTTTCAAACAGGGTCATTCATCCTAGTGAATTTTTAATTAAGATTTTCATTTAAAAAATTTTAAATCCTTAGAAAAGTTATAAGAATTCCCATAAACTTTTCACTTAAATTCAGCCATTGTTCATTTTCTCAAGTTTCTTTAATCCTTTTATGCATATTTCATATGCTGTGCAAATTATGTTCTCCTTTTTTTTTTTTTGCAGAAGGTTAGACAGAGTTTATTGTAAAGTAGATACAGAAAAAAAGTAGGCCTTTAAACCAGAAGCTGGACAGAGCTGACTAGATATCTAGTTGTTGAAAATTTTGAGTGTAGATTACAGAATCATGACTCTTCATTCTCAGAAACAAAGACATTTTCAATACTGACATTTGGAGTCAGATAATTCTTTTTGGTGGGAAGCCTGTGCACTGTAGGATATTTAATACCTCCTCAGTCTCTATTAAATAACAATTGTGCTTCCACTTAGTATAATAGCAAAAAAAAAAAATTCTCCAGAAATAGCAAAATACCCTGAGGTGTAGAATTACTGAATTTATAAAAAATACAGGACCTTCTGCAAATTTTTAATTCCAGACAACCATTTTGTGTCTGTGTGGTACCAGAGATTGATCTTAGGGCTTTGCACTTGGTAGGCAGATAATCTACCACTGAGTACATCCCCAGCCCAATACTATAGTTTGTCTGGTAACCTTTCTGGGTTTGCTATGGTTGACAATAATTGGCTTTCAGCATTCCTCAGTTTGTGTTTGGTTGATTATTTCCTTATGATTTTTATGATTCAATTTAGGTAATGCTTTCTTGGCAGGAACATTAAGTAATATATCCTCTCCTTGGCCTCAAATAATGAGTCTTCTGATGTGATTTTGCCTCATAATTAGAAAATAAGATTTTATTTTTTGTTATGGGGATTGAACCTACAGCCTTGCACATGCTAAGCACATGTTCTACACTAAGAACAAACTCTGAAATCAAATTTTGTTTGTTTATCTTTTTTTCTTGACTTTTTTTTTTTTTTGTCTTTTTCGTTTTTATTGGTACCAGGGATCGAACTCACAACTGCCTGCTTACAAGGCAGGCGCTTATGCCAATGAGCTAAATCCCCAGCCCGTTTGTTTCTTTTTGAGACAGTCTCATCATATAAACCAAACTGCCCTCCAACATGAAATCCTCCTTCCTCAGCTTCCCACATGCTTGGATTACAGTGTTCCCATGTCTGGCAAAATGGGATCTTTTTTAAAGCTAAATGGAAGACCCAGGTATATTTCAGAAGAGTGCTTACCTTGCATGTATGAAGCCCTAGGGGTTTTCCCCAGTGTCTCAAGAAAAGAAGATAGATTACAGCATGTTAGTCCTCTGCATAAAATCCTTTGTGGCATGTCACCCTATATGTTGCTCACAGAGTCTGTACTGTTACCTTGTCCCTGTCTTTATAACCTTACATTCAGTACAGGCATTATGTATGTTCCTTCTTCCTCTCCCTCCCTGTTCCCTGCAATAGGTTTAAGCCACATTATCATTTATTTCCTCCGTGACACTCATCCCACCTTACATGGTATCTCTTCATCAGGATTCCTTCAAAGTCCACTAACTGACACCTTTTCCCTTGCCCACCATTCCTTACCTAATGTGTGTTTATATTTTAGCTCTCAGTTCAAATGCCATTACCTCAGAGAAACTTCTCTTGAGTCCTCCAAATATTTTGCTGTTTCCCTAATGGCCCTAAGCATATTTTATCATTTCACTTTCATTTCTGTGATTATTTGTTAATCTATAGTATATTTCGTGGGCAGCCAGTATTCAGGTCCTGAGTAATTTAAGCAGTCCTGTGGAGAAGCAGCACACCAGAGCTATTTCCCATTGACAACACACCTTGCCAGCCACAGGAGGGAGCCCCGTTGGAGCCATTAGATAGCTGCATTCCTGGTTAGTACTTGACTAACCCCTGGAGAGATAATGAGTCACATCCACATGGCTAAGCCACTCCTCAGTTTCTGAACCTCTATGGACAGCTTCTATAGCTATTTTAGATAATCACTCTTCCTGTTTTAAGCCACCAAACTAGATGTAATGCGTTGCACTTGTAACATATTAGTAATTGCTAACTAATCAATATCCAAGTGTGAGGTAGACACTTGAAATTTCAAGTTTCGAAAGGAAGATACGGAATAGCCTTAAGAATATGGATGAAATGGCTAATAAATACATGGAAAGAATGGCTATCATCAAGAAATCAACCAATGTTAATGCTGGAAAGGCTGCAGGTGGAAAGGAATCCTTCTATATTGTTGATGGGAGTGTAAACTAGTACAACCACTGTAGAAATCAGTAATGAAGTTTCCTCAAAAAACTAAAATAGAAATTCCACTGGAGCCAGCTCTATCCTGAAAGAGTTAAAGACATATAGCAGCACAATTCAAAATAGCTAAATCTTGAAGCCAGCCTATCAATAGACATATGGATAAAGAAAATGTGGTATTTATATGCAATGGAGTTCAGTTTTGCAATAAAGAAAGATAAATTTGAGTCATTTGTAAGAAAATGGATGCACCTAGAGACTATAATGTTAAGTGAAACAAATCAGGTACTCAAGCTTAAATATCACATGATTTATCTTATCAGCGAAACCTCAAACATAAATAAAGAGCAAAACAAAAAATACTAGGAAATAGGGAGATAGATCCTTTGCAAATGGGAAGGAACTCAAGAGATGGAGAGAAGAGGGAGAAATGGTAGGGGAAGGGGATTTAAAAAGAATTGAAATGTATTATGTACATGTACCAACTTCCCCCAAAGAATGTAACCACTATGTACTACAAACTATATTAATAGTGGTGGATTGATACCTGGTGGTCAACTTGTAATACCAGGTGAACTAAGTGTGGTGCTGACCGTGGATGGTCCCCTTGAGGATTACTGCCAAGATAAACAGGAGAACTGGAGAAGAGGATTGTATTGTTGGTTCTCCATGGTATTGTTGGTTCTCCTGTTGGAGCTTGTCTAGTCTTTCCTGATATGAATTCACGTGTTTTCATCAGAGGGGCTCAGAACCAGATCTACTTCTCGGGGGAGCTCTGGTCTTTACTTTGAGCATTGCTTCCTGGCTCCAATGCAGAACCCTCAGCCTGCTGGCACAGATCCTTCATCCTGCTGGCCACCACTGACCTTTGGGCCTTCCCAGTGTAGATCTGTGAGACAGACTTGCATGAGATATTATTGTGGGCTTTAGGCCTCGAGCTGAGCACATAGAGGACATTGTCATAGGCTCTAGGTCTTCCGCTGAACTCATGCAGAATATTGCCATGGGATCCAGGCCTTCAGCTGGATTCTTTGGATCTTAGTGTGTGGACAGATTTCCTGCATTCTTTCTTTTATATTTGACTCTTTTGGGTGACCATTATAAAACAATTCTATAAATTGTTTCCCATGTTGTCTTGTTCTCTTTGCAACCCCTGACTACAACGCTAATAAAAAATAAAATTGAAAAAAAAGAATGTATATGGAATTCAAAGCTGTGAACTTGATGAGGTAACAAAAGGTATGAATGAAAAAAGAAAAATTAAAGTCTAAGGACCAAGCCTTGCAGTACTCCAATGTTTAAAAACCGGAACTGTAAAGAACAAAAATCCAACAGGTCCTCACTTCAGGTTATAACACGTAGGTATTTTGTGAGTATCTCATTCAATTTAGCATGCATTTAACTTTCTACTAGATATTAAACATAATTATTTTTAATTCTAGAATCCTAGATATGTGTTGAATTAGTAGGCAAATAGATGAGAACAAACAAAATGAAAATTAGATCACTTGGGAGAATAAATAAGCATAGTGAATAGCTATAGTTTTATGTATTCCAGTGTTACATTGCTTTCTTTGGATGCTTAAAAGTAAGAAACTATCCCTTTCTTTTCCCTGCTTTAGTGGAGACAAATGTTTTGAAGGTTAGATATGGATCCTATGTGTTCTAGAAATTTGCAACTTGCAATTCAGTTAGTGATGCGTAAGGACCTTCATTTGAATATAAAATCAGAATTCAAAAGATAAACAGCAGCGTATTATGTATGTTAGTGTGTGTGTGTATTTGTGTGTGTATGGTATTGAAGCCAAAGCCTTCATCGAGAGCTATGTTTCAGCCTTTACTACTTTTTTTGTGGGGGCAGGGTCTTTCTATTTTACACATAGGCTAAACTAGAACTTGAGGTCCACTACTGTGCCCCCCCCAACCAGTGGTCTTCAGAAGCCAGAGAGATTTAGAAAGGGGATGAAAAAAGAATTAAGCTGTGTTACATACATGCACCAACTCCCCATGATGAATGTAACCATTAGGTACTGCAAAATTTACTAATTAAAAAACCAAAAACCCGCGTGGTGTGGTGGTGCATGCCTGGAATACCAACATTGGGGAGGCTGAGCTGGAGGATCAATGCATACTGGAGTCTGGGCTACAAAGTGAGCGCATGGCTAGCCTGAACTGCATAGTGAGATCCTGTCTGGAACAACAACAACAAACAAAACAAAGCATACAACAACAACAATAAAAACCAAAGCAAAAAACCAGAAAAAATGAAAACTCTAAAACAAAACCAGCAGTCTGTAGTAATCAATTAATACACTTCTCCACCGGACTGCAGCCATGCAGGCTGGGGTTCTGTGCTTGCAATTTGGTGCCTTTTTCTCTGTTATCATTTATCTGCTTGTATGAGAGTCTCTCTCTCTCTCTCTCTCTCTCTCTCTCTCTCTCTCTCTCTCTGTGTGTGTGTGTGTGTGTGTGTGTGTGTGTGTACTGGGGACTGAACCCAGCCCTTTAAAAAAAATTTTTTTTTAAAGTAGGGTCTCTCTTAGTTACAAGTTGCTATTCCCTGCCTCAGTCTTCCAGTGTGATGAGATTACAGGCATGTGTCAACTACACCCAGTTTAGCGGCACATTTTGAAGTTGTATTTAGTAGAAACTGTGCCTTTAGGGAAACAGGCCAATTAGATATCAAATCTCCAGTTACTCAATTGTAGCATTCTCATTCGTAAAATAGGGATAAGGCCCCAAATACGTCACAAAAATACTATGAAGATTAAATGAAATTAAGGCTGTAAAATGACCCTGGGTGTACACACACTAAGAAAGCTCTTCATAAAGTATAATTAACAGTGACCTTTTTATTATTATCATGCTGAGTGAAAGAGTAGAATTCCTTAAATATTTCAATTCTTTTGGCTTTCAGAATTTATTTAGGTGCAGCATTTTAGTTCTGAAAGTCAGTGTTGAGTTTTCGGCAGGCGAGGGGCCCTAGAGCACCCTTAAACATCAGTTTGCAAGCCTGGGGAGACGCTATCTGGAGCGGGGCGGGGCCTGGGTGGGCGGGGAGAACCGAGGCCCCGCCCGCCCCACCCCTGCCGCCCCGCCCCGCCCCACCCCTGCCGCCCGGGTTCCGGTGAAGCCCCGCGGCCCGGCCAGCTCGTGGACGCTGTCTGCGCCGCCACTCTCTCCGACTCTGTCCCGAAGTCAAGCGTGTGAGTGCTCGGCACCGGTTTGGCAGGCCAGACCGCCCATCTCGGGGTGGAGGGCGGCCCTGCCGTGAGAACCCGGGCTCCAGGCTCCTCGTGGGGGCCCCTCAGGGCCGAGGAGCCCTTGGGCCGAGGCTGGCGGGGCGCGCCGGGGCTCCCGAGCAACCTCCTGCGGGGTCGCGGCCTGACGAGGCTGGGTCCGGGCAGCGCCTCCCGGGGAGCAGGGGCTCGGGGCTCGGCTGGGCCACGAGCGCCGCGGGGGCCTGGACCTCGCGCACCTGGGCAGGAGGTGCACGGGACCCTCGGCCGCCTCGGGGATAGAGGGACGGAGTCTTCGCGCCACGCTCTTGGCGAGACGAAGGCTCGGGTGCACGGGACTGCTGCGCATTGCATAGATGAAAGCGACAGGTGACGTGGGAGAAGGTGACCACTGATTTCAGAGTAAAGCGAGGACCGCGTGAGGAGCATGCCAGCAGCTGCTATTTATTTGCAACTTAGAAATTCTGCCTAGCGCTTTGGGCCCAATACACAAGAGGCGTGGAGGAAGTGCAGTTGCATTTATTTTGCAGTACCTTCAGGTACTTGACCAAACAGACTGACATATGTGTTACCCGTGAGGCACTTAATGGTTGTCTACAAGTTTTCCTTTTCCTTAGTATATTTTTGTGGCTGTCTCTATAATGGAAAATCAGTTGGAGACAAGAGCGAGGTTAAATATAGTCATTACTGATTGCAGTGTTCCACTATTGTGCTACCGCTAACCAAGGTTTGTACATGTAAGATCATTTAATGCTTACAAGTGGAGCCTGGGGCCATAGGATCGGTGGGAAGAGCACTTGTTTACCGTGCTATAGATAAGTTCTGGATTCGAGCCCTAGCAAAGGAAAAACAAAGTTAGTGCTGACAAAGTGGTATTGTTACTACATCATGCTCTGTGAAATTCAGGTTGAATTAACATACCAAACCATACTTGTGAGTGTGATAAGCTGGTATTATTAGGATTGATATACATACAGATGTGTAAGATTTTAGAGCACAAGCATTATAGCTTAACATAAAAGGATACTTTCTTTGGGATAAGACTAGAATCGAGGTTTCAAATCCGTGCTTTGAGCTTTGTTAGGCTGTTTGACTATGGTCAGTAGTTAACTTTTAAGGGCCGGCTCCTACATTTGTTGAACAGAGATAATACTGTGTCATAGCGTTGTTATGAGGATTAAAGTCATGTTTGCAAAAACATTTAGCTAAGTGACTGCCATCTACATCTTGCTGTTGTCATTAGTTGGGTTTAGCAAACTCCAGCTCTTACTACTGCCTCTTAGAGCCAAACAAAACTTATATGTTTAGAACATGTGTAGAGAGAAATAACAATAGGAAAAGATCAAGTGACATATGTGATAAGTCAGTTAATAGTGACATCCATAGATGTCTCAGGCGTTAACCTGTGATTCTCAAGGTTACTTATTACTCTGAAAATATTTTGAAAGGGATTTCTTTTTGGCTGATGGATTGGGAAAATGTCTCTCACTCTGAGCTGAAAACTTTGAAAGCAGAATGTCTACCGGACTGAACCATGCTGAGGCTCTCTGGATAAGAGGTGGGGTTGAGTTTCAGATCTTTTGTGGATTAAAAGCTGGCTGGCCAAACCCCACAGTGAAGTGTGCTGTTCTCTCAAGTTTCTTCTCTCAGAAGTTTCTTCTCCTGGGAAGAAGTTCTAGAATAGGGAAAACAGGAGAATTCGTGGCTTCTAAATGTATCTTAATGACTGGACAACTCTCCTCATTTTATCTATAACTGAATACTTTAAAGAGAATATTCTTCATTTCCACATAAATTTAAGGCAATCTGACAATTACATATCTTAAAATAAGTTATTTAGCTGGGGCTGGAGCTCAGTAGTAGAATACTTGCATGGCATGTGAGAAGATCTGGCTTCAAGGCCCAGCATTGCAAAATAAATAGAATAAGCTTTTATTAATACTTTTTACAGTGGCATTTCTATTGCCCTGAAATGTTCCACTTCATGCTGGGTCCCGGATACCACTGCCTGTCAATTTTTAGTATAGTTTTACACTTTGCCCTCTTTCTTTTTGTTTCTGTCAATGGGTGTCTTTTTATTACTGATAAGAATTTTCCTCTTTTCCATTATTAATTTATTATGTTAGAAAGTACGCTTTCTAGAAAGCATCTAGAAAGCTACTGTTGGATGTTAAAAGCAATTTTAGAATATTGTAACCTTGAGAGTTTTATAATGAGTCACCACTGCCCATCACAGCATGATATTCTAGGTAGATTGTCTTGTAAAAATCAATGCCACTTCCTGTTAGTGTACACAGTAAGCTTGAGGGGTCAAAAGTAGGGCATTTCCTATTATGTATCTTTTATTACTTTTACCTTACAATCTGGCTTCTCACCAGCATTTTTGCTTTATGTTATTACAAGGTCAATATCCAAATAAATTGGATTAAAAAGTTGCTAAAAGATTAGCCAGGAAGCTTTTAATTACTCATATCATAGATTTGTTTACCAATGTTATTTAAGTTTTTGATAGTGATAATCCAAAGCAATTATTGTATATATACACATTGATAAGATTCAGCTACCTATGAATAGGTAAGCCAACTGTGCTGGTTTTAATGTATTTGTAGAAAGGTTAGGTAGTAACATTGAGATTCTTTTGGAGAGGCTCTTCATCTTTTTCATTAGTAATTTTTAAAAGAACATTAAAATTGGTCAGAGTAATGATCAAATTTACCAATTTTCATTGCATGGATACAATTTTCCTGTGCAAAATGAAAGGAAATATTGCAGTCATTTTTATAAATCCTTTTGTAATGTCCTCTTACTAAATGGATATATTATATCTAGTTCCTGTGAAAATTGCCAAATTTTCACCGTGGTTGCAACATCTTGTCATCAGGCTCACTCAGTATTTTGAAACTTTTACCTTATTTACTATACCTTTAGACTTTAAGGTGATAATACTTGTAAATTAGATATCTTGCAAATGTAAAGAGAAACATTTTCATCTATTTAAGGATCAGAATTTCTTACAATGAGTAAAAATCAAAAATACAAGTATTTCCTGATGGTGGTGTTAAAAATTTAAAAAATACTAAAATTGCACCCCACCTTCAATATTGCTTGCTCCCTTTTCCTGCTTTTTCTTCTTAATGCTGCCACCTGACACAGTACCTACTCTTTCTTTCTTTCCTTCTTTTAAAAATCTCTATTAGTATCTATCTGGAGTGTAATCTCTTAAGGGCAGGGAGGTTTGTCTGTTTTATACATTGTGGGTTCCCTAGCACCTTAGAATAAAGTGCCTGACATGCAACTGACAATTCATATGTATTTGGAGAATGAGTGGTGAATGAAATAGTATTGAACTGTTCATGATTAGAAACTATGAGTTTCCACAGAAGTTAAAGCTAGTTGAAATGTGTATGTTAAGCATCATGACCACTATTCTTAAAATCAGAAAATGCATAAACATTCTTAATATAGTATACAAACTGTTATTATTTATTAATTTTTTATTTTTGAGGCTGCTAAGCTTGAACTCTACTGAACTCTACCAGTGAGCCATATTACCCGTGCTGCAGACTTTTAAATGTTGAAAATAAAGTCGTTGTTGCAGCCTTAAATTGATGCAGTCTTCGTATCACTGCTCACCATAAATTAGAGAGGGGCACACAGTGACAAAATATGAAATACCTGTCTTGCCCAGTTCAATACTATACATGCCCAGCTAAGGAGGAAATAAAGGGAGCCAAGTTTTGGAAAGCATGCATTTAGTGGTAGGATGTAGTGTTTTTAGCTTCTATCCAGGTATTTCCTCAGTGCTTCTTGTTCCCATAGGTGGGGCCTTTAGTAGATTCCTGGATCATGGGTGTGTGATACTGGATTATAGTGTGATAATTGGCTAGTCCACCAATTGGCTTAGCATAGTTCTGGTTGTGGATGATGGGAAGCCCCACCCTGGGTCTGAGTGGCACCAACCAAAGGTTTGTAACCTGGATGGGATAAAAGGGGGAAAGGAGAGCTTGCTGCTTGCTGCCTCCTGCTTGCCATGCCACGAACTATTATTTTTTTGCTATGCCACCCTGCCTTAGAACCAGCTGACTATGGAATTAAACTGCTACATTGGATAATAATTATTGTTCTGCCCAGCTAACAGATTCAAAGATTTGTAAGATTCAAAGATGATATATTAGTTGAAAACACTTTGAAAATTGTGGAGAAAATAAAAACCATCCAGATTATGGAATCATTAATTATATGTTTTTTTCCTCTTTCCTCTCACCTTCTCTCTTTAAGTTTAAGCATTAAAAATAATCCATTGATCAGTGACTTGAGTTCTTCTATAGGCAAATCCTCCAGGGATCTTCTCCAACTGTGAGACTACTTTGATTGCTCATTCTTTCTCTCTTTCTGAACCTCCCAGCTTTGTTTTTATATATGCATAGATAACTAGCTATTTTGTTTGGTTTTTATCCTCTCTGTTGTGTTTAGAACACCTAGAAGGTGTCCAGTAAATCCTTATTGAATGAAGGATCTTCTCATTTAATTACTTATTGCTTTATTATGTTGTCCCTGCCCCCAGGGTAACAATGACTACACACTAGGCTTTTAATGTATGCACTTACCAGTGTGATCTGGACTGTCAAATAGGATAGAAAGTCTTAGATTTTGTGGCAATAAGATACTAGTCTACATTTTTTTGTTTTTTGAAGGGGACATCTTTTATTGTTCTGAGCAATAAAATCTGAGAAACACTGCCTGGGATGTGTCTTACTTACTTTTCTTTCTAGTTGTTGAGACAAAATACCTGACCCCCAAAGTTTGGGAAAGCAAGATTTATTTCTTTCAGGTTGGAGCTTTGAGTCCATCCTCATTTGGCTCCAAGGCAAAATGACATGGCTGAGGGGCAGTGGTTAATGGCCGTGCAGCAAAAGGGAAACCAGGCAAAAGAGAGAGAAGACATGCCTTCTTCCTGCCAATACACTATGCTGGCTCCACCCCTGGGTGGGTTAGCACTCATACCACCAATCCAAGTGCTAGGCAATGAACCAATCACAAATACTAGATTTGGCTAGTTCATGATTGCATGAGGCTTGTGGAGCAGGGGAGCCATCTGAACATAAATCATAACAGGATGTTTACTGCTGATGTTTCTGGGCCCTTTGTCAGCTTCCTCAAGGTTACCCTGGCTTGTGTGTAGCCATGGTGATGTTGGGTGCATTATGCAACAGCAATTAGTGAATGATGATTTTAGAACCAGAAACAAAACCAATGAAGATTTTCTTTCTTTCTTTCTTTATTCATTTTTGTGGGTGATGTTGAGACTGGGCCTTGCTATGTAGGTGTCCTCAAACTTGCCATCTTTTTTATTTGGGTCTCCCAAGTGCTGGGATTATAGGCTTGTGACTGTACCCATTTTAAAAATTGTAAAAGCGTAAGTCAGTTTTAAATAGAAATTCTTCAAACCAAAAGATCTCTGAATAAAAGATTTATTGATCCACAGTAGATCCTAGCCAGATGGAAGGGAGTGCTCCTGGGGAATGGAGGGATAGCTCAG